ACAGTCAAACTGGGCGGCGGAGATACCCCACGGGAGGTTATGCGGCCTGCAGTACTTGTCTCTTTTCCTGTTTTTATATATAACGGGGATTTTCCGTTGGGAAACCCCGCGCTTGTTTTTAATGGCGTTTATTTCATCATTTTCACACATCACATATTTGATGTTGTATAGGATACAGGAGGAACCAAAAAAAAGTTTTTCTATTTCTGGCTTCAATTAGTTTATTCATCACACTCTACAAGGGTGAATGGACCTCGGTTCAATGCGTCAGTGAAGCGGCATTCTTCGTTTGGAATATGGCTTGTCGTTGCTGGACGCCCCGCCGCCAGGTCCAGATCGGCCGGCGGCGGAGAGTGTGGGAACCCGGAATCATCTGGAGGAAATGGGGGGTCAGCGCTTGACGGGCCCACGCCCATGTGTTGCTGCCGCGCGTCGGACCAAGACGGGACGAACGGCATCGGGTTCAGTACCGTACATATAGACTTTATTGGCTGAATTGAGTTGAGGTGAATACCCGAATGAAACCCGGTCTCGATTGGGAAATTGTTTTGCTCAAGGTTTTGATGCAATTGTTGCCGTGGATGCCTGGAATGTTGGGCCGTATAATGACGAGCAAGTGACTAGAATTGCGTGGCTGTTTGTGTTGTTGCAGTTCGATTGGTGCTTCTCGGCTCAGTCCATCTGCACCTTTGGTGCAATCTTGGTCACATATGACCCAGTACTTTTCTTCCCTGTGCCGGCTCATGTGATGTCTTCCTTTCCAGCATGGTACCCTTATTAGGTAATGGCTAAGAGCTCCTCTGGGGGGTCAGGCAGAAGGCACGTGGAAGAGCGGAGGACGGGGCGTGTGGATGGATGGATCTGTATGTAGCGGAAGCCTGGAGGTTGGAACTGACTTTGACGTGACTAACTGTGTTCCCTTGCATACGAGACACGATGAGCCTTTTTTTCTCTCTCTTTTTACCTCTCTCTCTCTCTCTCTCTTGGGGATCGAAAGGATACGGATGTGGAGGAGGGTAGGACGGGGGGTTCTTTGGGGTGAGATGTACGTTCCTGATTTCTCTTGGTCATAGAATGTCAGAGGTTCAGGAGTATTTCTTTTCAAAGCTTCGTCTTTACGGTTGTTCAGGACGAAATTGGGCGTCTTTTAGGTTTAGGTTTGGCGAACGAATGGAAAGTGACACATACATGTGCGAGATTGTTTGGGCAAGAGGTATGTATGCCTGAGGGCGTGATGGGTTGGTAGGGGAATAGACTACAAAGTACCTCGGGACGAGGTATTCAAGATGTTGAATATATCTGGAGGGGGAAAAGAGGCGCTTGGGGGGGGGGGGGGGGTGGGGGGGGGGCGCGGGGGGGGGTCGGGGGGGGTGGTGCATGATCGACGCGGACAGGACTGGGGAGTCGTTGGATGTGGTAGAGGGTGTGTGGGGGGGGTGAAGGTTGGGTTAAGGGGGGGGTGGGGAGAGGGGGGGGCGCTGTGGTGACGGTGAGGTCGGCACTTTCTCGGTACCTACTCTACTCGAAAGGGCTGACCCGTTGAAGTGCGTATTGAGAAACGGTTGTGCCTGACTGTGGCTCCGGTTGGAACTTTAATGAGATTGATATGGGAGAGGGGGGGAGGGGGAGAATCCGGGGCACCCCGTTTCATTTGATTTGAGTGAAGGCATATGATTGCCGCTCTGCCAGAACGGGTTACAATTTGTTGCGTTTTTTGTGACCGGGATAAGTGTGAGGATCCCCATCATCTCAAGGTACCATTCCGCGGGAGATGGAAGTTTGGGGGCGGAGGGAGGAGGTTGGTTGAGGTTCCGGGTTTTGTGAGACCCAGTGTCCCGCTGAGAGTCCCACCGAAGATATTCGTGAATTACGTAAGTAGGACTTTTTTTTTCTCTTGATTAAAGGAGATGGGGCTGTTTGAGTACGAAGCAGTCTTTCTGCTGTTCCTCTATGCAAGGTTTGTGGGAGACATGCCTGTTTGTAGAATTAGAGAGAGTAAGAGCAAGGGGGGAGGTAGACGGGGAATGGATCCCGGAACACCGGGGGGAGCGTCAGGAGTCCGGGCGGCGGGGATAGGGGTCTCGGGATGGCGGTATTGGTGGAAGGGGGGGGACCGTGGGCGTGCCGATTGTGGGATTCGGCATACGTACGTGGATTGCTTGGCCTTGGGCGGTCCGAGGAGGTGTGAGTCGATTGAGCTGGTCCGTTGACGGCGTGCTGGTATCGTGACGTGTATCGTGACGTGATTTACGGATGCTTTGTAGGATGGTTGGGTAAAGATGGTGAGGAAGTTTATCGGCTTCCAGATCGTGATAATGAGTGGACGAGTTGAGTGGTTTAAGCCAAGACGGGTAGGTAGGGTAGGTCACTCCAATGGTAGGGAGCAAGCTTTCGCGCGAGGCGATCCGTATGGTCTATTTAAAGATTTGACATGTGAAGTGGCTATTGCCTTGGCCTTGGGCCCTTTCTACGGGGACTTGAACAGGATCTGGCTCTCGGGACCTACTCCTCTTCTTTGAATTTCGAGGATGGCTGTCACAAGCTATCTGGGACGCAAAAAGGATTCGTTATGTTCAACTTTCAGTAACACCCTACCTTCTTAGCGGGACCGATCCCCGGCACATGGTCCGTTGTACAGCCCGGCACGGCAACCTCTTCCTGGAGCTGAAATGGCTGCTAGTGATAATGGCATTCGGCTTCGATATCTCAGTGTACTTTGATTTGAGCCCAACGCACGATGTGTGATTGCGTGCTTACTTGAAGCAGATTCCAAGAAATGCTCGAGTACCACAAATTTGCAATTGAACTTTTGAGACAAGTCATACTATGAAATCATGCTCACGAATAGCAGTGCCATTCACTTATTTCTTCGACTACAATACTAACCCACGCAGCTGTGCCATCACCGCGTGCGTTTAGCAGAGGGGGTGTTGGGTTTTGTGATCCAGCGGGAAAGAAAGTCTTACCAAGGTGGGGCAGTCTTGTTGTCTTCTGGGTCAAAGTAAGGATAATCAGGGCATCTTCCAAAAGTAGAGGCGTTGAGATGCTACTAATTCAGAATGAGACCTGGGATGTTTGGGTTGTAGTCCTTTGAAATGCTCATTGTGGAGCTGGATGTGAGACTCAATCATGCGGAATTTCTACCTCAGTGACTTCATCTAACCGCACGACTACCGTGTAGCTGTCTATCTATGGAAGTGATAGGAAGAAAAAAGACGACGCAAAGGAGTTGGAAATCTCCGAGCTCGCCGCAATTGTATTGCCTCTGGGACATTGGGGAAGCTGCACTTCGTTCCCCGTTCAGGTTTTGCCATATTGGGGGAGGAAATCCTTCCCATATCGAACCCATACATCACTTTGCGATTCTCCTGCCACACATTCATAGCCTTGTCTCGAAGAAATGTCGCCTTGAATCTTTTTCGGCTCTGGGGTCCACACCAATTGTCATCACATTCGGCAGCTTTGGCAGATGAATCTCGACCGGACCACGGTCGACAACTGTGACCTCAAAAACCGCCAAGTGAAGGACCACGAACCTGTAGCTCTCCAGCGACGCAGAAAGACGCCCCATGCAAGCATGCCGTTCACCCTTGAGCAGGAAACGCTTCCTTGGGTTCTGTCGAGGCCTCTGAGTCGTATTTCCCACGAATAGCAAGCCTGCGAGGCGCCTGATGGAAATTTACTCTCAAGTCCGACATGAACGCTTGGAGAGAGTAGGCCGCCTTGGCAACGTAGTTGCGTTTGCCATGCGAAGGGAAAGTGTTTTGCAAGACTTGGCGAATCGACATAGCGACACTGCTGAGAGTCATTTACAAATCCAGTCAGTCAAGTCCTCTCTTTGGTACTGCGTAAGGCTTGTAGATGAGGTTTTGCAAATTGGTGACATTGAAGAAAGCAATCGTGTGCCCGTCAGAGTCGAATGAACAAATACATTTCATGCGACAAGGCAGATGAACGATGTATGGCCCCACAGAAGTGTCCAAGAGACCGGTAATATAGTGAATCACGTCATTGGTGAGAGACCCAAGGCCAAGAGTTCGGCTTCGAAGAATGGTAGAGACGAGGATTGAGCCGATGATGAGATATCCTTCGCTGTTGAGCACCATCCGGAAACATGTTGGAACTGAAGCATTTCCACTGTGGTCGGCGAGTAAGTCCAAAGTCCACAGTCCACGAACGTTTACAAACACCATATCTGTCATGAAAATAGGTTGTGGTCGCAATGCTCATTCCTAAACCAGCATTATGACATGCCGAAGAAAAGGAACACAATGCTTGAGAACTAGAAGGGGGTCAATAGGGACTATGGGTAGAGGACGGAGGCTATACAAAGTAACCTGTACAAAACAAACCGTCATTACATAGGCATCCATTTTGCGAAGTCCAAGGCCGAGGAGGGCTATCTGAGGAAGAGAACTGGCTGCTACAGCGAGCTTTTTTGCTGGCCACTTCATCAATTCTGATCCAAATTCATACTGAGCGTCGGTTGTTCAACGTAACTCGTAGCATTGTCATGAGTTTCATTTCATTTAATGATACTTAATGAGGATGAGCCTAATTTGATTTGAAAAGTTCGGATTCGCAGTTGAGCCATAGGCAGCATCAAATTAAGGCCAAATAAGTCAGCTAGGAAAAGGACATACGACGCCGCAAAATCTAACCCAGCCATTCACTCTGAACTCGTTTATCAGTCACTAGCCAAAATGTTCGACCGGATGGAAGACGTCAGTCGAAACGCCGGGCCGCGGTGGCGGTGCGGAGCAGTAGGGGTGGCAAGAATGCGGGGTTTGTGGGAGGGAAGGGTCTCTCAAGCCCATGACACCCCCCGTTCGACGGCTCACGGTCGCGGACTAAGGTTCACGCAACTTTCCGGCCCGTTGACACACCTTTCCTACACGCAAACGCGTCATGCAGCTTCTTCCCGCCTTGCTGCATCCTCGAGGTAGACGAAGACGAAGAAGCGCGCCAGGAATAACCGTACGCTGTCAACCCGCAAAACAATGAAGACCGACGCGGCCGCAAACGACGAAGCCTGCTGTACTTGTGCGAAGCTCCTCCGCTCCGTTCCCCGGTACAGCACCGCCACCGAGAAGCCTCTCCCGGACGACAGGCGGCTCGGGTGTTGCGCTCGTGTAATCTGCGGAAGCTGTATCCATGTGCGCTGTGCCCCAGAGAACACTTTGGGGGAATAGGGACGCTGACCGCAAAAAAAAAAGGATAACTCCCGGTTCGCATCCTACTGCCCGTACTGCCAGACGTCCTCGGCACCCTCGACGCTACCCCCGAACCTCAAGGACCCGCCGTCGTACACCTCCTCCCAACCAACCCACCACCTCTCCTCCGGCGCCTCGGCGGCCCCGCCCCCGCCGTACTCGTACTCCTCAACCGACGCCGGCGCCGACGCATCCCTCGACGAGAAAAGCGCATCCTCGCCCTCGACCGCGACGCCGCCCGAGGACACCCTGCACTTCCTGAACCACGACCACGACACAATCGCCTCGCTCTCCCTCCGCTACGGCGTGCCCGCGGCCGTTCTCCGACGCGCAAACAACATCACCAGCGACCACCTCCTCCAGGGCCGCCGCACGGTGCTCATCCCGGGCGAGTACTACGCCGCCGGCGTCAGCCTCTCCCCGCGGCCGATCGAGGGCGAAGAGGAGGAGCTTCGCAAGAGCCGCATCCGGCGGTTCATGACGGGGTGCAAGGTATCCGACTACGACGTCGCCGTGCTGTACCTCGAGCAGGTCGGCTACGACCTCGCCGCGGCGATGGAGGCATACGCCGACGACGAGGCGTGGGAGAAGAGCCACCCCGTCCAGGACGGCGGGGGTAAGAAGAAGACCAAAGCTGCGCCGCCGCGCAATCGGGGACCCTTTTGGAGAGGATCTGCCTAAGAGTCTGGTAGGGGGGGGGAATGATGATGGGAAATATGACTTGAGCTGTTTACTTCGACTCACTGGGCGCGACACGGAAAGGGGGACCGGCGTTTGGGCATTTTGGTATTATTAGAACTCTTCTTCATTGCATCGTCATCATGTCCTTGACCACCATACGGCTCTGTTTGGCCTGTATAAAAACGCCGCTACCATATACCGTTGTAACGCTTTGTACACAATATACGTAACATGTCCCGACATCTCCTGTGTGAGAAGCACTCAAGCGACGACCATGTCCGCATTTGAAAAAAAAAAAACCACCGCCCATCCACCCCACGGTGGAAGCCTTAAAAGGCGGACCGCGTCCGAATGTCCGAAATCTTTCTCTCAATCTCTCTCACCGACCGGTCGAGTTCGCCGGCAATCATCTGCTTCTTGTCGCTGGGTAGAAGGGTGTACCTCTCGCACAAGTCGCCGTCGATGACGCCCTTTACGGGTACGTAGTAACCGCGGTACATTAGGTGATCTCTTCCGGCGAGCGGTGCGTCCTCGGTGCGCATATGCTGCTCGAGGTTCTGGAAGAAGTCCACGTCCTCGCGCGTGACGAACGGGATGAAGACGCCAATGGTACCGTTGATGCCGCTCCAGAGGAGGACGTCCTGACCACCGACGACCAAACTTGTTCTGGTGATGCTTGTGGGAACGTCTTGGGTATAGGAGTGGCCTAGGAGGTTGAGGCGGTGTGGGGTGCCGTGGAGGTAATCTCTAGTGTTGAGGAGATGGAGACCGCCTGATTCCTCGTCGGCTTCTTGGCTTGCCTTCTCAGGGCAGCGAACGAGGAACATGTTACCGAACTTGTCTCCTCCGACAACCGACTCGTAATCCACCATGGTGGTGCAAGTCACCCATCTGGAGATGGTATCGTCGACGAAGGGAATGAGCTTGTTTGTTGTCGGCTTATAGACGACATACGTGATGCCGTGCTGGACATCACCAACAACAATGCGGCTTCCTTGTGTGCTCAGCGACACAATCAATTGTGGAGCCACATCGGCTTGGGCTTTTCTGAGCATTTGTCTCAGGCCCAAGTCGTAAATCCTCAAGGTCTTGCCAACGCCCGCGAGTAGTCTGCCTTGGAATCCAAGAAGCGCTGACGGTGGCTCTTCAACCTTGGTTTTGTGAATGAACTCCAGCTCGTGGCCGTCCTCACTGAAACGGTAGACATGGATGTAACCTTCAGAGAACTGGCGAGGGTTGACGACCATGTCCTTTCCTGTGCCAACAATCAGGAAGCTTTCATTGTCCTGGCTGGCGAACGAGACGATCGCAGCGCTGACAGCTGCTTCATTATTGTCGAGATCAACGGTTTGCAAGACTCGTTGATCCTCTGATAAGGGATCGATGACGCTGATGCAAGAAGCCCAACGGCCTTTACCCTTGGGGTATCCGAACTCGTCAGGCGGCAGCACCACGGCATCGCCGTTAACGACACCAGGTTCCGCAATCAGCTTGGCTCGCAGGTCAGGAGGTAGCGTATTATTGTCTGCCTCGACTGTGTAAAACATGGGGTGGTCGGGATGTTTGAGAAGACGTCTCGGAGTGTAGGTGAGGGGTATCGATTTTTGTGTAATGGTGTCTCCGAGGTTCTCAATGGCAAAAATTCTAAACCTCTGCGTCAGCTGCTGATCAAAAGCATGTAAGTGCAAAGATAAAAAGGGTAAAGTATGACTCAGTAGGAACAATTGGTATGTTGCGTAAGACCTCATAGCGCTTTGGCATAGGATCCCAAATTTCTCATCATGTCATGAAAGGGAGCGGGTGGATAAAAAGAGTGGCTCTTACCTTAATGATTGGCCTTGAATGCCAACAACACCTTCTTCGCACTGCTCGCTGCTGAAATTCCAGACCCATTCGAGGTCAACGTAGTTCAAGGGTGTCACCAGGAAACCTCGAGTGATGGGATCGGAATATCCAAGCCAAGGACGGGAGCTTAACCCTATCACGCAGGTCCGTCCTTGAACAGTGACTTGGAAAAGTCGCACCGGCTTGGGGCCGAGGAACTTTTGCCTCGTATCCGTAAGCTCTCCAGTGATTTCGTCCAAAACTGTACGGAGATAGACACCAGAGTGTAGGCCGATGTGAAGATAGAGTGTTGAGCCTCCAGACGAGGAGTCATCCATGGCAATAATGGCCAGCGATGAGGGAGGAGCAGTCAGGGCTTGAACTGACTTGCTCTCGAGTGTTGACTCGGGATCCAACGACAAAACACGCACAGTGCTGTCGTCGCAACCAACAGCCAGGAACGAACTTCGCAGACGTCCTTCAGGGATTTCACCCAAGCTCAGACATGTGACAGTTCCAAACATCTCCTTCTTCTCATCGTACTCGGCAAGGGATCCATCGCCATCCATCTCGAAGTAGACGATTTCACCCGAGCTGAGTGCGACCGCTACCTGGTGCTGGTTGGTGGTTGCTGCGACAATGGATCTGTGCTGTGGCGCGGCCCACTCGTTTACTTGACCATGTCGAATGTGACGAATACCCTTGGGATGGACCTGGATGAGGCCGTCTTCGCCTAGCAGCTGTGCGGCCAAGGTGGGCACAGATGTCAGGAAACCGGAATCGCTGACCTCCTCGACTGTTTCACCAATGCTCAAAACAAGAGTTCCATTGGTAAAAGATAAAACGATGTAAGCATCGTATTGATCGCCGCGGCTCAGCTTCAGAGTCCAAACCGCCGAGGGAATGCCAGGTAGTTCGGAGGCCACAATCTCGTTGACTTCCAAGCCATGCTTCAACATTCTAAATGTGCTACGAGCACCGTTGCCGCAGGCTGTGTAGATTTGTGGCGCATCCTCGCCAGTCAGGTTGGCCACCTTGCAGTCGAGCAGGGGGTTCATGGAGTCAATGCTCTCGACAAGAGCAAGGTTCTCTAGTGGTCTTGGGTGGAAGTAGACCGCTTCGTAACCAGCTCTGGGATCCGTTGGGAAGTCATCGCTTGAAAATTCCAGTTCCTCGTCGTCATCTCCGAGCTTCTCAAACTGGTAAAATTGATGGTTACCGAACTGGCTCGCAGCGTACAGGAAACCGCTCTTGAGAATGCATAGGCTTGATGACACCGGCGCCGTGTCGAAGTACTTGATCTTGAGCCTCTTCACTTCGCCAGTGGGGTTACCATCTGCATCCTCAACCATGTCGAGAGTGGCCTTGAAGAGGTCACCATCCTCAGTCTGCAGGAGGAAAAAGAAGGCCCCAGCACTGCCTTTCAGCTTGTGCATGACGCCAGATACCACGTGTCGCTTCCTAGAAGGGTCTTCCGTTGCACCTCGCCGGCGCGGGATTGGTACGCGGAAGGCTTCTTGGTTGGAGTGCCTGTACGTGATATTTTCCTCTCCACAGACCAAGACTCCGCTGGGACCATCTTGACCACCTGGAACTTGGAATAGCAGTGATGCCGTGGGATCGACTGGCTCGGACCATTTACGAACGACGTGATTCAGTCCCAGGTCCAACTCGTAGTACACCAGCTGAGTCTCTGCTTCCCGAGCAGCCTCTCCTGTAGGATCTTGGTCTGCCTCGGTGTACTCGATCTCGAGCGCAGCAAAGACCGGGTTGGCATAGCCGACATCTAATGCAACCATGCACAACACCAGTACCCCGGGCTTGTGTGCCTCGAGGGGCGAAGAGATCGTGAGCTCGGCCTGCGAATTGCGGTTGAGGACGTATACAAGCTTGTTCTTCTCGACTGATGCGATCATACACGCTCTGCCCTTGGGATCGCAAGCAAGATATTCTCCAGGTATGACTCGTCGCACCCCAGACTTGCCAAAAGTCTCGAGATGCAGACGCTGAAACCGATTCTGTGCGGGAATGTACTCGACGATTGTGATCCTTCCAGAGTCAGTCGCAAGGATGAGATAGTCTTGACACAAGGTCAGCAAAGTCCTTTGGCAATCACATCTCGCATCCGTGGTCGAGCGACATTGACAGCACTGACGCCTATCGTGACCGGCAAGCTTCTCAAATCACTAAGTGAAGCTTTAATTGGCACGGGGGGGCACGAGACATACCTTTGTTGCTTCCAGCCAGCCGGAATGCGGCCATAGACCGAATGATGCCGAAGATATCATGCGAGAGCAACGTGATGACTTTGCCCTGCGACGGATCCGGACGAAGCAAAGTCAATCGCGACCCTGACGCCGTCACAATGTTCTGCTCCTTGGTTCCAGAGAACTGACCCAACACCGCCTGCGTGACATTTGTAGGCGATTGAAGGGTCAGGGAGTAAAGAAACATATTGGAGGTCGTCGCCATGTTTGCAGGTGAGCGCAGATAGCCTGCGCGGCCTCACAGTTCGAGCTCGAATAGATGGGCGAGGCACGAGACGCGGTGTGTTTTTTGAAGTGGTGGTGGGTTGGGAGGCGGGAGAGCTCCAGCACGAAATTTCAGAAGCTCCAGGTTCCCACTTGGCGCCTGAGACTGGGCGTGGTGGAGAGCGGTGCCGGCACCTTGTTGATCCGAGCTACCCGAAATTTTGGGTCGGCCCCGTCGTCGATAGAGAGAGCTCTCTGGGAGCTAAGGTAGCGAGCGACGCAGTGTTCTTGGTGTCATCACAGGCCGCAATTGGATATACGTATCACGTCGGGCAAGATGGAACCGGCTTTCAGAAAAGCAGCGTCAAGCGCTTGCGGACAATGTTCTGTAATACTGAGGAGGCAATTGATTGCCAACGGAGTTCCCAGAATCGCCCCTCGCATCGCATCAGCCCACTCGACCCGAAGCCTCCATTCCACCATTTCCAGAACATCAAAGGTCAACAATGCGCCCACAAGACAGTTCTCCTCGTCCCCGAAAGCTTCAAGCGAGGCGGCTGCTGCCAAACCCATTGAAAACGAAACGTCGACCCCAAAACTCCGACCGGATGATCTATTCCACTCTTTTACGAACTCGCCCATCCCAGAGATCCGACGCCGTGCGGCTTTCATGCGCCAGCATGCCTACTGTTCTCACCCCGATCACCGCGCGACAAGAGTCCCGACTGTGGCACCCCACGGAGAGGAGAAACAATCGCAAACGGGGCAGCTTGCGCCGGCGCATGTCGATTTTGAGTGCCCCGATTGCGGAGTCCCCGTTGCCTGCAGCAAGGAGCACTGGATGGACGACTACGAGGCTCACCTTGAGATTTGCGATACTTTAAGGGAGATCAACGAGGACGACCATGACTTACGATCCGGCCGGGCATTCCCGGAGTTCGTCATGGTGGATGATCAGATGCCAGAGGCAGTCGTGAACATGACGAACTGGGACACCTTCATGTACAGCCGCGAATTTGAGGCTGTCAATGATGAGCGCAGCATGCGGCAGGTCACGAAGATGCTCACTTACCCTATCACCATCGGTAGTGTTCTGCATGAGTTGAGCCCTTACAGCGTCAAGCAAGGGGAGAGGTTGACGAGCGAGGGTTTGAAGAGTTTGAGTGGTGAGTTTGTTGGATGTTGTCAGAAGTGCGACGAACTGACAATAAGGCAGCTTTGCGGTACACCCTTCATCCTCCACTTTCTGGGAAGGGCACTAGTATGAAGGAACTCCGTCCCGAGGCACCTCCCGTGAGAGTCTTTTGCTTGGGAGCCCGTGCCGAATCATCGCTGCCCAGAAACGTCTGGATTCAGCTTGCTCATCTCTTCCCAGAGAGCAAGATTCACCTGATCTTTATCGGTCCTGAAAGTATGGCTAACCGGGACGACGAGTTCCCCCTGCCGCCGCGGACACCTGAGAACCCGTTTGGTATGGTAATTGAAGACCGGATATCGCACAAGATGAAGATCAGTACCATCGTGGATTACTACCACACCATTCACAAGACCGGCTACTTTGCGCCTTATGACCCTTACTTTGACTGCTTCTGTCTCTTCCATCCTGGTCTGGGCCATCCGGCGAGCAGTCACGAATGGACCGAGACCCTGCCTATGCTTCTGGAGACCAAGGTTCCGATCATTGCTACAGGTTACACCCAGTTCGATATGGAGAGAGATATCGAATGGGTCCGAAAGACCGCTGCCGGGGAGTTCGACGTCCTCTTGGAGCCTGGCGAAAACCTCTTCCGGAGCTTGAGGTGGGACCTGAATGACTTGGATCCCCAGGATGTCAGCTGTGGAAACTGGGGAGTGTGGGCGTTCCGCGGAAAGAGGTATGCGATGCTCATCAGCCATCAATTTGATCCGACGCTAACGACGACTAGATATGAGACGACCAAGAAGGATGAGGAGTAGATACTCGTCACCTTGGTGACGACATGAGAATGGGAATGCTGTTGGACCGAGTATAGAGGTTCTGTAAATAAGTGTATCATACTTACCGGCATGTGCATTGTATAACACAAAGGAGGGGGGAAATCAAAACCAAGTCGACTCTGTGATCAGTCTTGCTGTAAATTGGACCGTGCTTCCTTTCCAAAAATGTCCAACTCGAGTCTTGTGTGGCATGCGCTGAAGCAATTGCACCAATTATAACACGCACAGATCACAGAACTTAAGGTAGCTACGGTTGATAAGGTGGTAAAAGGTGGTTACCATTAGACAACGATATGTCCCACTCAATCATCCTGCTGTGCTGTGCCAAGATCGGGATGAATCTAGACGTTTTATATTGTGCCAACCTTGCACGTAAGGTAAGGTAGTCTGACTCGCATTAGCAAGACATACGCATGCGTTGTCAAGCGTTCCGGCAGGTCGGGTCCGGTGGCCGGGGCAAGTGCCGGGGCTGTCCTCTGCAGATGCGGGCTACTCCGGCAGGTGGCGTTTCCAACCTACCTACCTGCCTTATGTAAGGTGCCCTGGGTTCTTAGCGGGCTGCAGCGCACAGGGCCACGGCCGTTGAGCCGCTAAACGCAGCTGCAACGGGAGACCAGCCCTTCCCTGCAACCGACCAGCACCGGGGGGCAGGTCCCCAGTTTCCGCCCGCCGTCACTCAACCACCTCACAGATCAGCGTCGTCCGAAATCTTGCTGGCTGCAAGTCAAACTTGACGACAGCACACTCACAACTATTCCCGCCAAAGGGCCATACGCGCCCAATTTACGTGCTTCGTACCATGAGAGTGCGGTCGCGCCAACGATAGACGGCCATGGCAGCTGTCGCTACCCCTCGCGCGCCGACGCCGCGACCGAACCCCCCCGCGACAGTAAGCTTCTTGAACGACCCGGCCGCGGCCGTCCCTACGCCTTTGGCTCCCCCCGGTGCCGACCGAACCCGCCCTCCGCTTCAGACCAATCCTTCCGCTCGCCGATCTGCCCGGACTACATCTACAGACTATCTGTCCGATAAAGCGACCGCCGCCTTCATCCGCCGTGTCCTTTGCTCCAAGCATCTAGCCGAAAGGGGGAGGGCAACCCCGTCCCCGATCGAAGAACTGCTCCCACCCCTGACCAGTCGCAACGATGTCGATCTACAGCTATACGCACTCATCTCCGTCATTCTGAGGGAATACGTACAGGTGTGGTACAGCAAAATCACTCCCGATGACACCTTTGTAGACGAAATCGTCCAAATAATCGCCCACTGCACGAGGGGCCTTGAGCAGAGACTACGCAAGGTCGACCTTGAAAGCCTGTTGTTTGACGAGCTGCCAGATTTACTGGACAGGCATATACTCGGTGGGTCGAGACTCGCAAGCTATCAGGCCAGCCTTTCACTGACATCCACTCGATAGCCTACCGCGCGGCGCATGATCCTGTGTCTAGGCCGCCGACGGAGATAGACCCACGAGAAGTGTATCACTCGCTGTGTCCTTTGGCTCCTTTGACGCCCATACCCCGCTCCGAAGACCCCTCATCTGTTGCGAGCCAGCAAGAGAACGAGACGCTATATCGGCAGCTGCTGGTGCAGGGCGTCCTGGCTGTTCTCCTACCGACTGAAGACCTTGAAAACGACTGCCTCACCTCCCTGGTCGGCCAAATATTCTCCGAGCTCATTATTGGCAACGTTCTCGCCAATCGTCTTTCACAACCATGGCTCATTTACGAATGTCTTATAATCCTCACCAGAGTCCTCGACAGGAAAGCATCAGAGCCTATCGAAGAGGGAGTGGCAGAGGCGTTGCAGGCCGGGTCAACATCCGCGCTCCCCAGGCCGGCTCGCCGTAGTTGGTCCATCCAGGGGGCATTCTGGTCGCTCGTGCAATGGTCATTCCTCGCTTTCACAACAATTCGCTTCCTCATCATCACTCTCGCAATGTCTTCATCCCTGCCTCCGAGGTCAGAGAACGACGTGAGTGAAAAGGACCAAGTGACTGGTCAAATATCGGATTCGAAGACGCCGGAACCCACAGCTAGCTCGAACGAGGTGCGGCCTGTCAGAACGCCTATCGCCGCCTTCAAGCTGTGGAGCTGCATAGCTGACTTGCTGGAAATGGACTCTCGCATGCCTTGGTTGAGCGGGATGATGTCGCTTTTGCAACTCGGGGCAATGAGAGGCCCAGGACGTGTTGCTGGTCTCAATGGAGCTATGGACAGGTAGGCAACCATCATTTTATTTCTCCCTCTCCCTCTATAGCAAACTCACCGTCACATCGCATGAGATTCAAGTCACTGGACCTCGACAAGCTCCAGTGAGCAATCAGCGGCGCTCCGTCAGAAGAGTGTGTAAGACGGGATGGCTGTTCCCACGACAGCCTAGTGGGCTGCACTGTGGATGGATTTGTTGATGGCTTGATACGGGTTATGGCGGCACACCTTGGGGTGAACGCAGCGAGGGGGATTGAGTCTCTTGCAGGACCGCGCGAAAAGCCGAAATATGCTGTGCGACACTCACACCCGGCCCATTCTGCGACCCAACCCTGACTTGACCTCGTCCCCGATTCCTCGAAACATGCGGTTGCATTTCAAGGGCCTCGTGGCTTTTGACCAATCGCAGCATGCGTCAACGTTGCTCGCCTCCGATTTGCTTGATAGGCCCTCGCGGGGCTGCGCTTCCATCCACCAGCAAGCCTCATTTACGCGCCCAAGTCCAACAAAGAGCATCACTTTGCAGGGGGTCATTTCCATCACTGTCATCTCCTTTGCCCAGCGCACGCCTACGGAAATACGACGCTTGGTCAGCCACGGGAAGCTGTCAGTCTCGCTCGTTTCGTGAGGTCCCGCTGCGAAGTCGGTCATGAAAGTGGCCGCGCATGCTGGGACACAAATCCTACCTGCGCGGCGGCCGCTTTCACGATCTAGATCATGCTGGGGCTGATCGCGAGCTTCCGTTCCTGATCGCTACCCGATACGTACAATCAAGGCGGAACGGTTCAGGCCATGAGCAGTCACTCGATCCGTCCCGAGAAATGGACTATCTGCTTGCCGTCCCCCGCTCGGCGGCTAATTGCCTGCCCTCCATGGTCCGATGCGAAGCTTGGCCGGACTCGAACTTGGGAGCTAAGCTGTATCCCGGCTGACATATCTGGGCCTTTGCGCATTGGATGGCCTACTATTACACACCACCATTGGCCGCAATCGAACAAGACATATCTCAACATTGGGACCAAGGCCAGCTGTGCCCCTTCAACTCCAGGACGTCGTTCGAGCATTTCAGACTGCCTCCATCGCCAACGAACAGCCTCGGACTATAAACACATTTTCTCGTCGTCCAGCAAGTCTTTGAACCGTCTCTACATTTTATCTAGTCAACGCCGACACCCACCGCAAGCTCGTCATCGGGGGCGCCCTGATCCATGTCCTCATTCTCGTGTCACCTTTGCCTAGCCGTCCCCATTCCATTCCTTACATCCCCCCTCCTTTACTTCCCCTCCCGCAGATCGTTGCTCCCCTTTGTCAATTCACACGAAAGACCCTGCAAGCCCCCACACACTGACCGTCGCGACTGTCCGAGTCGGAAGCTTACCCGGGAAAACTAACATGGAGCGCTTGCCGCGTCGAAATACAGGCTCATTTCGCACACCATTCACCAACGCCTCCTCAACGCCGCATACTTGCCAACAGTCCTCCGCTCCATCCGCGCCGCCCTCTTCCCCAACAACGCCCCCGGCGTCTCGACCCTGGTAGCCCCCTCATCTGACGAGGAGTTGCGTGCCCTACGCCGCAGGTGCGCTAGCGCCATGCTGGCTAGAATCCCGCCCTGGTTGGCTGGTCTGTATCTAGGCGGGCAAGGCCTTGGCTTCCGGTGGCGGTCCGGACCGGTGTCGAAGCCTGATGCTGATGATGCTGCTGCTGCGTATACGAACGAGAGCGAGGCCAATGTTCCTGGCAGGGATGGAGGCAGCAACGGTGACGAGAGCGTGGCTACTACTGATGACGAGACTGATGACATGGGTAATGGCAGAAAAGAGGATGAAGATGAAGATGAGCAGCGAATGCTGTCCGAAATCGAAGAGGGCATACTGGATATCTTTTCGGACGATTATTGCAACAAGCATCTCATGTACAGCATGCTGGAGCTGATTCTGGTGAGGTTAATGCCCGAGCTAGCGGAGAAGGGCGTCGTTGAGCTCTGGGAGGAGCGTCTGAGCCTGTGACGAATACCACGAACGAGTCCTATGCCTTTCCATGTTTTAGATACCCTTGTTAGTCCGAGAAACGCAGTGCATAACACTTTATGATATTTCACATGATGAAGAAGCCACGTATACACTCAGGGGGGAAGGAGGCGGGAGGCAAGAGGCAATGGGTTCTTAGGATATTCGTGTATTTGCATACCGGCCAGGAGGATGAAAAGGGGAAAAGAGCGAAAAAAAAAGGGGGCAAATCCCTAGGAAATCAAATGCAAAAGGGGCCGCCCGTTTTTTTTTTCTGTTTTCCCACGCGAACTCTCTGGTCCCTCTGCTGCGTAAGTTTCTCGTCTACTTGCCTTGCTTCGTTCCGAGCTTGTTGATCAATTATGATAACCCGCGCGTGGCCCGTTGCCGTCCACTTTCCGTGACACCGCCCCCCTGTAGATACCATGCCTGGCTGACCAACCACCAGCCAACCGGGGAAACCTCCAAACTTCCTATCCTTGTCGCCTCACAGATGCAGAGAGTGTGAAAGAGAAGGCTGGGGATAATACACTGATGAAATGGTGAAGAATGTTGAAATGTTTCGCGCTCGGGGAACCAAGCTATGAGGACTTGATATCGAAACGGTACAAAAGAAGATGAAGGAAAAGATGACTATAGAAAACCAGGCTGAAATCAATATGGCGTGTGGGGAATTTTGCGGTTTCGCGTGAGCGGAAAGGTCTTCCCTCGAGGGGAGCGTGAGCGTTTGTAAGAATGGGGTATATGAATGTCTCGATTGCAATTTCGAGTACAGAGGATGATGATAATGATGCTGTTGTTCCGAATAGTAGAGAGAATGTCTCCGCGCTGTCAACTCTGGCCAGTGTTCCCCCGGTCCTGTAATGATAAGGTATAATTACTTGGCCGTATTTCCAAATGTCGTGAGACTGTGGACCAGTGTTGGGAACAGAGGCGCTGGAAAATGTCGCCGCGGAGTCTGAAGCCTCAAGGCCCAATCAAGAGAAGACTAGAGAGGCTGTCGTGAGACATTGACCGTTTATTCCTGAGGTATTCGTGTTCCCCATGATAGGTATCGCCATTGTGAAGTGGTTTTGTTTTTCCAAAATCGAAAATCCGGTCCCGACGAGGCGGCTGTGCCCTTTGCAGAACTCTCGCCGGGTCTAGACATTGGTGTGACCAAGATGATGGTCTTTGTCCTGTTGAAGAGGCCCATGCATATCATGCGCGGGATGGCCTGTTTCCCAATCCAGTTCAAAATCAAAGCAAACATACAAACGCGTTTAAAAATGGCGAAGAATATTCTTGTCGAAAAAGGAGAAGCGTATTCGATTTGGTGTGGCTTAGCTTTGCAAACCAATTAGCTGGAGCATCGAGCCGGGTGTTCATTAAGTTACGACAGGCTCAGATTTGATGCCCTGCAACATCGAATGGGCGTGTTGCGGTGACAATTCGGTGTCACCTTCGGGAATACGATCCAAGATGCCTAGCGACTGAGGTGCTCCGGATTTTGCAAGCTGGTGCTGCTGGAGTCGCAATTTCTCCGTCAACCTCAACATCACCGCGTAGTCCGTTTGGTCCAACAGGGCTCCCCCATTGGTACTTTGGATGTAACTCAGCAAAGTGTCCGCAGCCTTCCGAGCATCCTCTTGTGTCGGGGAAGTCGGGGAAGATCCAGCTGGAGTTGTGGCTGATCGGCCCGCCATGCTGCTGTTGCTACTGCTGTGATGCAGGTGCGGCGATGAAGTAATAGCGGTATCCAAGCCAAAGTGGGGTGCTGCCATTTCGTGAACCGGCGATTCCAACGCGGACGAAGGTGCCGTGGACGCCGGATGGTACTTGGGAGTCATGGGCTCTGCTGTCGCGGCCTGATTCATGTACTCTAGGTCGAGAGTGGGAAAGGTCTGGCTCCTTGGCCTCTGGAAGTTTGAAGCGGCCCCTCCATGCAGTTGACGGGATGAGTCGCTGGGGAGGAATTGACCAGCGTTAGGGTCAGGGGAGAACGTGAACGTAGCCGTGGGACTCATCGCGCTTCCCGAAAAGGACGAATTTCCTGCGTCAGTCAACGCACTGTTGAGAGAGGTTGTGCTCTGCGAGTTGGTGTGTTTGTAGGCGCCGCCATCCCCATACCCGACGAAACCGAGACCGTGTACGGCGTCTTCATCACTCCTGTCAGCCGACAGTGGAGATGGGTGTCCTGTTGGCGACGCCGGTGAGATACCAGATGCCCCAAGAGACGGAGACCCAGATAGTTTCGCGTGGTCCGTGATGTTCGTTTCCGATGCTCTTCGCAGGAGCTTTCCCGAAACCAGAATGTTCCTCTGCTTGAATCTCTCCAACCAAGTGGTGTTGATCGACTTCATCTGGCTAGCTTCAGGTCCGCCGTTGGTAGTCCGAGAGAAGTGCTTTGCTTGGTCGAGAATCTCGTCGTCACTGGGGGCTAATCCAGCTTGTTGCTGTCTCCTGACCCACGCCGCAACAGCTCGATCGATATCTGGAAACTTGCCCTTGGTATGACGCCTGCCAGCGGGAGACTGACTCCTGTCCGCCTCCGGGTTTAGGTACTTCTCCTTGTTGCGTAGGACTTTGGATACGGTGCTGAGATGTCAAGGTTAGAAAATTCAACGCACTCTTCATGCTCATGCTAGAACCCACCTTCGTTCAACGCCAAACATGGCGCCGATGTCCGTCTGCTTCACATTGGGATGTTCAGCAGCATACTGACACATTTTTTTTCGGTCGTCGTCGGTCAATACTCTTCGTTGTTGCGGCTGCGGGCCATTTGTCAGCCGTGTAGGCCTGGGAGGTGCTGGGGCAACGATGGGTGCCATTCCCAAGGGAGGTGCCGAATAGCTATTGGGGTTGGTTAACATGCTAGGCCACGTTGGTTGAGAAGGTATCATGAGCATTGGTAGCTGGGCATGAGATTGTTGTTGATGAGACTGCATCGGCTGCAGAGGAGCCGGCGGAGGCGGCATTCTGCCAATTGATTCGGACGGCAATCCATGGCTGACTGCTGGCATGAAAGTGAAGCCTCCGAAATCCGAGATGCTGTTCTGATGGCCGTACGGACTCATGTCTCCCCAACTCTCGGCGCCGAAAGATGTGTGGTTGTGAACCATGTGGGTGTCTTCGTCTTGGGTTAGGTGGCTGTCCTGGTCCATGGTGGCAGTCCCCACGATGGAGTTGTTCATTGCTTATATAACTATTAGATCTGTTTTCGATCCCAGGAAGCCAACTCAGCAACACTCAAAACGAGAATTCCTGGCTGGCCTGTAGTCGTGTAGTCCAGGTTCCACGTTGGTGATTGCAAGGAGGGGATCGCGTTGATGGCTTCGCCTTGACTGATGGAAAGATACTCGGGCCAAGGGTGGAGATCGAGGGTCCCGATAGATATTGGAGGGTTTGGCTTCAAGAAAGGAAGACAGCATGCATGACCGAGGTGGCCAATTGGTCCCTGAAGGCGCGGCGTGCAGGCGGTCTGCTTTGTAGGTCAAGAAGCCCTGGGCCTCAGGGTGACTTGGATGCAAGTGCGTTGCAAGCTGCAGAGAGGTGTCGGGGTCAACGTCGTCTTCGAGTTAAACTGACCAGCTAGACGTGTGCCTTTCTGTAGGTCTATTCAACGAGATGTGCCAGTCTTGTGTGCGGTTTTTGGAGTTGGAGTTTGAGGTCGTGCTTAAACTGCGGGTGCAACAGCAACAGTCCTTTCTTGTCGCGGCAACCACCCAGTTGGTCCTTTGCCGTATCAAGAACCCCCGACTTGTCCCCGAATTGTGACTCAGGGGGTCTCCCAACCGTATCGCTTTTTGATGCCTAGGTAAACCGTTGCCCAGTTGGTGTGACAGCGCGTTGCGAATTGGTCGCTTCTGACGATGGCACGCCTCTCAACAACAAACTGAAAATGAGAGGAAAGATGGATGACCAAATGTTGAAAAAGCTGCTCCAGGGAAGAAGGCTTGTCTGTCTATTCGGTCAGCCAGTCGAGGGCGAAAGCGAACGAGCCTGACAGGACTGGAAAATCGGATCGGGCCACTCAGAAGGGGAGAATTATACAGCGGTATGCTGCAAGAATCAGACGCCGCGACGCACGAGGCAAGGCTTGAAGAGCAGAGCTAGCAGATTATGGTTGGGGTAGGCGGGCTTGATCAGATAGTAATACTATCAGGCGCACGGCAGGATGGAGGTTGTGTCGGCGGCGGTGGGCCGCAGTGTACATATGTAGAAGCTATGCAGGCAGAGACGGCGGCGGATGCTTCCCATGCAAATACCGGCAAGGGTTTGGGGTGTGTGTGTCTCGTCTTCTCCTGGGGGTGTGGTGGGTATGATTGAATCTAAGTAGAGCCGGGGTCTCGACTCGGCCCCTCGGGGGTGTGTGTGTGTGTGTGTGTGTGGCAGCAGACCTTGCGAAGGATAAGATGGAGTTCTGTCTGTACCAGCACTGCGGCGTGAATGGTCGCTTCGGGACGATAAATGAGAAGAGTAGACACGCGCAAGGTCGGCCAGGTGAAAGTGTGGTTGATGAGCGATGTGTTGATCAAGACCAGAATGCAAGTGCAACTTATCCGTCAGAAGAAAGCGCCCGGCAACGAGAGCAGCTGTGATAGGCCTAAAAGAATGGTAAAGCCGCAAAGATGCGACGTTAGGACTCGAGTACAGCACAGTCTTATGCATGAAGCATCATGATATTGGCAGGGGACGAGACAGAGCAGAATGAAGAATGGGTTCCGTGAGGGGAGTAACGAGACCTTTGCAACCGGCAGAACTGAACAAGAGAAAAAATGGGACGGGACAAATGCCGTAGAACTGAGTTCCAGATACCTGGGGAACGATTGTTGATGTTGACGAGGTTGCGTATCTTGTGCGATGGTGTGAGTGTTTTCATCGATGAAGACATCATAGTCGGCCTAGAATTCATGTCTAGACCACTGACAACCGCCACGGCTAGGGAATTGAGGAGGAGCTAAAAGAAGCCACAGGCTCAATTTGTCTCCGTTGCCGCATGGGAAGAAACGACGGACCATCTAGAAAACGCTGTTGACGGGAATGGGACAAGCCACACACAGACACTAGTTGGGATGCTGATTTGCTTCCGTCTCGTCTCGTCTCGTCTCGTCCTATAGCGCCTCGTCTAGACCTGGCCTCGCCTCGCCTTCGCTGATGTCTTATTCCCCCAACGCTGGCTGGTAGGCGAACGGCTACTAGCCACTCGGGGTAAGAAATGCTTCCCTCTTTTGCCTCTGGCCATGTTCTTGGCCCTCGGGTTGTGGAGCAGAGTCTGTCGGCTTCCTGCGAGATGATGACAGCCGATGGCACGGATGGCCCGATGGTGCGGATTAGGAAGATTCTGTAGGAAAAACCGAATTGGTATCACCCAGGAATTCAATGGCAGACAACAGTGAGTCTGGAGCCGAGGGATGGGAAGAAAAAAGAAAGGTAGAAAGCGAGATGTTACAGAAAACGGTTGCTTGGATGCTCAATAATCAGGCAAAGCCGCGTCTGGGTCGAGAAACGGAAGAATCGCGCGCCAATTAGCTGACCTGAGGACCTGCTTTGCGCTGAGATTACCACCCACACGACACGCACACACATACACGTACTGTGTAATATGCTCACCGGAGCAGTGGCCGGAGAGACGATGGGAGGTTTGGATCCAAAGACGGACGGAGCATTTGCACCCTTGACGGGCTGTGCTTGCGTGAGAGCGAGATCGGGTTAGTTGGGGTCGGGGTCTAGACGAGGAGGGCGCGTTCATGGCTTGCTCGCCGCAGTATTCGTACATGGTGTGACGGGAGGTTCCTCTCCTCTCCTCTCACCTCTCCGCCCGCGATGGGTACGGAGTAATACTGGCGAGTGTTGCTCCGACAAGGGTTTTGATTAAGCAGAGGGGATAGAGTCTAGAGATTGAAGGGGATGTTGCCGGTACAAGGCGTTACGTTAGTGTGGGCGATGGCCGGTGGACGGATCATTCCAATGTGAAAAGTGAGTAGGACGAGACGAGACGGAGACGAGACATGGAGACATGGAGACATGTCGAAGCAAATGAAAAAGGGTGATGGATGAGCCCGTGTCCATCTCTACCTTGAGGTAGAGAAGAACCTGTTCCCAAGGGTAAAGGTTAGGCAGGGTAGGTACGGATAGCTGCCAAACGTCAACCGAAGGCAGCTTGCTTACCTTAGGTACCTAGGTACCTTATGGAGCAAATCTAGGTGCCCGACAGGTAACGGTACTTGCATTCCTCGCTTACGCTCCATACCAGTGCCGTGTATCTCGGAGTACTGAACTTGGATAACGTGCCTGCTTCAGCACGCAAGTGATTCAGTCTCGAAGTCGACCTGAGTTGAACGGGCGACATGGAAGGAAACGACGTGGACGGATACGGACGCCAAAGGAGAGGAAGGAAACAACGTCGTCCCATCTTGGGCAGTGGACCGGCGGGCGGGCGTTGACTGGCTCACCCGTCCTTTCCCTGCCCCATCACAAGCCCTAAGGACGCACGGGGCAGGGATGTCTGGGCAGGGGGAAAGGGAGCGGAGAGCAGGAGCAAGAGGTGCACTGTGAACTCTGCAATCCTTGCTTCCCATCTCGAGGTCCAGCAAGAGACAACCACAACCTACGGGAAGGCTTCTTAACCTCAAGACGGACCCCACTTTAAGCATCCTGTTCCACCTTTTACCGCCGTCGTCCGTACCTTCCCCGAATGGACGAGCTTCTAATAGTGGAGGGCAAGATGGGCGAAAGACTACATAGTACCTATCTGTGCGGACTGTACCTCCCTTGGGTGACTAGGTAGGGACCTGAGCGGAGAGCAGCAAGAAAGAGAGAGAGAGAGAGAGAGAGAGAGAGAGAAAGAGAGAAAAAGCAATTAGAAAGTGATGAACCACCAAGGTCCCGTCCCGTCCCTGCCTTTCTATGACACCCCCGGCCGGCCAGCTACCTAGCTCATGAGGGGTTGTCTTTTGCTTCTGTTGCTTCCCATAGGGCCATCGATGCCCAATCCTCCTTCATTGCGACTCATGAAGCCCCGCGCCTTCCCTCGCCTGGCTCGTCTCCTCCCAATTTGCAACAAGCATCCTCTACCTTCCTTACCTTACTCAGACGTCGTCGCAGGGGCATCGACAACGAGCCAGTAACAGTCTCATTTGCACCTCAAAGACCCTGACTGGGTCGGCGCTCCAACTTTCTTACCTTCCCGCTGCCTTAGTCCCTCGGCACGGTACACTTCTATTCGACAGCTCGGCCACCTGCCTCCACGTCTCCAGCCGCTCTTACCCAACTACGCTACCTACAATGACCTGCCAGAAACACATCCACTCAACGGCTTCATCATCTGACACTCCCGCCACGGGTACCATTCTGACCGACAGTTCGTTATACCCTCGACTAGCTATTCATCGACCGATACGAGACCTGGAGACCAAGAGTCTGCGCGAATAGTACACCAAGAGGCGCCTTTCTCACCACATGAGCCCCCGATCGCGCCTTGTACACGCCACGACCTAGCTGTATAGGTAGTCTTCTGTCTCCCTCGCATCGATACAGTGTGCGCCTAACTCGGCACGTCGCACGCCAAACGCCAGTCTTCCTAGCCAGTGCCTTTCCCCTCTTGCTGTCGCCCTCCTCCAAATCCCATCCCCGATATGCAACGCCTCGTGGATACATCGCCCCGGCCCTGCCACGCCAACTTGGTTGTCTCCGGTCCGTCCAAGCTGTCAAGCGATCGACTGTTGCTACGAGAAATAGCCCGCCGGCGACCTGACCCATCCCTGTCTGGCATTGTCAGGGGGAAGGGGTGCAGCGGCCAGCCCCAACGTCCCACCCTTCTCTGAGCCGTTCAAAGCGACCATTGAGCATCGGGGAGGGGGTGTGGTTTGATAGACATAGAACCTCTTGCGGATATCCGGTCGTTCGCTCGCGGACTGCAGTCGCTTTCCAAGCAACACTCGGGTCCTTGTCAGCAAGCATCGAAATAGCGTGCCATTTTGTCAGCCTCGGTCTGTTCAAATCAAGTCAACCGGGTCTTGCCAGCATAAACGGCTGCCTGCGGCAGTTTATGGCGATCAATGCATTCGACCACAGGGGCCTCCTCAGTCGGGTCCAATTCCTTCAAATCACTTCCTTTCAAATCCCTTTGTGAGCGCTCAAATCCTACCGAAATTCCGACGTCAAACGAGCCAAGGTCTGCCGAACGCTTTGATCTCGAATTTCAAGTTTGATATGCGACATCAATGGCAGTCTATTGAGCCGTGCTGCTACTTGGTCTTGAACTAAGACCTACTCGAACTACTTTAACGCACTCGCCACGACATCGCGAAGGCCGTTTCCGACAACGACAAGGACTCCTCGCGATGCAATTCAACATTCATAGAATTGGCATCCACCATCGTCACACTCATCATGGAGCGGCGTCCAACAATTAACACCCCTAGTTGGACGGCCAGACGATCGCGATGGGCGCCTCCGCTTCATCTTTCAACGCTGCACGGAATTCTCTGTTTTAATTATGGCTTGTTGTACTCGGTTAGATTGTCGGTCCATGCCGTTCCTCTTGTGGCCCGCCTCCCAACCAGCTGAGCCTGCCGCGGTCAAGCGGTTTGGGAATCGCGTCGATTCACTTTTGATACATCTGGCTAGCTCATCATGGAATAGACCTCTAGACTCATTTCGGAGCCAATGGGGCATGAACAGGGTATATTCGCCAAAACCCGGTCAACTTGTACGAGGTACGAGGTATTCGACTCTATGGCTATCTAGATAGCTCCGGCTCCATAATCACCTTTGGAGCCGTCACAAGACTTGACATTGCAGTCAGAAGACAAGCGCAGGCGCCATTCCGGCCTAGGGATCCAAGAGTTGACGGAGGATTGTTGACCAACAGCAGCGCTGAAATCGTTTTCGGCATTTTCATTGGACATAATTTCCGGATTCATCACCAGCTCCGTACTGGTCATTGGACGGAAAAGATTCTTTGCACAGGAGGCGGTCCTAGCGAGGCCATTTTGAGGCCCGGACTGATTCCTAGTTGGTCAGATGGTCGCCTACGAGGACTTCCTGAATCGTGGATCCTTTTCTGAAAAGCTCTGTTGCACGGAGGGTCTGGCCAAGCCTCGATGGCGACGCAATGGCACAAGAGTGAATGCTTCAACGAGGAGGAGAGCATGGCCGGAGGATACTACTGCGATTGGGGCATAGGCCAGGGTTGATCCAGGGTCGACCAGCATCCACCCGCTTTGGCCCACAACGTACGCCGTTCTCAATATGAAGCGGGCCTTGCCGGCGGTATCCTGGGCCAGGCTGAGTTGATGCCACGGCACCCCAACTCAACCCTCACCCGAAGCAGTATCTGATCGCTCTCACAGTAGCTTCGCATCAGTCATGAAAAAGGCCTCTCATTTTACGACAACGTTGGGCAATCAACATGCATAATGATGATGAGCGGACCGGGTAATAGACTACAGAGGGAAAAAGGCTGATTCGGAGACCCATTTACTCCGTCGTTCCCTTGGCACCTTCCCGCCGCTAGGTAGGGTAAGGGTTTTCCATGAGTCCATGACTGACGTGTCTTAGCCAGACTAACGATATTACTGATCCCCATGGATGCTATGCTATCACGGCAATGAGAGTAGTCCGCCCGCCAACTTTAATTCAGAAGTTGTCGGATACGAGGAAGCATCTCAAGTCCTTGTATCTGTACTCGCCTCATCAGCGGCTGTCAGACATGGCTAATCATATTTAGCTGCCCTACCTTGTCAAGGTACCAGGAATTCACAACCAAGCCATTGTTTCAAGCCATGAGGAGCTCGGGCTTTGGGAATTTAGCCAGACACGCGGACTCCCGTTTGGCAGAGCGGAATGACCGCATCCACGTTGTCATGTCTCGAATGACATGGTGGGCAAGATGCCAGCCGACCATCGCTCTCCTCGATGAACGCTCCAGCGACTGGTCCTTTGGCAGACTACCCCCGACCAAGGCTACATCTGGTCCACATGGAATACCTATGCTTGCTATGTATGCACGAACGAGACGTTTGGTTCCAACTCAGCTTTTGGAGCAGCCCTCTGCGAAAAGATGAAAGCTGCGTCAGTGCTCGGGTGGAGTGCAGCTTGCTTGTTCCCGAACCCTCCCCCAAACCCGCTGGAACTGACCGGGCTGGTCGACTCATGTCGCCTTGGAGCAAGCAGGGGATGGGCAGCACGAGCAACATTGCAGCGCAGCATCCGCCGCCGCCGCCGCCGTCTGTGTTGCCCCTGCGCCTGCTTACCCTTGCAGCCGTTCTCCCGTGGTCTGTGTCCTATCGCCCGTCGTTCGCCTCATCTGTATTTGATGCAAGGTACGGATACACTCATCTGCCCGTAGGTGATCTCGACTCGAAGTCGAGATGTTGGGGCCAAGATCGCTGGATCGATTTTGACTGTTAACAAACTCCGCAAATCGTCCTTCCCTTGCTTCGCATATCGCGGACTAGGACCCGGGACCCTTCGTCCAGGCTCTTCCCATCCGTCCTCCTCTTAGGGTAAGATGAGATGAGATGAGATCACGGCTCGCTGCGAGCGCCGCGGACGACCCACCACTAACTAGCACATGCCGCCCAGCAATAGCAAACAAAAACCGGGACTTGTGAGAGGAAGGGTAGATAAAAATGACCACGAGACGTGGGCGGTAAGGAAAGCCTCATGAAAAGCAGGCGGACGAGAGGATGATTTCTGACTGGTGTTCAAGTCTCCCTCCCCTCTTTTTCTGATTTTGCAGAGGGAAAACAGGTCCGTGGCTGCTGCCATTCCGCCAGACACGTTTCTCATCGGGGAATTGCAGTGAAGTGCATCGCGCCAGTAGTGCCGAGTCCGTCTAGAGACAAGCGTCAGCAGCATCAGCAGTAGCAGCAGCAGGGGCGGGATGAGAGGGCAGAAAAAAAGGCGGACTCATGAAGAGCAGCGTGGCAGGAGAGAAGAAAAGGGTGTCGTCTTAGCTCTGCTTTAAGCGCCGACGTTGCCCCCGATCCAGGGAGTCCCCCGTCTGGCTCACCCACACACCCGCCCGCCATCCCCCACCCCTCCTCGGCCCCATACACTTCGAGAAAGAGGAGGAGAACGACGTGTGTGTGCGTGCGCGGAAGCTGCATGCTGTTTTCACTCTCTTGCTCTCTTTCTATCCGTCTCTCTCTGTCTCTCTTTCCGCCCACCACCCTTCGGTTGCTTTAGCGCGCGGAGTCAAGTAAGCTGGGAAAGGAGATACACGCCCAGTACGAGCACATGCGCTGGGCCCTTTTGCGGAAGAAGAATATGCAACCTACGCTTCTCCTGGGAGCATTGCGGCCGCAGGACCAGAGGCCCTCGGCTATGCAGGTTCGCCCACGATTTGGCTTCGTGACTGTTTTTTTTTTTTTTTTTTTTTTTTTTTTTTTTGTGTTTTCGCGCGCTTTGGGGGGTGGTGGCGGGTGGGGGAGGGGGTTGTGATGGGGGGTGCGGGTTTCCACACCCTCCACTTTAAAAATAAATTTTTTTTTTTTTTTTTTTTTTTTTTTTTGGGTGCTGCGCGAACTTTAGGTGGTGGCGGCGTGTGGGGTAAGGGATTGAGACGCGGGGGCCGGCTTTCCAACTGCTACAGTGTACAAGTAAGATCTCTCTGTCTCTTTCTCTCCCGCAACAGCATCGACGACGAGGGCAACAATGGTGGTACTCGCGCGAGGCTGCTAACAAAAAGCCACGCGGTATTTCCACACAGATTGGGGACAGGAGTTTGTTTTTTAAGTTTTTTATTTTATTTTATAGTTTTCTTTTTGGCTGTCTGTCAGGCACGCGCCGCCCGGCCGCCAGCTTTAGTGCCCGACGGACGAACTGGACGGGCCCATCCAATCTCATCCAGTCCACGTCACACACAATGAAATGCCATGATACAACGTTCCATTCTCTCAGGAGAGAAGAAACGAATTGGAGAAGGAAAAAAGAACGTGGCGATATTGTCTTCTGCCAGAAGCCGTTTTGATTTGAGACAAGAACCTTTTTTTTTTTTTTTGGCAAGCCGGAACTCCCGTATTCACCCTTTTCTCACTTCTCCCTTCTTCTCTCCTCTCCTCTGATTCTGATTCTATCATGCAATAGCATGATATAGACGCTTGCCTGGCTTTGGAAACCAACGTTGCCCTGATTCCCCCCGCCGTCACCTCCACCCTCCTCTTCGTCTATGCCCCCCCTCCCCCGCCATCGAATCTCAGCGGCAAACACAGGGCAGGCAGATAGATACCTTGACGCCGCCATCAAAGGGACCCTTCGCGACTGACTGCTTGCGGCCATATACACACACATCCCATGGCTCGGTAAGAGTAACAGCAGGAAGTAGTGTAGGCAGCAAACAAATCCACACACACACACACACACACACACTCTGTCAGCCTCGTTCCTGGAAAGCCGCCCCCTTAGAGTTCAACAGTGGCATTATTCCCGGCCTTGACTTAAGCTTACGCGCGTAAGATGGGGTGTTGGCTTTTCCCTTTGGTTCAATGTTCACTTTGAAAGAAGAGTAGTGTGAGAGGGTTTTTTTGAGTTCGCACACGATGCCATGGAATCGGTACTCAAATGAGATCGCGGTAACGTGGAGGGTGGGAATCGCTGGGGAGGGGAGGGTAAGATGGCGGAGGAAAGGGGCAAGTGGCTTGAATTCTGTTTTTCTCCTCCTCCCACCAAAGGAGGGGGGACGGTGACCCGGGCCGGGCTGGGCTGGGGCTTGTTCTCCTGGCCAGACAGGCATGGGGCGGCGGGCAACATGACGACAAACGGCCGCCATGCGCCGCCGAGTTTTAGCTTGTCGCCGCGTTCGTCAGCGCTTGACGATTGTGACTATGGGTAGTTTGAGATATTAGCTCCGTTGTTTGCTTCCTAACCGACTCACTCGACTGCGCTTTCCCCGCCGGCTGTTCCATTCAACTTCCTTGCCGATGCAGTTGGCTCGCGGCGGGAGATACGCAGGTAGGTTGTAGATGATGACGACGGATGGGGGGGAGGTGTTATTTGACAAAAGATGAAAACGTACCGATATCCTCGTCGGCTAGCTCGTGGGAGAGACCGACGCGCTGAGGTTGATGCTTTACGGACTTGCCGTACACGATGGCGGTCTTGAACTGTTCAAGAATGCTCCTGTGGATTTGGTTACACTAGATGAGAAAGAAAAGCATCGGTCAGTACGAACAGAACGAGCAAAAGCAACACACGCTCTTGCCCTTCGCACCCCTTGTTGTGGGAAAAAACAAGGTTCTCTCGGGACAGAAACGCTGCGTCAGGAGGATCAATACTCACGAAGTCTTCGACCGTGCACCTGTTTGAACGTAGCACGACGGGCTGAGAATAGTCTGGCAGTTTGCCCTTGGGCTTCGTATAAACACGAACGAGCTTCAGCTTGTCCCACCTGTACGGCGAGGAAAATCAAAACGTTAGCCCTGTCTTCTAAGCGAATTTTATGAGGAGCAGGTTTATCCTTGTTGTCGCCGACGATCGTGTCGCTCCGGGAGACAACAACCGGCCAAAGGTCCAAAGGCTTAGGAGGAATTGAGAAAAGGGGAAAAATCAGAATCCTTACATTGCCTCCATCAGCTCGTCAATGTTCCAACCCTGCTCGGAACTGATCGGCACGGCGTTGGGGATACGGTAGAGCAAGTCGAGCTCCTCGATACTAATGGCATCAATCTTGTTGAGAACGTAAATGACGGGGATGTAGTTTCTGCTCCGCGCCTCAAGGACGTCAATGAGGTCGTCAATAGTGGCATCGCAGCGGATGGCGATGTCAGCCGAGTTGATGCGGTACTCGTTCATGACGGCCTTGATCTCGTCGTGGTCGATGTGGGTGAGGGGCACGGTGCTCGTGATGTTGAGGCCGCCCTTTTCCTTCTTCTTGAAGGTGATGTTTGGCGGCGACTTGTTGATGCGGATGCCGAAGCCTTCGAGCTCCGTCTCGATGACGCGCTTGTCCGTCAGGGGCTTGTTGACGTCGAGGACGATGAAGATGAGATGGCACGTCTTCGCGACGGCAATGACCTGGCGACCACGACCGCGGCCGTCCTTGGCTCCTTCAATGATACCCGGCAAATCGATGATTTGCAGCGGCGCACCTGAGCAACGAGAAACAGATTGTCAGCCACCTGGCTTTCCATCCCTCACGCCCTCCTTTTCATTTCTCCCATTTTCCCAGACCACTCAAAAATTCAACCAACAAATCCGGCAAAGAAACGTACCGTTGTAAGTGACCTGACCCGGAACGGATGTCAACGTCGTGAACTCATACGCCGCGGCCTCGGAGTGCTGGCCCGTCAACTTGCTCATCAGAGTACTCTTTCCCACAGATGGAAACCCGATAAAGCCGATACTCGCGACACCCGTACGCGCAACGTCGAAGCCGGCACCGCCGCCGCCACCGCCGCCCGAAGGCGTCAGGAGCTCGCGCTTGAGCTTGGCGAGCTTGGCTTTCAGTTGACCCAAGTGGAAGGACGTGGCCTTGTTCTTTTGGGTCTTGGCCATCTGTTTGAAGGGGGGAGAGAGTTTTCCGTCAGTTTCTTGCTGCGCGTCGCATTTGTTTGGTTGTGTGTATGGAGAAGGGGAAGGGGTGTGTGTGTGTTCATGATGTCGCCGGGTCGAAGACCGGGGTCTGTGGATTGACTGTCCGTCGACGATGTGAAGCAAGCCTTGCGCCCATTCTACGTCACACACGTATAAAGCTTTCGAAGCCTAGACATCATCGACATCGAAGACGGGCGGGCGACAGCGGTCGCAAGGGAGTAAGGGGGTGTGTTGTAGAGGGGGAGGAGCAGTTGAACACGTACTTCGGCCTCGATATCTTTGATCTACACGAATCCATAGTTAGTCAAACTGGTTTCCTCTCGAAGAACTTGAACAGGGAAACTAGAGTTTCCACTCGTGTAAGGCTATGAAGCCTTCTGCGGGAAGAACCTTACCTTGTCAACAGTGGTCGCCATGGTTGCGGTTTTTCGTCCTCAAGACGTCCTTGTCCTGTATGGAGGGGTTCGAAATGTGTCTAGCTTTTTTCTTTTCGATGCGACGTCGACGTCCAAGGCGCGGGACCGGGTGGGGGGGGGAGGGGAAAGAATGTAGAATTTTCCGTTGCTTGCAGGAATTGGGGGTATCAAATAAGTAATGCTCGTCGTCTTTTGTCGTCGTCTACCGCTGTCCCGTTGCCCAAGTTTTGGGTTGATGGTTCTGGTAGTTGGTGATTGTGGTTGTGCACCTGGCGGTGGTGGTGGTGGGTTTTGGGGTGCAAAATGGCGGGGACACTGGCACCTTGGGCGAAAAGGATACTGCACATGAAATTTTAGCGGGGTCCGACGGACAAACACCGTTTTCATTGGCTTGATAGGTTTTCGAGTACAGTGATGTCAGAAACCTGAATCATCCAATCAAAAGTCTTCATCCCCTTAAGTAAGGCTGACCGGCACTCGCTTTCGTCAAGGGCTGCACTTTACGCTGAGCGATAATTCTCAAACTCAAAGCACAAGGCGATGGCAATGATGAGACGGCATTTTGGATATGTTGTTTCCGTTATTTACCTTCTCTGCCCCTAGGTACCGTCCCAACCAGCAATGCCTCCTAGGCTCCCAAGCTCCTATTCCTCAGCTCCCAGCCATGTTAGTCGTGGCCATTCCATCCGTACTTCATCAACTACCCACATGCAACAGCTGGTTCTTGCGCCTTTTGGACACTGACTTGACAAACTCTTGTTCGTCGACAGAGTGAGCCCACAAGGACCCAGGAAAACTTACGTCGTGTCGTCGACGACAAACCGGCGTAACCCAAATGCCTTTAGCATCCACCAGGCAAAAGGTCGGAGCCAAGCGATTCTCTACATCGTTGGAATCGAAAGGCAAATGAATAGAGGGCATGGAGACAGCTGGTTCCCATCTTCAGACTGCAAATGGAGTTTGCTTTGGGCTTCCATCGGTACTCGGTGTGTAACGCCCGGAGGTTGCTGCAGGAATGTGTATATGTGTATATTAAAATAGTGATTCGTTTGATCTACTTGTGATCCAACTCGACTCAGTTGGTGCTCGGGGCTGAGACGCCATTAACGCCATTAGGTACAAGTTTCGGTTCGGGCACCACTGGCGCAATAGCGGAGGCTGCCGGCTGGACATCACTGACGGATTCGGCCGCTGCTTCTGTGACATTCGACTGGCTCCGTGGCGACAAGTGTCCGCCGTTGGGCATCGTCTGAGTTCTTGTGCCGTTCAAAAGGAAATCAAGCCCTTGCTCTTTGCACACGCGGGCATAATCGGGGTCGCCGGGGAAAACCTGCTGCAATCCCTTTCGAGGGACCCGCTTCTCGGGAAAGGGTGTGCTGCTTGTGGCAGAAAGTCCAGGCATCTGCTCCTCGACCATGACACCCTTGATATAGTATTTGTTTCTCGGCGCGAATCCGAGGAATCGATCGGCGTCAGGATCTTGTTTCCACTTCTGCGGGACTTGCCATCCGTAGAGTTGGCCTTCATTGTCTGGGAGCTCACGATACTCGACGCTCATCTTGAGATCCCGGATATGTGGTACGTCCGGAGCAATCAACATCAAGTCCGATACCTGTATATTGACTCAGCCCAGTAACCATTGATGCCGCACAGATTGAAAACGTACCTTGACAAAGAACATGTCCATCTTCAAGAACTTCTCACGCGCCTCGCCACGGAGCTTCTCCTTTAAGCGAAAGCTCATCTTGAAGGGATCCTCGCCTTCTCCGTAATAATCTGGCAGACCAGCTCCAAGCTCGTAGAGGTTCTCTTTGAGCAAGGCGTAACAATCCGACTCGAGTCTCCAGATGACCTTTTTAGCGAGGTCGGACACGGGAACATGTTCCCAAGCCGGATCTGACATTTGTTAGTGACCAGCGACTGGAGAAACCATTCAAACACCTACATCGTGACAAAGTGAGGTCCTTCTCCCCGAGGAGCAGCGCAACATGGGTGTTTAGCACCCACTGCTCTCTGCCGTCTGCCGTGCTGTTTGCTTGTGGACGAATAGTGTCGAAACGCACGCCTTGCATATGCTTGAACTTTGCCGCGTATTCCGAGGTCTTGGGGTTCGGGCAACCGTCTAGCCAACGCAACAGAGGAGGCAGCTTCGCCAGGCGCAGACGTTCTTGCTCCTCAAGGAGACGGCGCTGCTCAGCCTCTTTGGCGGCTCGCTTGCGCTCCATCTCCTCACGTTCAAGTCGCTCCTTGCGCTCACGCTCTTTTCGTTCCTCCTCCTCGCGAACCCGCTTGGCTTCTTCGGCAGCTTCTCGCTCGATACGTTCCTTGCGGAGCCTCTCCTTTTCTTCTCGCTGCTTCCGGGCTTCCTCTTCCTTCCTCTTCGTTTCTTCCTCTTCGCGCCGCTTCTTCTCTTCTTCCTCGCGAAGCCTTCGTTCTTCGGCCTCGCGCTCACGTTGCTTCTTCTCTTCGGCCTCGCGTCGTTGCCGCTCCTCCTCTTCTTGACGTTTCTTTTCCAGTTCGGCCTTACGCTTGCGTTCCTGCTCCTCACGCTGTCTGGCCTCTTCCTCCTCCTTCAAGCGTTTCTCTTCAGCCTCGCGTTCACGCTGTTTCTGCTCAGCTTCGCGTTTCTTCTGCTCAGCCTCTCGCTTCTTCTCTTCAGCCTCGCGTTCGCGTTGGCGGGCTTCCTCTTTCTTGCGAATTTCCTCGGCCTCGGCTTCACGGCGCTTCCTCTCTTCTTGACGCTTCTCTTCTCTTCGTCTCTCCTTCTCCTCAAGTCGCCGCTTCTCTTCGTCGCGCTCCTTCTTAATGCGCGGTTCCGCTTCTACTGTGTCCTTGACATCCGACGCATCCGGCATCTCGATATCAAAATCCTCAGATTTGACATGGATGCTAGACTTATCACTGTTACTTGATTTCCCAGATTCCCGTCTGTGACCGTCAGTATCTGCCTTGGCCTTGGCCGGCCGTCGGTCGCTATCATCATGGTCTCTCAAGCTGGACTTTGATCGAGGCGGACCGTCGCGGGGTGTTCTGTGGGGATCTTCTGGTGAAGCAGTCGATTTCGGCCGGCGCTCCTTGCCGTCAACGTCGAGCCGCCTGCGCTTCACAGGCGCTTCGCCTTCATCCTTGTCTCCCGTGCTCGAATGCGGTGGCGTGACGCTAGACCGATGCCGCTTAGACGAATTGTCACCGGATACCGAAAGTCGATCCCTGGACTCGTCCCTCTTGAGAGCTTTCGTGCGGTCATGGTACTTCTCTGACAGCGGCTCGCCCTTTGGCTTTTCGGGGTGATCGTCAACTTTTGGGTCGCGAGGGCTCGAAGGATCTTTCAACGACGAAGTAGTAGACACCATGCTCGCTCGCCGGTTCTTCTCCCTCTCGCCACGAAGCTCCCCCTTCGACACCAATTTCCGGCGTGGCTTCGCAGCCTCCCCTTCAGACGACATTGCGGCAACGTCGGACTCGGCTCGTTTCGCTGCTTTAGATGCCTGCTTCTGTGATAGAGCAGGTGAAGCCTCTCGATCTGAAACAGCGATTGTCGGTACTCGGTCCTCTTTGCGCGGTCTGCCGGGACCACGCTTCGGTGAGATTTGATCTTCGTGGAATGAATCGGCCCTACGCTTTTCTTTTGGACTTGTAATGGCTCGTCCAGAAGAAAGTTTTTTTCTTTTTTCCGGGTCCCGGGATGGACTGGAAAGGTTGCGCTTGTGCGCACGTGCTTCGTCCTTGAGTTCGTTTCGACCTTGGCGCTTCATCTCACGGTCCTGCTCCCTGTCGCGGTCCCTGTCGCGTTCCTTCTCCCGCTCGCGTCTGCCGGGGGATTTCGTCTTGGAGATATCGCGGTGTGACTTTCTGTACGCATCGTAAGATTCCTTGAGCATGTGCTCTTCGTCTTTCCAGTTGGTGCCCTGTCGACGGCGCGCGATTTCATGATACGTCTCGCCTTTGAATCGGCGAGTTGGATCAAAGTTTCCCTGATCCAAGAGCAGCCTGACGACTTTGATATTTTCCTGGCCAATCGCCGCCAACATCGGTGTCGCAAACTCGGGCGGCATGCTCGAGACTGGGGCAGGATCTGGGTTCGCTCCACCCAAAGCCAACAGCAGTTGGATGACCACTTCATGCCCACCCCGCGCAGCGGCAACCATGGCTTCAGAGTCATCACAGCCATCTTTGACCTGCAAAATCCGCGTCACAGTCTCTTCGTCGCCTTTTCCTGCAGCTTGTCGCAAGGTCTTGTCGTCCAATGACATGTACAACAGGTGGTTGCTTGTCTTATTCGCCCGTACCGTCCCGGCTCGCCGACCGCTTGCATGGGACGCAGAAGGTGCTGGCGACCTTCGAGGGCTGTCTGGACCATGAGATGACCGGCTGTCGAATTGGTCGGTAGGGTGATGATCTTCGGATGTACGTCTGCGTTCTCCTTGCCGCGACTTGGCTTCAATTAATGCGGCTCGGAAATCTTCCGCATTCTCCAAGTCGTCGCTGATTCGATCCAAGGGTTCCTCTCCGCTCAGGTTGGCTTTCCTCGGATTGACCCCCGCATTAAGCAACAACTTGACTACGCCCAAGTGACCGTTGTCGACGGCGTCTAACAATGGTGTGTCTTTGTCATAGTTGACACAATCCAGGTTGCAGCCTGCGTCGATGAGAAGCTTGACAATGTCCTCGTAGCCGTTGATTGCGGCAATCTGAAGTGGTGTGTTGCCAGCATAGTCGGCCACGTTGAGATCCTCGGGTCGCTCTCCGAGTCTTTGCTTGGCTAGATCGTACTCGCCTCGGGCACATGCCCTTGCGAGGAACGTTTGACCATGGGCGTCGAGATGTTTCTTGTGTGGTGCAATCTTGGCCGGCGACATATTTGACTCGGCGGTGGCGGGGGTGGAGAGGTTTCGCAGCTTGGAGCTCCGTGGGTGAGGGCTGCCACTGGCAGAGGATTCATCCGAGTGATAGTCTGTAGATTGCAGCGGGGGAGGAAGACGCTTCTTCTTGTAGCTCAGGCCATTAGACGAGTTTGCGGGAAGTTGTGTTGAGACGCTCCGCCTGTGGGCACGTGGGTGGTGGGGAGATACGGATCTGGTGCGTGATCCTGAGTGGACGTCGTGTTCTCTCCTAGACGAAGACGAAGACTTTGGTTCCTTGGGTAGACGAGCTCGAGCTTCGATGGTGTTGTTGTTATCCGACATGCGTTGCCGTCGAACCTTTCGATTTTCCGCCTCATCATCCGAGTCTGCCCTGGAAGCTTTGCGTTTGTGGGGAACTGTCCTGTCGATGGACTTGGCTCGGTCTTTCAGGGACAGCTTGGGGGATTTCCTACGGTCAGCACCCGTATCGGAATCGGAGTGCCCACCAGATCGACGCCTGTGGTGGGGAGGGGACGCAGGAGCCGAGCTGAGACCGCTGGAACCATCTTTACTTCTGGCGGATTGATCGTGGAGGCGCTTCTTCTTCAAGCCGAGCGAGGAGGCCGTTTCGGACAGACGGACAGGATTGGCTGTCTTTTCCTTATCGCCGTCTCTGCTAGCACTCACATCACGAATTTTCCGGGGGACCAGGGGGACTGGGAGAACAGGTGGCTCTCCATCGCTGCGGTCCTCGTGCTTTACCTTCCTCGCCTTGGAGGGTGAGTGGCCATCCTTACCAGGTAGTACGATGGTTTCGGCATCAGAGTCTCGGTCAACAGGAGCGTCGTCGGCTACGGGAGGGGCGCGGGATACGATAACGCTAGGCTTTATATCCTTGGGCAGATGAGGCGGGGATTTGATGGAATCGTCCACGTTCTTGGTAGGTTTGCTGTTGGACTCGTGGGACTCGTCAGGTTGGTGATTGCCCGGTCGCTTCTCCGCCGCAGCGACGGGCTTCGACTTGTCGGACCCGGCAGCATTCTGCGCATCCATATCATTTATCTAGAGGTCGAAAAGCTGGCCAGCACCATCCTGGCCAAAGGTCGGCCGCGAGAAAGAGGGTTGGAGACGCGGATTGAATTGATGGCGGTCGGTGGACAATTTCTCGGTCGCTCGAGATGACCCCCCTAAGAGAAGAAAGTGGCCAGGTCAGTCACGGGGGGTGCGCGCGCGCGAAAGGCGTCGGGTGTGGGTGTCGGATAGGGACGAAAGAGTAACGTATTGGATATCGGATCACGTCGAGGATGAAAGGAACAAAAAAAGACTAAGAAAGCGCCTGGCCGAGACAGAAGAATGCGTGCGAAATGGATGGAGGCGGCGGTGGTAGAGAATGCGGGAAAAGGTCCTGCTGGTGACGCTTGATGCTTCGGTTTGGCTGAAAGGTGGAAATGGGGCCGCGAGCAAGTCTTCAGAGTCAAAAAGTCTGATCGCCACCTCTTTGATTGGACCCGACCGGGGGGACTCAGGTTGCTTGAGAATACGGGACACGGTACAGCCACAACCAGCAAGAAAGAGCACCAGCCAGCATCAGGCAAGCAGGCACGCCGGCACGCAGGCACACAGCAGGCTACGAGAGTGAAGTGTGCACCTGGTGGTAGCGGCAGTGGCAGTAGCAGTGGCAGCGGCAGCCTGACGACTGAGATGGCCACACCAGCAGTCGGCACTATGTACCTACTCGAATTCGACAATTGGTACTTTTGACTGCAGCACAGTTTTGCTACATCTGCAAGTGACTGTCGTCGACAAGCACGCCGCGTCCTTAGGTAGACCAAACGACTAGAATTCCACCTGGACGTTAGCCCCGGCACCCACCTTGCTTCAGAAAGATAGAGTGAGATTGAGATAGGTAGCAGCGCCATTGTCTTTCTCTTCGCAAGCTGCAGCACCTGGTGCACCCTGGGCCACCTGACCCTGGACACACCAGCCTACGGAAATTTCCCATGGCTCCAATGCAAAACGAATCGCCCGACCCTCCAAGATTTTTTGGTTTGTTTAGTGCCTAATCCTGGCAAGACTCGTCTTCTCCCTGCTTATGGGAAACCTCCAATCTGCCCGGTGTGTGTTCTTGTTGCGACCCGAAGGGTACGTATCGAAGCCTCCAAATTCTCTGGGCCCCACCTCGGCCAATCCCAACCCCCTCCAGAGTCGCAGCAGGCTCCTCTTCCCCCTCGCCGGTCGTCGCATCTTGAATTCAAACAACGAATCACGAGCGACGTTGAAAATGGGGAGCTTTTGGAGCGGGTACCAAGCCAGCCAATCATACACTGTGGCGGATAGCATTACTCCCACTGAGAACGGACACCTTACCGTCAGTCACACTTTAGTTGTGACTAATCGACCTGCCGTTGCCTAGTGTAGCCTAGCGTCTTCTAAGCAGGCGTCCGTCCTCGCCTTCTCTTCTTGTTAGTGCCAGACCTCTCAACCTCGACTGCCAGAGACAACTGGTCAGGCGCGCTCAAGCCTTCAGGTATTCTCGCCCGTCGCTTGCATCCAGCTCCCGTCCTTGTTTCTCCACACAACCTTGCCATTCTCGTGGCTCCCATTGCTACCTGGATCCTCCCAGCTTGACGCAGAACCGTTTGACGCTTGGCTATTTATGCCGCCGGAGCTTGGATAATACGTCGTTGACGTTTGCGCACCTCGTACCGACCAGCGACAAGCTTCGACGTGCCTGACTTTCCCGGTCTCAACATTTAAAATCACGTCACTTCGTTTGGGGGGTGGTCCTTGTCCATAAAGTTGGGCGCAGCGCCAGATCACGACACCGTATCCCAATTGTCAAACGTCTGCGACCACACAGCAGTGAGGCGAGGCCGTCAGTATGCCCTTGGGAGCCGTGAACTTACCTGCCTCCCTCGACGACGCCAGGGTCAAGAAGCTTCCGCCTTCGTCTTACTATATTGCCGACTTCATATCAGAGGACGAAGAACGGTCCATATTGCAAAAGGTACGGAAAACATGTTCCGACGACGTCTGAGATGGCAAAATTGTGACTAACGTACAGCCGTCGCAATCAATAGATAGCTGAAGCGCCGAAACCCCGCTGGAAGCAACTGACTCATCGACGTCTCCAAACATGGCCGTCCGATCTCGTCAACAACAAGCTGATCGATGCTCCCTTACCACCGTGGCTGCAAGAGCCCGTGGTCTCGCGAATTCTTGCCCTGCCTCTCGCCACCGACTCTGATTCGTCCAATCTCTTCGCTGGCAGTCCTCACAACCGGCCCAACCACGTGCTAATAAACGAGTATCCTCCGGGAGTGGGAATCATGCCGCATAAGTTGAGTACATGGTAGGTGTTCACGTGAAGAGCTCCGAATCTCATGCTGGCTACAGGACGGGGCTGCCTATCATCCAGTTGTGTGCACTGTCAGTCTTGGAGCAAGTCTATGTCTGAACCTATATCAAACCAAGGAAGATGGTGCCATGGACCACGAGCCTTTGGGACGCATTCTACAGGAGCCCAGGAGTCTTCTGATCACCACCGATAACCTCTACACCGATTACCTCCACGGCATTGCCGATATTGAGGAGGACGTCGAGCTATCTGCCGAGACGATTATGAACTGGGAACTTTTGCGTTCGCAGGACGACTTCGCTGCCGGCCAAAGCGCGCGAGCGACCAGAACGAGTCTAACATATCGCGACGTCATGCAGGTGTCGAAACTCGGTGCCAAGTTTGGCTTATTTGGGAAGAAGTGACGTTCGAGGCGCTAGTGTGCCTAGAAGACGAAGGGTATCATCCTCCATCTGCTGGCGACCTTGTCGGCGCCAAACTTTTGCGCATACCACTGCTTGGTAGCATCTGCCGTTGTGCCCAAATTCGCGATAATGAACCAAAGAGCACCCAAGAGGGTGCGATTGACAATGTAGGCCTTTGGCGCGGCTATTATGGCGAGGCCCAAGTAGATTAGGCATTCGCAAGTGTAGTGAGGGCAGATGAGATACCGAAAAAGGCCCCGCTCCGGCAAGGAATACTTCTTGAGGCTGGCCAGGTATTTGTGGCATTTATGCTGATGGGTCCAGCCGTAGAGGTACGCGGCGGCCCCAGTGATGACCGTAGGCGACAGCAGGCTCTCCAACCTCGGTCTGGCTGTCTGTCTCAAGGCAGCTGGGAAGGTGAGTGTGTATCTAGAAATGGGATGGAAGGGAAATCCTCACCTGACCCATCGACCCATACGGATACGCTCATGCAGAGATAGAAACCCAATCCAAGCAGCCAATGGACGAACCACATTTTTGAAGATCCCGGCCTCATGACAAAGAGACACTCGTATAATCTTCTCGTGCCCTGCAGCGCCATCAACGTCCAGACAAGTCCCGTCTGCTCGATGCTCATCGAAGGGCCCCCCGAGGCCGCTTGCCGAGCAGCGATGAAGGTCATGGCCGAGCCGCTTTGAAGATACTGCCATGCCCAGAAAGTCGAGCCCGCAACGGACGCGACGTAAAAATGCATAAACCACGAGTGTGGAATCTGACCAAAGGACGTCACCGCTTTGGCGGCTTTGGTGAAGAGGTCCAATTCCTTGGGACCAGCCGCCTCTTTCGTCTTGTCGCCGGTGGTATTGGCCGGCGAGCGGGCGCCGTAGTCCAGCAGAAGACGCTGCGTTGTCTTTGGGACGACTTGGATGGCCAAGACTGCCGCTGTCGAAAGCCCGAAGAATACCTGGCACCACTGGGCCGGCGTCAAGGCTGGGAACGCGTCCATTGTGGTCGTAAGGGAGGTTATGGCGAGGCCCGGTTTGTGATGGCGGCTCGTTGCACGCTACAGTTTACATGTGAGCAGCCCAGGAGATGCTTGCTATACAATGTTGCGGAATATGGGGCACGGTCCAGGGCCGTGGGGTCGGGTTCAATCGGATCAACTGCCAGCCGTTCCCCGGTGGTCATCACAGCACAGGCATCTAGATGCATGTGTACGGCAGCGTACAAGTCAACCTCACCGAAACCCGATAAGTGAGTCGCTCTCCACGACAGGAAGCTTGTTCGGGGGGGAGGGCATTCTCACAGAGTTCATGGCACACGCACATCATTTGGGAAGGGAGGGAGGGGGAAGGGGGATTTCCTCGTGGAATTACAAAGAGTTACATTTACAAGCTGCGGAGGATCAGCACGCTGCGTCTTCCCGCCCGCTCCGCCCGTTCCGCCCGGCCAAAGTGAGGCTAGCAATCGCGTCCCATCTTTTGGTAAGGCGACCCGCGAGGCGCAGTACATCATAAGGCTCTGCCGGCTGCAGGCTGCAGGCTGCTGCTTCTGCTGCCTGCTGCCTGCCTTCGTACCAACTGTGCTCGGTGCGCCTGAGTGTGCGGCTTGTCGTGTTCTCCTCTGGAGGAGCTCAGAAATGCGGCGGAGAGGGTGGTGCCCATCTTTCGCCCTTTGCATTCGCCTCGTTATGTTGTCCCGAGGCGTCGGCTCTGGGCACTCTCCTCCCTTTTTGATGGCTCCAGTACGGGAGTTAGAGCAAGATTGTCCAAGCTATTTGTTTTTCTTTGGGGGGGGGGAGAGGAAAACATGATTTGAACAGGGCGTAGCAATTGCATTTGCCAGGGTGACGTTTATCATGGTAGGTAGGTCAGTGACAGACAGCCTGATCATGGCTGAAGATGCTGCGGTGGACTCGGGTGGCCCGCCTGGTTCGCCTGGCGTTGCTCGCAGGGCAGATATATCATGGACTGTGTTTGGCGGCTTGGTCCGCCTGCCTCCTCGACCCTCATATATATAAGAGAAGGTTTATTCTTACCCCAAGACATCCCATCCTCCACTCTCATCATGAACAATCGAAGCATAGCCCAACCTCCTTTTCCTCTTGGTTTCCGCTCCATTCACCTTGACGCTTTTCGTTTCTCTTCCTGCCTAACTGCCTGCCTGCATGTCAGACTCCCGCTCTCTCCGTAGATGTCAGATGGGAAATTACGCCACAGATCCCGCAGATCGACCGCAATTTTCACAAACATGAGGCTGTCTTGATCATTTAGTTGACCCGGATACGCCCACCGAGACGACAAACCCTCGCACGAAAACCCACCCAATGATACGCCTGGCCTGTTCGTGGTTCCGAAACCGCGTCGGTGCCTGTAATGAATCCCCTTGCCTCCTTCTTGTCTCTGCGACTGGCCTGGCCGCCTGCTATGGAAAAGGCTCGTGAGGCATTTCTCTTTTCTTCATGGATATGTTTTCCCATCCGTCTTGAGTAACTTTTCACTGCCGTGACGTATCACATCTATTAGCAAGCGTGACATTGGTGTCCAATCGCCACGTGGTGACCTGTTCATGTACCCGTTGGTAGTGCAATATCAAGTGTGCCCCTTCCGATGAGGGGAGTGTGTAACTAGCTGGTTGACTGTAGTGTAATATAACATTCTCGACTATAGTTTCGATAGTTAGTGGTAGTTGATTCAGGGGGGAGCGAGGATGGACATGAAGATGGTTCGAGCACAGATTTCTAGTATGGGAATGGGGATCTGTCGTTTTGAATACTCGGAACTTTGCAAGTGTAAATATACGCGGTATTGTACTTGGGGCGAGAGAATCACGATACGGGCCATGTGAGAATAAAACCGTAACAAAGAAGCTCTTGTAGTAAGACTGGGAGGGGCGAGAGCAGTCACAGCACGTCTTAATCTCATCATCATCATCACGAGGTCCGGAAAAACACACAAGTAGCAGCCCAAAGAGCCATAATGTAGCACTTCTTAACGTGATATGGGAGACAATGAATGAGATACTCATCGAGCACTCCAAACTTTCCTAGTTTAGATTTCGAAAACGAAAAATCGATCTAGTCTTTAATCACCCACGCATAAACAGAGAACAAGTTTAGCTAGTCCGCCTGGGCACGAAAGCAGCAATGACTGGCCTACCCGAAGCAGGTCGAAGACCTTTCCTCATAGGCTTCTCATCAGAGCTACAGAGACACACACCTCTCGGTCGATATCCACCCCCCGCAAACCCATACACGAATTGCTAACTACTATCAAACATGGAGAAACCCCTCACCAATACTCCAAAGAAAAGTTTGGCAAAACATCACAATCGGAGGCTCTTACATCAGCCAAGACTTGGAAGTAAGAGAAAACACGACGACACTGCAACATATGCTTCAGGAGCCTAGGGAGACACGAGCAAGCTTTCTCAGAGCCATTCCTCCGAGTGCTGTGGCTCGCTCTCTGGGACTCTGGTTGCTGGGAACGAGCTAGCAGATACTGCTGGCTCAGAAAGTTTCAAGTCGTCAGGTATTCCTGTAGCGGTTCATGCAGTCGCCAGATGCTCACTGTGCCTTATATACAAGCCCAGTCATATACACGACCTGTGCCATTGGAAACGTCTCTCTTTCAGGGGGTGGTGTTTTCTTCCATTGCTTAACAGGATTAACTGATTCAGACCTGCATATTAATATAGCAGGACACAAAAGCCCCTGAAGCGAAATTCAATATTTGCAAGTAGAAAGGCGCTCGCTCCAGTCGCGTGGCACAGAGTAGCTTGAGGAGGCAGCTCGCGTGGGCCAATCACCAAAGACGGAGAATACAATGTCAATCTATTCATCTAATGCAATGTTTCGAAAACAGCCAAACGCCAGAGCTATGCTACGAGGGGAAAGGGTATCTCAGCGCCATATCGAGTGACAATCCGCAGCACTAGCTGCTCTCTATTTCGAGAGCGCGCTTGGTGCCCTCCTTCGACTGCACATACTGGTACACATTGGGGTCGCCACCAGTCAGCTTCAAAAGATGACGCTCATACGGCCCCAAGGGCTCCTCAACCATAGTCCTCGCGGTGGGACTAGAGGGAGTATTCTCCTTTGGGCCACAGTATTCCCAGACCCAGCGACCATCAGAGTCAGCACCGGCAGGGTGCTTTATATACTCTTGCCGATCCTCCTCGGGTTCCCAAGCAGGATGGTGCGGGACCGGATCATTGTAAGCCGCGTTCGAATAGACAAGCCGCCAGTTCTTCTTCATAGCCGGGTTGTCCCACTCTCCAAGGTCATTCAACCCCAGACCCTTACAGGCTAGACGGATACGGACCGATGAATGGATGCGCTCGTTGGTGTCTCTGAGGAAAGGACCGTTTCGAGCCTCCGTGTGAGCATTGACCTGTCTATACAATCCAGGTGAACGGACAATCTTTCCGGCCAAGGTGTAGAGAAGGTTCGATGTTTTCTGAATAGACCCGAGACCCCACGGCCGGAGGGGGTGGTTTTGGCCGTAGACAGGCTCCATAGCCCATTTGATGCTCTTGTCCTTAATTTGGGCCTGGTAAAAGGACTTGGATTGCTGCACGCAGCGCTCGAGTGCGAGGTGGTTAAACTCGACGCCAATGGATGCCAACTGGTCCATCATCCCTGATATCCAATGTTAGCCGACAACGAGAAACATAGTAGACTGGGCTTAGACTTACAGGCAAGAGTGATGTTAGAAATGCCTTGGTCGTTCCAGCCGCCCCCGCAGTTTGAGTGGTTTCCCGGAAACCAGACTTGTCGAAGATCCGTCGATAGCTTGTTGGCCTCGAGACGTTCCCAGACAGCCGGCTGGAAGGAGTAGCGCGTCTCATCGAGAGCCAGGGCCTGGAAGGCGTGTTCGACTCTGTCAGACAGGCTCGTGTCCCAGAATCTGAACTCGCGATTTGATGCGTAGATACCGAGCTTATTCAACCAGGCAATTTGAGGGATGCCAAGACTACCAACTGTGTCCCAGACGGCTGTTTTCACACATTAGTTATTACTCTCCACTAGGCTTGACATCTCTTACCAACTGCTTTGACCTTGATTATCTCCCCATTGCCCTCATTTTGTCGGACACGGGTCATGCCAAGCTGTTCAGGTCAGCATCCAGTATCATTCAATATGGGTCACGTCGAACTCACCTTTTCCAGCTTGGCCCTGTACACCTCCGCTGCCCCTTCACCCTTGGGCTTGTTGTCGAATGGCATCGTCGGGAACTCGTCGCGATACCGGTGGTTGTTCCAGTTCTCCATGTCTTTGAAGATGGGCCAAAAGTGCTCAACGCCCTCGCGGGTTAATAGTCCCAGGTCAGAGATCATGCCGGCGACAGAACGGACAATGTAAGCGCCACGAGAGAAGCCGACAAGGATGATCTCGTCGCCGTCGCAGTAGTTGGCGCAGAGGAAGCTATAAATGTTGCGAACTCGCTGTAGTGTCTGTTAGTATGCCGCAGCTCGATTGGAGAGGATAATAGACGCCTACTTCTCCAAGACCGAGGCCAAAAGCACCGCCAGTAAGGGTGTCGAGGGTGTTGCTGCCCGTGCCGACGCCAGACTCGTACTCGATGACTTGCATCCGGCCATCGCTGCACCTTCGGCGAAAACACCTCGAGATGCGAGTCACGTTTGAGGGGATCTGGAGCGACCCCTTGGGCTTGAGGAGGGTGGGCTTTACGTAGGCACTCTCCCTGAGAGATTTCAGTCAGCGAAGGATGTTGTTGAATATAGGCCGTGACGACTTTGCAACATACGAGTTCATCCAGGTGCCGTCGCAGCACACGATGAGTCTCTTTGGGGAGTAACTCATGTTGGCGGCTGGGGCGGTCATGATGGGCAGCGACCTGGCAGCAAGAAGACGGAACAGGACGTTGTTATCTCGTAGGGTCTAGGCGTAGGTAAAGAGATGCGATGGGCACAGGAGAACGAGCGATGATGCGGCGGCGTGTGGAAAGATGGATGTCGGATCAGAGCAGAAGAGACACAGCACAGTCAAGGGGTTCCCGGATCAGTTGCCGAGTGTTTGGTTGAGTCTGGGTTCTTTGACTGTTGAGTGGATATCGTGAGACTTGCAATCTTTGACTTCCCGGGACGCAGAAGCGGCTGCTCCCTTCTTTATAGCAACAGGGGGCGGACGATGGAAAGAAAGCTCCCGTCCAAGGTATGCATGAGGCACAGGGGAGGCACGAGGAAACAGAGCTAGGAACCCGTAAGGCTACCCTATCAGGAAGCACAAACCTCCAGAGCTGAGGCATTCGCGGGTGAGATCCGGGCATTCCAGAGGAATAGTGACAGAGGAAGCGCGCATGCGCCCGTCTCCCGCGTCGCTCGCTTCCTCCGCCGCCGCTGTTCACTTTCGGAAGGGGGGGAGAAAACAGCCAAGAGCGAGGCTGAAGTCTGACATTGGGAGCACACAATAGGTAATAAGGAAGGACCAGGCAAGCGTTGCGGTGAGGGATGACTCTTTGTTGAGCAAGAACCCGGGGGCACAGCATCTCCAAAGGGGGCTAGAGCAGCTAGGCACCAGAATAAGGGTAAGGTAGGAGGATGGATATCCTACCTTTGCGGCTTGGGCTCTTGCCGCTGTCATTGGTTGCCTTGCGGCTTGTATCATGTCGGGCAAGGCAAGGTACCTTAGTGGAAGCTATGTAAGCGGGAAAGAGCGATGTGGTGTTTTGGTCATCATTTGCGTGGATCGTGGGGGTGGGTGGGTTGCACGGGGCAGGACTCGCTTGAAGGGGCGCGCCTGGCCATTGTTCAGGACTCATTTTTCGGTGGCTTCTTGTGGACGGAAAAGGCATCCATTGACGATTCCCATCGAAAACTTCTGGCAAGAGGATGAGTCTCAAGGTCACTGGCGGAGGTGCTCAGCCTCGATTACAATACCAGTCACCTGCTGTCTGCGGATGGCTGAGGGAAAGAAGAGTCCAGCGTAGGAACGATGCAATGGTCGATTGGAGGGAGGGGGCCAGTCAATTTCCCTCCAGAATCCCGACAAAGCCTCCGCCACTGACATTTTTAGGAATTTCCAGTATAAATCCATCGACCCGCGATAGGTCAGGCTATACAATTGCTGAAAGAGTATGGAAATGGGCAGGCGGCAGTGCCGCTCATCTGCATCTTGCTGAGCCATTGGGGGCGCATTGGCAAGGAAAAGGCGGCACAAAGGGGGGGAGGAGAATCGACTTGTTCTTACCTCTTGGGGCAGGTGACCGGGACGTTTATGAAATTGGCGAACCAAACGACTGCAGACGTGGTGAGTGAGATAAACAGTACATGTAAGCAATGGTTCGTGGAGGCTCTCGGCTCGGACAGTGTCACTGTGTGATGTTGCCAACCGGGTTCTGGAACTTTGTTGCCGTTGTCGGATGCGCGCAAGATATAGACAATTGGACGACTTTACAAAAAACGTCGTTGCAACATAAAAAACTAGGCAGATGAAGTCAAATGACACAAGAAGTGAGGACGAGAATCACATAAACGAAGCTAGAGGAAGTCTACTCGGTTCATCGTTCGACGACTCTCAACCTCGACGGGAAGGCCGTATTGCAGTACCCCGCCAAAAATGACTACTTTGAGCATCACGAGATGTAAGAACAGACGGGGCGCAACGAGACCCAACCACCTAGCCAGCCCTACAATCGGATCGCCCAGTCCCGCATCTCACCTCAGATTCAGAAACCCTTTCCCTGGACAAATCTTTCGAACCGCGTCATCGTCAATAAGCATTCGCATTCGTTGTGGGACCTGAGCCAGATTGAACTTTGGAGTCACCTGAGATCCTGGGAGGAGGGGTGCGGCGGGCATGCCGAAGTATGGGACGAACCCTCGAACCTTTTACAACATTAGCCAAACTCTGATATACCTTTAGAAGTTTAGCCATCGAGAGAGAGAGCATTCTACCATCCGTATCCCCGTCTGATTGTACTCTACACCCGACAAATACTAATACAGTTGCAGTGACTCCCAGCCACAAAAAACCTCGTATCTCTGCAACCCATCCATATCTGAACTTATTCTTTAACACCCCATTCCAAAATCACGCAAACTCTGATATTTCCTACATGCGATCTCCCCCCCCCCCCCCCCCCCCCCACCACACACACAAACAAACAAACACCATCAAACCCACACCACACCACCACACCCCCCACCCCCCCCCCCCCCCCACACCCCCCCCCCCCCCCACAAAAAAAAAACCAAAACCTCGCGATTCAAAATCCATGATATTCATACCCACCCGTAGCCCACCCCAGCAATCATGCATACCAGCATGCTTACATGAGACGATTCTGCAGGACTAGCTTTCCATCAACTTCGCCCAGATCGTCTAGTTGGTTAGGATGATACGTTGTGGTTCTTCTATACAGCGATCCGTGTTGACGGCGGTTCGAATCCGCCTCTGGGCAAACCGGAAATTGATTATCATGATTAGTTTCACTTTTTGAGTTCTCTGTATAATTAATTTCCTTCTCAAGAAGAGTCTTTCTTCTTCTTTTTTTTCCCCCGTCCTTCCTTTTCCCTGTGCCAATCCTGTCTCGGATTATGTCTTTCATCATCCCTCCCTTCTTGATGCATCACAACCCAACCATCATCTGTCCTCACAAGACTCACCACAAAACCACAAAACGCCAGAGACAGATGCATCCTTGATGTAAGGTAGGTAGCTGACTCTAGTAACCGACCTGTCGGTCTTGGCGGGCCAACCCGTCCGCGCCCTACAACGCCATCGCCGCGGAACTCCCAACCAGCCAATCACGCCAAGAAAGCAAATCCAAAGACATCCTGATTCGGGGGGTGGAAAAGCTCAGCTACTGCAGGGGACGAGCTAAAAACCTTAATTATCGAAAAAGGGCTTTCTACAACCGCGCCATCTCATCTTTTCCCAAACTCACCTTACCTCATTTTAGCCCAAGTACCTCGGCTGCTGCGAAACCTGCCGCTCAATAATCTCGCCCAGCCCTACAGGATCCGGGCGTGGGCGTCGCCGTCGCGAAATGTGACGAGTCTCTTGCAGTAGCAGCGGCGGCGGTGGCGGCGGAAGCAGGGAGACGAAAGTCAAACCCGACTTCACCTCATGAGATCACACAAGCCCGAGACAGACGAGTCTGTCGTTCAAGACACCATCAGTCACCGGATGATCCATCATAACACTTTAGCTGTTCCAAAGTAGTTTTGTTTGGTCTCTCGGCCCGTCGTTGTGATGGCGGTCTGTCTATTGATTCCTAGCCGCTATGCTTTAGGCATTCGAAGATGCCAACATCGCCCCGATTTGTGGAAAAGAAAAAAAGAAAAAAAAAAGGCACAAACACATTGTGGGTATTGCATCGTAGTCTGCTGAGCGCAACATGCAAAGCCGGCCGTATCATTTTGTGTAGTACGGATTCTCTCATTCCAGTACTGCAGCAGTTTCTCTGCCGCGAATCTAATGCAGGTGGTTCCCATTGAACCCTGCACTGTATTTTCCAGACCTCGTAAACCCAAGGTGCTCAAATATGCTCAAATCAAGTACCGCGCGAGAAAAAACCCCCCTCCCTGTCACGGAGGAACTAACTCAATCTTCCCCAAACAGAATGCCGTGGTGTTCTGCGCACAGCTGGTCGAATCCAAGCCAATACACAGTCCCGTTGTCGTTGGCAGTATCTGACCAGGCGCCGCCATCGTTCTCCCGAATGTCCTTGGGGTATGGGTGTGCGGGGTACCACACTCGGCCGTCAATCAGCTCAGGCGCGTAGTGCTCCTCCTGATGGAACCAATTGATAGCGGAACGGATCAGGGAGCGGCCGTAGGGAAAGAACCACATGCGAGGCCAGAACATGTCCAAGGCTCCCTTCTCTCCGGTGACGTGTAGCAGCGGGAAGGTCTGCTTGGTCACAATGTTGGCGCCAAACTCGGACTTGCGGATCAGCTCGTTCACCGTCGCGCCCATGGTCTCGTCTTCTGTTGTGTTGAAGATGCGCTTGAGCGACTTCATACCGTCCGCCTGCATGTGCAAGCTCCAAGGTACGAAACTAGAGCTATTGCGGTAGTTTTTTGATATCTCGACAGAGTACAGGGGGCCGGCGAATTTGCGCCAGTCTACCCACTCGCCATAGCCAGCCCAAGTCTGGAACATCAGACTCCAATAGTCCATGGCGATGTGGAAGTTGTAACTGTACGCAGGCTCCAGCTGAGGAACCCAACCGTCTTCTGGAGGTTGCATAACGGTGGTATCAGGGTTTTCCTCCTTTTGCATCTGGATTCTCTCAAGCTCCTGCAGACCCCAGACATCGCTCATGTAAAACTGGTCGCTTTCCCTGAACTCGTATTCAGGGTCGTACACCTCGTTGATCAGGTCGAGGGTAGCTCGGAACATCTCGCGGACCTCGTTGATAGGGCCCATAACAGTGCCGCTATTCAGCCATCGGGGATGGTTGAAGGCCATGTCTTCGCCGGAATTCGTGAGGGGGCCGAACTCGCGGGCATCCATATTCGGCACCGGGGGAACCGCCCAGCACGCGGGACGCCGCCAGTCCACGGGCCAGCAGACCTTGTCGGCGCCGAAGAAGACGTGTCGGCCCAAGGGACCAGCCAGACTCTGGGCCCTTTCAGGTCCCAGTTGCTGGATGATGCGCTCGTCTTCCTTGGCTGCGGCCTTGAAATATCTCTCAATCAGGACATCGGGGCCAAATTGGAGGAGGACGTCATAGCCGTCAATCATCATGAACAGATCATCGTTGCTGGATTCAGGCAGGTCCTCGAGGTACTTGGTGACGACGCGAATCTTTGCCAAGTGGGATTGGGCAGCGTCGTTCTCACCGGTGCCATTCCATCCTGCAATTACTGGCGCACCGAAGCGGTTGACGGTCGATGAAACCAGGGCGCGGCAGAACTGAAGGTTCGGGGCGCTGGCGGCGATCAGGAAATGGAATCGGCCGGTGCCTGGGGAGACGGGTTTGGCTCCCTTGGTCGTTGGCGCGGAGGATTTGCTTCCGGTGGGAAGAGAAGCTGAGATTTCGGACTGTGGGAGGAAGCAATTGTTAGCTCAGTGTCAAGGGTCAACAGCTACAACGGTTTTCTCAGAGTCCCGCATCGAGGAGTTCGGTCGAACTTTCAGCTGAAGTCGGCACGTGGGCGCATTCCTGTCACTCTTTGGGGGGGGAGGCTGCCCCGGTAGTCGGGGAACTTGCGACGGCGATCAAAAAAACGACAAGAAGTCTGAAGTAACGACGGGAAACAAGAAGAAGGAAAGAAGCTTACCCAGCTCAGGTTCTCCGGGTAGAGGGACTGGGAGAAGATGAGGAGCGCGGAAACAATGACGAAGGCAGCTATCAGGATGAGCCTGCGGCCTTTCAAAGCCATCAACATGGGTGCAATTCGGGTTTCATTGAGCTGCCGGATTGGCTTGAGATCCAGCTTGGGCGATTTTGGGGGGTTGACAGGCGGGTACGCGAGCTAGTACAGCGCAAGGTTGCTTCGCGGCGGCGGCGGCGACGACGATGAGGCAGTGTCCACGAGGGGAGGTCGAAAGTGCAGCTTGGGTATTATAAAAACGGTAACGGACCAAAGAAGAAAAAAAACACCAAAGGCCGGCAACAATGATAGTAAGGAAGGACAGTAGAGAAGAAAATGCACACTCTCAGTCGAGGATCGTTGTCGTTAAGGGGTTGGAGGGAAAATGAGAAGAGGAAGCAACGAGTGAAAGAGGTTGACCGTGGCAAGAAAGGCTGGGTGACAGATGCCGGATGGAGATGGGCGGGGAGTTTTTTTTTTTTTTCTGGCTTGAGGGTCAGGAATTGCCAAGGCCAAGTCCAAAGTCAGTATTCCCAAGAGCTGTCAGGTCCGAGGAACAAGAGACGCCCGCTGCCGCTGAGAATGCTCCTGTCTTCCCACCCTCGTGGTCAAACCCCTTGGCCTCGGTATCGTCTACTTTTGTCTTGGGAATTGCTCTCCTCGGTAAAGACAGGCGTGTGGGTGGTCAGGCGCCGACACGAGAGAGGTGGAGAGACAGACACACACGCAGTCGACTGACACGACTGCGAATTGAGCCGCACTGAGGTTGAGGTGGTGATTTCCAGCGCAGGTACCTCTGGATCCTTGAGACGAGACTCGGAGAGCGTCGAACGTCCTGAAGAGTCCGGGGAAGACGCGGCGGAAAGGAAATTGGAAGCAGGGCCTGGTTTTGTGGGCCAGCTGCACAAGACCATTCGCCCAAGATTGGATTGGGCGGGCGGGAGCGTCGGGGGGGGGGGGGGGGGGGGGGGAGGAGAGTGCGGGAGCGGGGGGGGGGGGGGGGGGGGAAAGAAGGGGGGGGGGGGGGGTGTGGGGGCGGGGCGAAAAAGACAGGCGCGAAAGGTGGGGGGGGGGGGGGGGGGGGGGGGGGGGGGGGGGGGGAGACCAGGAAGAATAATATTGATACAGGGCGGAATAAAAGGGAGGATTAGGGAAGAAGGAAGCACGGGCCTGGAGTGACGACGACCTGGAGGGGCCAAGACCAAGTAAGCTAAGACCAATGTATTTTGATGGTGGTTTTTAACGATGTCTCGTTGTTGTTATTGTTGTTGTCGCTGCGGCGGTGTCGCAAATGGTCTGCTCAGTGCAGGCAGGAAGGAAGGGGTGGGTGGGTGGCATCAAAGAAGCGTCGGAGCGGGAAGCAGCCACGCAGCCCAGGTGAGGTGCGGAAGCAGGCGTGCTGGTGCAGGTGCGAAAAGTACTAAGGCAAGGTACCTTCCTCGGAGAACAATTAGGGGGAGGGACTGTGCAGCGTGGCGTAGCGGGACGCCGGGACTGGCGGAGAGGGAGGGGATGAAGGAGAGGGAGAGGGAAAGGCCACCGTCCGTCTTTCATCAGTTTGTCAATCTCATGGAACCTAACGCATGACTTGAAGAGTTGATAGACAAGAGGAGGGACCCCTCGCGTCTTGGGCGATGCGAGGAGAGGGACACGCACACAGGCGTCTCACAATTGCCGTCCTGTCCAGACTCCAGCGGTGGCCGTCGCATGGCATGGCTGGGCTTGTCATTGTTCTGTCCGCCGGTACTCTGTACGCGTGTACGTACGCATAGGAAATAGCCTACTGGGTCCAGTCGTGGACACCCAAGGATCTTTGGGGCCATCGGGATATGAAAGCCATGGGGAGGGGCGCTAACAAGCGCTGGATGGCATTGGCTGGTCCAGGGCCGGGCTTACGGTGACGGTCTGATGTGGTGGCTCAGGACTCAGTGGGTGAAGTGGGTGACGTGGGTGAGCACCCAAGATATCAGACTTGCCGTGTCGTCCGGCTTGGACGCTTGGTATCGCCGCATCGGTGCCGCATCGGTGACGGTTGAGACCTCAGTCGTGTTTGCACGGCGGCACTCGAATGACTGACCGTCTGCCACGATTGCCTTAGCTCTGCAATGTGCAGCTGTTTGTGCTACCTATGCGCACAGAAGGATTCGTGCTGCTCGTCAGAGTCAGACAGAGTGACAGACAGACAACCCTCCTCCCTGTAGGCCTTTGCTTGGCGCATTGCTTTATTTTCTTCTATCTCGCCGGTTGCCTTACGCACGGCAGTGGACAAGGAACCAACATGTTGCCAAAAATGCGAGACAACCATGGAGTCGGGGCTGAGAGGGAGGGCGCACTGTCTCGTCGTCGATTGTGGCTGTCCCGGAACCGCCGTTGGGGACCAGAATACCACTTTGAGCATGCTCCCGCCAAGAACGTCCGCTGCTAAGTGGCTTGACTTCCATGTCTGAGATGGGCTACCGACCATTGCAAGACTGCCCACCCGGTTTGGCTGGTCCGGAGTACCAGGCGCCGACGTCCTCGTCGATTCGTCCGTCGTGCTCCCTTGGAGTCTTGGAGTATCATTGGTGCGTGCTCTCACGTCTCTCACCTGCCGGTCGATATCTCACACGTTGTGCGCCGCTCCGTAGATGGAGACTTGGTCCTGAATAAAAATCAATGGGTAGAGTCCAGAGAGCTGTAATTGCGAGCGGCACTTGTATCTCCACGACGGTTTCATTGTGTAAATCTACTTGCCGCTAGAATGCGAAACTGTGGATTAAGAGAGATAAGATTCTGATGGCGTGCTGAGGTAAGCGGGGCGACGTCAATCTGCACTGGTGCAGACACTGCAGCAGACTGCCCGGAGGAAATAGAAAGATGACATAATGCTCGAAGTACGTACGGACCTAAACCTATTCGTGTTGCTCCCGGTCAGTGTCTCCACTGCATCCCGTCCGTCCCCCCTTTCCACTCTCGTGCGTGAGGCGCAGCCACAATCTTCCTCCACCGACTGCTGCAGTGCTGCTGCTGTCATGAGCCCCGGTGTCTTGGTTCGACATGCTGCTGGTGCCATGCTTGGCCCGACCATACCTACATACCGACCTTTGCTTCTTGTCGTCATTTCCCGCCCTGCATCTCCTCTCAGCCAGTCGCATCCAACGTCTTTGAGCTGCTTCCCGTTTAATATTTTCCCTGCTTGCCTACGCGGCTTGGCTCTCTCCCCCTATTTGCTGTGGCTTTCTCGTCACCTCTTGACGGTCCACCGCCCTCCTCCTCGCTTCCACCGTTCCGCTCCTCCCCAAAGCCAAGGGAGGGAACCAAACTCAAAATAAGAAGAAAAAAGCTGGGCATCGCCTGATGTCGGATTTGTCGGCTCTCTCTCTCATCAGCGATCAGTCGCATCCCGCCCAGTTGTTCACTGACCACTGCAGCTGCATGACTATCTCTTCTCAGGCCCCCCTCCCCCTCTGTGCGGCGGCTGCAGGGCCACAGACGAAGAGAGAGGGCGAGATGAGACAGGCATCGCCATGCTGCCACGCGCACGTCTTTCGACTCGTCCGGAGCCCCCAACACCCTTACCTAAACCTTGAGTGAGACCTGCCAAATATACCTCCCGTGCGATGACAGAACACACGGGGTACCTTGGGTACTTAGCGATGATCATGGGCCGAAACCTGGGAGCAGCCACAGACAGAAAACGAATTCTCCAGATAGATTGCAGCTCCTCTCCGCGGGCGCCCCCCCTTCGGCTTGCTCGCTCGCCTCTCATCAAGCTAGATTCTTCCCTAGGATGCTGGACCCTGCCTAGAGCCGCATTTATATGAGATCGGCCAGTGATGATGAATCTCCCACCCACACGCTGGGATCGTATACATAAGCACCCACCTCCTAGAGTCGTTTAATCCCCACTTTTCCGCCTGCTTTTTGGCTTTCTCTCGATATGAAGAAAGGACGACAGTTGGAGGCTTGGAAAGTCCGTGTCTAACATCGGTTCAGAGGCTCGTGCATGCGCAACCCTGATAGCTCTATCTAGGTCTGAGGCCTTTTGGTCAAGAATTGATAGCAGCGCGATAGATGCAATCATGCACCGGTCGCAGCAACTGGAACATGTGTGGAATTTCTCCCAGTGATACAAAAACCCTCGAGACTTGACCAAAAAACAAATAAAAATAAAAAATAAAATAAACAAAATAATATATTAACTACAAATATAATAAAAAATTAAAAAACAACAAAAAAAAAAAAAAAAAAAAAAAAAAAAAAAAAAAAAAAGGGCTCGCCTAAGCGCAATTAAACGTGTTCCAGAGCTTGATGGACTGATCCAGTGATCCATCCTGCCAGACTCGCCTCAGCTCCCTGGAGCTGCCCAGCTGGGTGTTTCCAAATGCTCCATTTCACTTTATCCAGGTTTCTTCATGGCCGATGATACTGATCCGCCGACCCCAGCCAAGGACCAAACCACGTAATTGGCCAACCTGGCGGCAGGTATTTGCCTTTTGCCCCTTCATGAACTTCTCCCAAGTAAACCCCCCACCCCGGTCTGCCAGAGCCCTCCCTCCAATTGAACCACCTCCCCGGTCTCTCATCCCGCAATTGCACTGTATCTGGCTTCCCTCCTTCATTAATTGGCCCCGTTTCGCCAGGTTCTTACCATAGTACTCTATGCCCCCCCTCCCTTGCTGTCCGGCCGCACCAGGATGAATCAGGGCCCCAGGCTGACGCGGCTGCCAAGGGGGTTATGGGGGGGGCCAATATTTTCTCGAGACAGGCTGCAGTTCGGACGCGAAAAAGCACCCGCCACCGCACTGTACATCCCACCTTGGGTCCGTCGGCCTTGTTATCCAACCCACCAGTGAGAGAACTCTCCCACAGGTTGAGTGACTTCCACTCTTTTCCAAACCCGTGAGGCCCTCCAACCCCCCCAGCGACTACGTAGACCATGGATGAGGATAGATTACGATGATGACCTGGCAGCCACTGATCGATGATGGAGACCGACTCCGAAGCCCTGTCAGTGTTCCCGCCCACCTTATTCCAAGTACACAGTAAGAGACGGTATAGGTGATCGACCCGCGAAGGAAGAGGATCAGAACGGGGAACACGAGACGTACGCTCTGCTTTATGTACAGCAGCACGCTGTAAACGAGCCGGCGTCGCGGTGAGTCGGCCGGTAGGACTAGCTGCCGTTTAGCTCAAACGGGTTAACGGGCGGACTGATCCCTCTCAATGTACATCACACACAAGCCAGCGATAGCGACAGCGACAGCGCAGCGCGACAGCGCGAGCGAGGCCGTTCGAGGGTGACGGGGACGTATCGAGACTAGACTAGCCGAACCGGCCAGAAGTTGCCGTGCAGTTCTCACCAAACGCGCAAGCCTGGGTTTGATGGACGGTCGTCATTCTGACTTTTGTATAGTATGGAGTGTGAAGCGTGCGTATGCGTGTGTCCACGAGGCCCTCTGTCCACTATTGCTCGTGTCGAGATGCCGTATCCGTGGCTGACTCTCCTTCACTCCCTTACACACGTCGTAAGCTTTCACCTGAGGGGAAACCTACGTGTATGAGATGAGAAGCCGCGATGCCGGTTAGTTTCCATTCAATAGACTCGGGGAAAACCCAGACAGATCTGTGAGACCCCTTGGCTACACTGCACTGCTACTCTACCTACGGATAGTGGCGGGTCAGGTCTTGTTTCTGACTTTTCCTTGTCCCTACCTGTCCTGGCGTGGTGTGCTCCTCCTCCCCAAAGTACCTTTACTGTTTGAGGAAGCTCCCTTGGGTTAGCCAGACCAGCCAGGTACGTGTGTAATTTATTCTCCTGTGCCAGGGCCGGGAGGTGGTTGTAAAGTCACCAACTCATTCACTCATTCGCTCAACTCAATTGCTCATCTCACTCAATCACCCATTGGGGGATGCATCCGTTGGGAGTCCAGCACGGCAAATGAACGAAGAGTGGGAGCAGGAAAAGGAGGATTGGCAGACTGGCAGTGAGCAATGCCGCCAGCCGAAACGTCATTGATGCCAAGCGCGGAAGCGAGAAAGATGCCTGTTTGACTATCTCGGCATCCTCTGCATCCTGTTCTTGTCCTTCCACCCCGGTGGGTCATGTCTCCTCTGCCATCCCTCCCTCTCCACCCTGCCCTGTCCTGTCTGTGTAGGTATGAACCTCTGAGATAGGGATACTCGTGGTGTAGTTTGTACTCGGTCTCCGTACCGTGCTTCCCACTCCTATTCCCACCCTTCCCTTTCACCTATCTGTCTCCCGTGCCCGCCTCATCACCAGTCCACCAGTCCACCACCACTCACTTCAGTCCCCATTCCTTTTCTCTCCCCACGTCTTTTCAACGCTTCCAGTTCCTGTCGTTCCCTTTCTAAAACGTACCTTAATCCCGTTCTGCCCCCCTGTTCCCACACCCTTCTGAATACCTACCTACCTACATCGCTGCATCGGATTTAGCTGGTGCCTCGCAAAAGCCTGCGATCCGAAGTCTTGAATTCATTAACAGCCTGTTCCACTAAGCAAACTGCCTTGTACGGATACCTCCCGTCTCTGTTATCCGCCCCCCATTACCATTACACCCACTTCCTACCTCCTACCTTACCTCACCTCCATCTTCCCAGGTCCCTACTTTTTATTCCTTTTCCCTTCATCCATATTGCCAACCACACTCCTTCGATCGCTCTGCCTCTCGTTTGGGCCTTTCTCTTTTATTTACATTTTGTCCCATTGTCCGCCCGCCGTTCCTCCTTTCGTCGCTTGTTAGTCCGATTTTTTAAGCTCGACTACCTGACGCACGCCCGTTTGCCGCACAAAAGCCCCCCCGCCCGCTCGGGACCGATCTACGTCGTGAAACCAGGACAGTCGTCAGCTTCCTCGACCACCCCCCTAAGCGACAGGGTACTTGTGGACGAACACACGGTCTCTAAACAAATAAACGAAAGAGGAATCCGACACCTTGCGACGAAAACGGGGAAAACCCAAAAAAGCTCACCTCTTCCCGACTCAACTCCCAAACCCACCTGTTCCCGACGACTTTGAAGCAATGGCCGAATCTAGCCACCTCAAGAGCGAGGCTCGACGGAGCGAAGAGGGCCACGGCCTCCTCAACGGCGATGAGAAGCGAATCGAGGAGAGCTACGATCTCGAGGCCAACAGCAATCCTGCCACCGAACAACAGGCCAACGCCGACAGAGTCCGCAATCCCGTCGAGTATACCATCTCACCACAGGTCAAGTTTGGCTGGTTGAGCGCCTATTTCATGTTCAGCTTGGTTTTGACCCTCTACAACAAGTTGATCCTCGGAGCGGTATGTGAATTGCCTCCTCATCTGCAACCGCCAGCTCCAAAGTCTAGTTACAATTGTCGGGAAAACGAGCAGCGGTGAAATGATGAAAATGCATTCTTTCACTGAGCTTTCTCTGACTTTCGTCCCAGTTCCCCTTTCCGTGGCTTCTCACCTCGCTCCATGCCACGTGCGCGAGTTTGGGTTGCTACTGCTTGCTCCAATGTGGCTACTTCACCATGTCCCATCTGGGACGCCGCGAAAACATCATCCTCCTCAGCTTCAGCTTGCTCTTCACGACCAATATTGCCGTCTCGAACCTGTCACTGTAAGTAGCCAAAATCCTTCATTTTGGGGTCTGTCCTGGGCTGCGCCGCATGATTGCGCACTTTCCGCCGGAAGAGGCGGATCTCGAACAGACTCGGCAAGCTCCGGTGCTAATTCCCTGCACAGTGCCATGGTCTCCGTACCATTCTACCAGGTCCTGCGAACTACCGTCCCCGTCTTCACGGTTCTCATCTACCGCGTTGTCTTTGGTCGTACCTATGAGAACATGACTTATCTCACGCTGGTTCCCATCATGATTGGTGCTGCTCTGACCACGATTGGAGAGTATACTTTCACCGACCTGGGTTTCCTGCTCACCTTTGCGGGCGTGGTGCTTGCCGCGGTCAAGGTACGTTACTTTGGGTTTGCCCATCTCCCGTCCATCCATCATCCGAAATCTGCGCTCTGTCGAGTTTGCGGAGAGTTGCCCCCCGGTGGCTCCAATTGGGTCCGCCATCTGCGCCCTCTGAAACTCGGCCAGCGAACCTTCGTCCCATTTACAGTGGTACTGTCAATGCATTCACAGGTGCTGACGAGCATAATAACAGACCGTTGCTACCAACCGCATTATGACCGGCCCCCTCGCTCTTCCTGCCATGGAGGTGCTGCTGCGCATGTCGCCCTTTGCGGCTATGCAGTCTTTGGCCTGCGCCATCGCCGCCGGCGAGCTCGGAAACCTCAACACCATGCGTGTTGAAGGTAACATCAGCCTCGCCACCCTTGTCGCTCTTCTCGGCAACGGCATTCTCGCTTTTGCCCTCAATGTTGCGTCTTTCCAGACAAACAAGGTTGCTGGTGCTCTGACGATGAGCATTTGCGGCAACCTTAAGCAGTGCCTGACGGTTGGCCTCGGCATCATTGCTTTCGGCGTCGAGGTCCACCTCTTCAACGGCTCCGGCATGATCCTCACCATGATTGGCGCCGCGTGGTATAGCAAGGTCGAGCTCGACCGCAGAGCCCGCAAATAAACTGGCTCGCATGGACTGGCGAACTGCGCATCACTGCGCGTGTAATGAATATCAGTAACGGCCGAATATTGCATAGAATCGGGCGCAGGCAGAGCCGGTTCAGCCTGTGAGGAAAGGCGTCTGGTTGTATCAACCAAGAGAGCCGCGGTCGACGCCGTCCGCAGCTATGGAGCTACGGAGAGGACGAATCATCGCAAATCACGGCGTCAGGAAACCCGGATGACTAGGGCGGCGCCGGCGGAAGCCGATCAAACCGGCGTCAAAGCCGGCTCGCTTCCGCCTCTCCGCCATGGGGTTTCCCCCTGGCCGGCGCATCGCACTCTGGACACGATGACGCCGCGTGTAAGATGGAGCCGAGTGCACCCGACGAAAGAAAAAAGCATGCATGCCGCGGCCATAGGGTTCGCGCATCGATTTTATACCCTTCGCATGGAGTAAAGGAAATGGGCATAAACGGAATGTTCTCATCAAAAGGGTCAGGGAAAAGTTCATTTGTCTTCTAGAAACCCTGGCCCTTTTTTATTTTCTTTTCTTCATCCACTTCTAAATTTACCAGACAGGTAATAATACCAATTGACCATTAAAAGATCAAACTGCCTGATATATTTCCAGTGAGAATTTTTTTCTTCTTCTTTGGCGTGAGGCAATCTACATTGTTGCAGCCAGCGTCTCCCACCCGACCCTGGGATTGCACAATGTGGTTATTCCCGGACTATTAGAAGATGGATGATGGATGGCCTAGTCACCTGCAAGACACCACCCCACGCGGGCGCATCCCGTGGGTGAAGTGGGTGTGGTCGGAGTTGTTCATCCCCCCCCCATTCCCCCTTCATCCTCTCTTTCTCCGAAAAAAGCCATCTGCTGCAGAAAACCCACGCGCGCGCGCTGCTGGACCAGAATTCGTTGGTAGCTGATGCTGGCGGGAAAACCTGCTGATGGTGCCGTCATGTGAACCCAATTGGACCACCGACACCACCACCACCACCATCACCCCGCTGTTCACGTCAACCATCTCGTTAGGGCTGAGGGAAATCTGATAAACCTTGTTCAATCCAGCTCCTCTGTCCGCCATTCTGATGGATGGGATTCCGTTATGTTGATTGTACAATGACATTTCCGGAACCGCCTTGAGAAACGCACAGAAGAATATGTCGGTTGCTATCCAGACCCAGAAAGAGAGTGATTGTGCCGATGGCGGCGACACTGGTGCTGCGAGACGCGGCAGCGGGTTCGCGTCCGTGAAGCCGTCGATGGTATGCGATGCGACAGACGCGCGACCGGACCCAGATCCAGCGGTCGAGGACGCCGACGATATGGAGAACAAGGATGACAAAAGCAAAGACAACGACGACGAAAAGGTCGCGGCGTTTCTGGAGAGGAACGGACTGCACCGCTCGGCCGTCGCGGCGGCGCACGAGTTTGCGCGGGCGAGGTTCCCAGGCTGCGGGGTGGAGAGGGCGCCGTTTCAGGGGTATTGCTCGTATACCCTGCTCCTGCGGCCGCGTCCTCTCGGCGGCGGGGTCGGTGGCGGTGGCGGTGGCGGGCTCGTCCAGTTCCGGCCGAGGAGGCACGGTATCGACGTGGACGTCTGCGGCGAGGCCAGGGGTGTTTTGGGGGCCGGGATCGTGCCGGGTGTGGAGGAGTTGGGTGTGCTGGCGGGGCTGGAGAAGACGGTGAGCCGCGGCGGGAGGGGGAAGGATCACGGCGACAGGGACGGCGAGAGGAACGGCGAGAGTGACGGGGAGCTATGCGCGTATCTCCTGGAGAGGGTCGGCGGGGTGTCGTTGACGTGGTTCCGGGGTGTCTCTGCCGGCTTGGGAGCGGATCCGAGGGCGTCTCGGCGGAGGCTCGTGGCTGACTTGGCTGTTGTCTTTGCGGATTCGTGGAGGGGCAGGCGGGAGGGCTTCGGGAGCGGGGACGTCGTCGTCGGCTCCGGCTCCGGCTCCAAGGGGCGCGTGGGCGAGAGTATGGCGTGGCGGTTGGAGATTATGGAGAGCGGGTTGCCCCCCGAGTTCAGGGACATTGTGAGGGAGGTTCGGAGGGACCTGGCGGAGATTGAGGACCTGCCTTGGGTCGTTACGCACGGGGACCTCGTGCCGGATAACGTCATGGTGCATCCGCCGCGCGACGAGGACGAGGCGTGGGTGCGGCGGCGGCGGCGGCTGGGGTGGGGGAGGGAGGAGAGGGCTGGCGGGTTGGTTGGGTTGATTGACTGGGCCGAGGCGGAGTGGTTGCCGTTTGGGGTTGGGATGTACGGTCTGGAAGAGGTGTTGGGGGAGGATGTTGTTGTTGTTGATGGGAATACTAATGTCGACTGCGTTGGAGGCGGCGGCGGAAGCAGCAGTAGCGGCGCCACTGCGGCTACTACGACGACGACGACGATGATGACGACGAGGTTCGAATATTACCCCGAAGCAGCCTCCCTCCGCGCCCTCTTCTGGGATGAGGTCGGTCGCGTCGTGGGCGACGACGAGGTCATCCGCCGGGCTAAGAGGGCTCAGTTCCTAGGGGTGCTGCTCTGGAGGGGCATCGCGTTTGATGATGGCGCGCTGGGGAGGGTCGTGGACGAGGAGAGGGACTGGTGGGACTTGCAGAGGTTGCGGGTTTGGGCTTTTGAGGAGGGGGGTTTGGGGTTGAGTCGTGGGAAGGTTGAGGTCGAGGTGGTTCGGGGTAGCGGGGAGCAGAAGAAGAGGGATAGGAGGCGGTTGCTGAAGAGACTTTTTGCGTGGATAAGAGGGTGTTGTTAAGGGGTTATGAGAAGACGGATTTGGATAGTTGGTTGGATAGAATGTGTGTTGTTATTTAGACTAGAAGACTATCGAGTGTTTGAAGACGGCTTCAATTCTTTTAGATGATTTCATCCTCGCGCTCTAGCTGTCATCGCAGCGAGCCTCAATTGAGGCGCAGTGTCTGACCGTCCTACTCACATGCGTCATATGGGGATCTCTCTATACCAGCTTACCTGTTCGCTTGGCTCCGTGAGTCTCGGTTCTTGCCGAAGGCAAAGATGGACTTGAGAAGGCGCATATACCGTTCTTGCGTTCCGCGGACACAAGAACGACGACGGAACAAGCTTTGGAGAAAGGGTGACGAGGACGAGCGTGTCAATCTTTGAATGCTTGGTCCTTTCAGCGCAACTCCGGCGTTGACTCCTCTGTCGGGACGTAGAGAGGTAAAGATGTTGAGATGTCATGGGATGCGGTTGCGACGGACAGGCTTTATCCTTGGCCATGCCACAGCACTTCAGTATAAATGGCGTTTTTCTGCCAGGGTAAACGATATTGCTATTATCACTGCTCGACGAAACAGACGCTTCGAAGTCACCACTCCCCATGCCCCTTTAGTAGACTCAGAATGCTTGGTGATCATATTAACAAGATGAGAAATGCTGTGGATATCTCTTGGTAGTCAAGAATTGGCGTGATCCAAACTGATCCATCTACAATCGCAATATACACGCCTGTACCCGACGTAGGCTTGGCCTAGACTATATGGACCCATGGATCCCTGAACTTGCCAGTGGCTTCTCTACCTTGGGGTACAGAAACGCCCCAGGCCGTTATCCGATGGCGCTGCCAGCTTCCGACGCCCTGCTTCCGATCGTGAGGTATCATGCGATGCTGACCAAGCGCGGAAAGGGCCCCCTTTCACCCCCACGCACTTTCAGCCCCCAAGAGCCGAAGAGCCGAGTACGAGCACGATGGCGAGGTACGAGTGATGCCCATGGACCATTCATGGGAAACATGTTTCCCAAAGGGGAAATTTTACAGAAGCGATTGCGGAAGACGATCTCTGTAGGCAAGTCAACACCAAAGCGTACAGTCCTTTTATTTCTCCCCAAGGATGTCGATCGAGCGTTTTAGGTTTTTGCTCCGCCGAGTTGCATGGCGCTGGGCAATCTCTCCTGTGTGCATTTTGTGTATCCGTAGGCTTCGGGACTGCTCCTACGAATAAGCTTATTACCAGCGTGAGAAGGCAAAAATTTAGACTACTGGGAATCGTCATGTTACGTCAATTTTTATGGATGCTTACAATCTCCTCACCGGGTTCTGAGTATCGACAAGGTCCAATTTGATCATAAGCCTTGACTCGGCCGGCACGATCTTGGATCATGGCTCATCCGGTCGCGGAGGCAGGAAAGCAAGATTTTTCGTTCTTCAAGTCACTGGAAAGACGACGTGATAGATCTGGTAGGGTGAGAGACGCTAAGATGGGAACATGGTGACATTTTCTCATGAGGTGGAGTCGGCTAGGGCTCCGTCCCACTGGCTTGGTAAGGCTCCCGCGCGCGTCGGCTATCGTATTTTCTTGTTCCTCGTGTAGACGCTGCCTGTGATGGTGATGCTGACCAAGTCTTACTGTTGTTTTGATCCGCGTCTGGCCAAACTCGCAGATTTGATGTTTTCTGAGGGCAGGTTTGGCCATGAAATCTAGATTATTCAGCAGAGGATAGGCACGAAAAGAAGTCTCGTGCGATGGCTATCTCTGTCGAGGGGATCATGGCCTCGTTGTGCCTTAGACGGGATCAATATCCCCGAGCATTGAACCCGATGCTCAACGTTGGTATTTAGAGGGTGTGATGTCCCTCGCAGTCTGGCCTCTCTCCTGACCAGAGCATCAAAAACCTCGCCATCCTCAGCTTTCTTCGAGGACTCAGCTAACAACCATCCTTTCTAATCTTTGCGTGCCCGAATCCTCGCCATGATGATCGGACCTGTCCTGCTGGCCGCCGCCAGCCTCGGCAGCATGGCCGTAGCATACGACACAACCTTTGGCTTCAATGGTGCCCCCATCATTGAGAACCGCACTCTCGACGAAATCCACCAGGCCGCCCTCGCCGAGGGCGGCATCGTGACAGCCTGGCACGGAGGCGACGAGACTTACCAGCAAGACGGCCTCAAGAAGGCCTTCGAGACGAGGTTCCCCGGCATGACGCTCAACATCACCGTCGACGTCTCCAAGTACCACGACGGCAATATTGACCGCCAGCTCGCCGTCGGCGGGCTGTACGTCGACACGGCCATCCTGCAGACCCTCCACGACTACCCCAGCTGGGACCTCGAGGGTGCCCTGCTGCACTACCAGCCCGTCAACTTCCGAAAGGTACACCCGGCCTTCCGGGACGTCCGCGGTGCTTGGCACGGGGTGTCCATCTTTGCGTGGACGTTCATCTGGAACACTGAGAGGGAAGTGGACGGCCCCAGAGAGTTTGCCGATTTCCTCGATCCCAGGTTCAAGGATAAGCTCGTCCTCACGTACCCCAACGACGACGACGCGGTCCTATACGCTTTTGACTTGATGTGAGTAAAGAAACCTCCAAGAGGGGGGAAATTTTCGCCCTAACCAACGAAAATCATCACTGGCACATCTGCTCACGCACCAAACAGCATGCAAGAATTCGGATACGAATGGTTCGAGAAGCTCCTGGCCCAGAATCCCCGCTGGGTCCGCGGCACCGGCACGCCCGTCACCCTCCTCACGTCGCCAAACACCACCCTCTCGGCCACCTTCACCGCCGGCGTCGGCCTGGTTCCCTCGGCGCCCCTCAACGTGACCATCCCGACCGAGGGCAGCTTCGTGACGTGGGCGCAGAGGGCGGCCATCTTCAAGGACGCGCCGCACCCAGAGGGCGCGAAGCTCCTTCACAACTTTATGCTGAGTGACGAGTACCAGTCGACGACGGGCTCGTGGAGCGTGCGCAAGGACGTTGCTGCGCCGGCTGGGTATCCCGATCTCATGGACGTCCCGTCAACGAACCCGGTCGAGTTTGAGCGCTTCATGGGGAACCGGGTGCGTGTTGAGCAGCTCAAGTTGTTTTTTGAGGATAAGATTGGGACGGCGCAGGGGCTGAGTCCTCTTATTGATGACTTGTGAGGTTTTCGTGGGGTCTTGTTGATGTGAGTTGTGATTGCAAGAGTCGGATGGGGGTGAGAAGATGCATGGGATGGGGATGGTCGCAATTGTCTTTGAGGTAATGGGGTTATTTCAGTATTGTTGTTGCTTTCGACAACATTAAGCGAGGCTTGGAGATTCTTACTAAAATAGAAGAGGAAAAGAGGCTTGACCTAAGAAAGAAAAAGACTTTTTAGAAAACGACGATAGTCCAAGTGTGACTACATGTCTTCATAACTTGAGCCTTACTCAGCAGTTGTAACTTCAACACATTCGTCACTCTGTCAAAAACAGCTTCTTCCTTTCTACCTCGCAATCTTTTCGTCGCCGGCTAGATTATTCTTAGAACCAAGCACAGTCATCCCCTCCTCGCTTGGATTGCACACCATCCCAAGGCGGCGGAGTTCCGCTGCCGAAGCGCAGGGACACCCTTGCCGTGCAGCCTGCAGCCCGAATAAGCAGTACGGGTCCTCCCGCATGGGTTCATCCCGTCGAGTCTGGCCAAACATCGTGTCACATCAAAGGATCAGATGCTGATTCAGCGCCCAAGCGTGAGAATCCCCTTGACACTGGTTGCCAGGGACAAGATCGCAAGGTGGACATGGGCTATTGATTATACCAAGAAATCCCTTACTAAGAAACCAGTCGGACTTCCATCCTACTAGGCTACAGCTTGTCGTTCGGTGCCCTTTTGCTCCAGAGGACCGTGGTCGTGTTCGCGATGGCGGCTCATTTGTGATGAGAACGCATTGGTATATAAGCGCAGCTTCTTGCCCGATTCCAGTCTCAGACATCCAGCCCCTCAACCAATTCGGCCTCTTCCAGCTCAAACAGACTTCCTCCAACCTGCTCCCGGCTCTTCCCCCATCTCGCACAAAAAACGAACCCAGCCGCACCTCCTCCAGCCAAGATGTACACCCAATCCACCCTCACGCTCCTCGCAGCAGCAGCAGCCCTCCACCTCGCGACCCCCGTGTCTGCAAACTACGAGACCGGCAAGGCCGTGCAGGTCAACTTCTACTCCAACGCGGGCTGCTCGTCCTACACCAGCGAGACGGCGGCGTGGTGGACCCGCTCGCCCCGCGCCGGCGAGTGGGTCAACGGCGGGAGCGCCGGCGAGTGCTTCTCCCTCGGCATGCCGGGCGCCAGCGGGAGCCTCAACGTGGCCAACGTGTGGAGGGGCAACGGGGCCCAGACGGGCGGCGGGTGCGATTTGTACGATGGGTACAACTGCGGCGGCGTCCATGGGTACATTGGGTTCTCGAGCGGTTCGGGAAGCTGTGCTGCCTCTAGGAGCTCGAATGGGTTGCTCTGGAAGAGTGCCAAGTGCGGCGCCGTTTAAGTGGAGAGAGTAGAAGGACATGATTGCCGATTGATGCGTGTTTGGTAAACATCATCAGAGGTCGGGGCTTGTGGCGATGTTTCGAGGCTGCTCGCAAATATATACTGGTTGATTCGCCACAAGATAACTTTCGGGCATAGCTATCGCGGATGATCCACGGCAGATATAGTCTTGCATGGCAGGGGACAATAGAATCCAGAAATGGAAGCGCACTTTGAAGGCACTTTTGTCTCTACAGGCACAGATTTCCAGATTCGCAGAAATCCGTAATTACCACCTGCCGAGAGAATCATGACCCACGAGAGAACCCATACCCTCACCGCCTGGCCGGCACGACGCCCTCCCGCCCATCCACGTCCGTCCACTCCTGGAGCGCATCCAACAGCCTCCCCCATTTCCCGCCGGACCAATCGTCCCGCAACGCCTTCCACTCAGGCAAACAGCCCCTCATGAACTGCAGCCAGCCGCCGACGACAAAGTCCGCGTACACGGGGCTCTCGCGCCCGTCCAGGAAGGGGCCGCCTCCGGCAGGGAAGCAGGGCCCGAGCTTGGCGTCCAGATTCGTCTCGAAATCCTCCAACATCGTCTTCCTCATCTCCGACCCGGGCCGCACCTCGAGGTCCGCCCACGTCTTCCCCGGGAAGCGGTCCAGGAACGCCTTCCTATCGGCCTCGGCGGTGCGCGGGTCCAGGGGCATGTAGAACCCCCCGAGCGGAGCGCCGTACTGGCCAAAGACCTGGTCCACGAACGCGTTGAAGACGCGGTGCAGCGCCACCGTGCCGTTCCCTCCCGCGGGGAAGAGTTGGTGCTTCTTGCCGGAGAGGTAGGTTGTCTGCAGGTGCAGCGCGATGTCGAACGAGTCGCCCACCAGGACCCCTTTGTCCTCCGAGGAGGCGAGCGGGTCGCGGATGATGGGTAAGGTGGGGAAGTCGCTGCCGTCCCCGTGCTTGCGATTGGCGGGGAGCCCGAGCGAGTTGCGCGTCTCGGCGACGGCGTTGAGGGGTACCCAGGTTGTGCGGTAAGGGACCTTGGCAAAGTTGAGCGCGTAACTGGAGAGTGTCAGTTTTGATCGTTCAGTTCCTTCTTTTCCCTTTTTTTTCTCTTCTCAGACGGGGGTGGGAGATCATCACATACCGCGTCTTCCACGGATTCGGCGACATTGGGTAGGCTGCCGGATCGAGGATGATGTCGTAGAACGTGATGGTGGGTTTGGTAGAGGCGTCCATGGTGAGCGAAACTGTTGGCAGTTTGCAGAGTGTTTGTCTTTTGGTTCTGTGGTATGTATAGAATACTAGGCAATTGGGAACAGCCAGGTGTCAAGAAAACGAGAACGCAATGGCTATTTCTATTCTTGCCGTGAGATCAGATTCACTGTCAGCGTTGAAATGGGCAGGGGATTGTGGAGGATCTGCGCCTGGATCGCTTAGCCGCGATGAATCATATGCCATAACAGGCCTTAGCAGCCGCCGCGGCAGGTCCCGATAGGCCACCCCCGCTCGAGGTGTACGACAAAACAAAGCTACGGGCCGCATGTGGGGCGGTGTAATCGGAGATCGGCTGCCCAAGCTAATGCCGTAAAACGGAGCGAATGGCGTCTTTGACATCTAGATGACTGCCAGCAGGGCTAGGGCGGCGCACCGGGAGTCTCACGTCTTGTTCTGCCTTCACCAGTCAGACCGCCAGTAGCTTCAGTCGGCGGGTATCCCGCCCGGACGCGGACGCGGACCATAGGACAGAACGGCCCCGCTGCGGACCGGGATTACCGTTGGGGCTCGCGGCTTCATTACCGAGACAGGAAGGTGGGGTTAGTGGGCGATCGGCGACTTGGAGTGGGAACATTTTGACGAGCGTCTCATGGTGCTGCGCTGGCTGCGATGCAGACCGATTGGTGTAATTGTTTCCATTACTCACTGGCTGGAATTAGACCTTCTCTATCAACCAAATACTTTCTCGTCGCATCTGCTGTGAACGTCTTAATGCGTACTTCCGATCACATTAGAGCGAAGTTAGCAATCAGTTCTGCATCATTCAGCACGACTTGTCAAAAATCCGGTTTGATATTCAGGTGCAGACTGATGTCAACGAGGCTCCAAGTCGCCAAAAGATGGTGTTTAACTAGTTGCATTACAGGGTTGAGGACGTGTTTCATTAAATAGAAAAAAGCAGGGAGAAAATCAAAGAAAGACTGCCGTGGTCTTGACCGCAAGCTTCCGCGGTTATGCTCGACCCCCAAAAGGCTCAATCCCACCATAGCAGTCCCAAGAAGTGAAGTAGGTCCGCCCCCACCCTGTCAGCCTGATCATGATCTAGTTGAGTGAGAGGCCTTGGTAGCGGTCAATCGTGGTAGTGATGGTTCCACTGAGCATGCTGGCCTGCGCCTGGAGGTCGGTGGCCCTGCTCTGCACAGCGTCGATGAGAGCAAAGGCGACGGACTTGAAAGCCCCCATCAACGTCAGCCAGACACTTTTCATGAGGAAAATGTGGGGAGCCAAACTCACATCGACGACATTTTCGACCTGTCTGAGGACGGCAGCGACAGGCTGACCGATAAGGGGCACGGTCGAGAAGAGACCGGCCTTGCCGATGAGGACGTTGAGAAGCGCCTGGTGGACGCGCACGAAGTCGCGGAACGCCTCAAAGATGGCGTCGGACTGGGCACCGGCCGGTACGGCGGGCATACCCTGCATTTGGGTGAGAGCCGTGCTGACGGTAGTGACAATGTCCACGAAGCCCGCGATGATTTGCTGTGGGGAGGAAGGTGTCAGTTCCGATGTTTTGACGCTTCACGTTCGGGGAACGAGACTGGACTTACCGGGAAGGGCCCCTGGCCGACAATAATGAGTGGTCCGCTGACGATATCAATCTTTTGCGCGGGCGCAATGAGAGCGTTGGACTTTTGGGTGACCATGTTGATGTTCTGGACAACCTGGGCCGGAGTCGTCTGGCCAAGGACAGAATCGCTGCAGACTGCCAGGGCAGCAACGGCGAGCTTGAGGATGGAGAACTGCATTTTGATAGTCGGAGAGAGAGGTAAGAAGGCTGTGAGTCTGGTCGGTAAGTTTTGGAGTGAATGGGTCGGGCTGTAGTGAGAAGATGAGAGGATGATGAGGGCTATGAGGAGAATGAGTATGATGCCGGGAGATGGACGGCTTCTTATACTTGGTCCGGGGCAAGGACTCTAGTCTTTGGAAACATCGTGAAATACACAGTCAAAAGATTCAGGCTTTGCGTTCTCCTCTCACCGGCCGAAATCTTGACACGCTCCTGTCTCGTCACTTACACTGCCGTTTTCGTGCCAGAAAAACACGACCGTATCATTTGCCAAGCTCCTTCATTAGGAAAGATCAGCAAGTCGTCGGCCCTCTCCGCCGACAGGAGAAAAACTCAATCTCTGGCTCAATCTTCGAGGGAATCCTGGTGGGGAATCTCATAGAATCGCGGCGTTGAGGAAAAGAGCTTCAATGACGAGCCATCATCTTCTGCTGCGTACCGTGTGTAAAATCAATCAGAAACAGTTCAGATCTGAGACAATAATACTTCTTTAGCCCAAGAATCTTGTCTCCCAAAAAGGCAACCCCTCCAGGTCTCCCTTCCGGATTCTACAAAGTAGATCCCTTGCAGTAACCTACTTAAGCCAAAGTGAAAACCGAAAAGCTAGGTGGCGGAGCGAGGGACTCGCATCACAGTCTAGGAGTAGTTTGCCAAGAGCGGAGATCTACAATAGCTTCGCTCGAGAATGTCGGCTACCGGTAGCCTATCCCCTAGTCCCGCCGAACGCTCCCGAGATGCTGCTTTGGGGAACGCTTCATCCGATTAACCCCTGTGCAATCTAGGTTAGCTTTTGGTAAGCGCGGCTAACGCTGGTAAGAGAGACATTATGACGACGGAGGAGTCATTTTTGGCAGTAAAGTAAACATTTTAAACTCGAAGCCAACTTCATTCGGCGACCGCGACTAGTTGTAAGCATAAGCATTCCCGAACCGTTGTATTAGCAGCTTCGGCTCGGCGTTGACCTTGGGGAGGGCTAGGGAGGGACGGAAGCTTGATTAAATCCCGGGGAGATAGACTGGACTAGCAGGCGGGACAGACCGGCATTGGCCTGTTTCGTTCACGTTAGGCTCTTGGATAGAAAAGTCACCACCATCACGGATGCTCAGATGTTTTGAACGCTGAGAGCAGGAGGCAAACCGAGAGTTGTAGCCTTCTGAGTGTAGGCTCCTGGTAAGCCTCGACTTGGCCAGGTTTTGAGCGGAGTTCGAGCCGGTGCTAGCTTGGCCATACCTTTCACCGTCCGTTCCTGAAATGGTGCGCCTAGTCTCAGAGTTTCAAGTCTACATGCTCCTCAACTAAAAACGGACGTATGCGGGTTTGGCAGCCATTGCCGCTTCGGGCTAACGGGCTTCTCCGCACAAGATTAGAGTCTCAGACAGAACCCTTCGGCTGGAGACATGCCGGTCCGTAGGGGTATTCAAGGGTCACTTGGCAGAGCCCGACTCCAGGTCAGTGGTGCTGAGACACGGTGGATCCCAGCGCCGATCTTCCCGATGATCGCATATCTCAACAACGGCGTCTTGTCGTTTGTCTTTGAAAGACGAGGCGGTAACAGCACACCCGAGACTTTAGCTGGTCACTAAAACCCTGGTTTTCTTGCGCGATTTAGTCAACCATGCCTTTCTCTCGAAATGAACGATGTTACCTTGGCTTGAATGCGGCCACTGTGCGAAGAGAGGAGGAATACCTCTCGCTATCCATGCTGTGTTTGAGGGGCTTCCATTTCGACTTGTACTGAGCATGGAATGTATGAAAACAGGTCTGAGAGATGGCGCGGGCAAATTAGCTTAAACCGGGTAAACGGTATTCCTTCGGGTCTCTGGCGGCTAATAGGAGGAAGCAGTAAGATTGTAGCCCGTTAACTCCGAATTCCAAAGCTGCAATGAAAATCCCCTCTTTGTTACCTGCGGACTGGCTCCTCCGATTCGGCGGGAAGTGCAGTTCAGCGCCTTGCCGAGTCCAGACGCATTTCCGGCCCGGTCATCGGAGGTCACGCCGGCGTATTTCCCGAACATCGGAGGCTGTCCGGGCCCGCCCCCGACCCCGTTGGCCACAAGCAACCGAACCTTGGAGAGTAACGTCAAATCCGACTGCAGCTCAAATCACCTCAACTCAGCCCCTCTCACTATCTGCAGATCAAAATCCCACACACAACCACAAACCACACCGCGCGCGCCAGCCAAGAGTCAACGGTCACGTTGGGCATCCTCAAGCTAGGCTACATCACTCAGCCATTCCTCTCTGCTGGTAATCATGTTTTCTTTCTTGCGAGAACGTAAATGTGCTACCTTATTTCGAAATTTTGCCTGCCTTGCGTACTTTGCCCTTATTCCAGTCCTTCCTTTTCCATTTTTATCGTCAGAGAGTGTCATTGGAGTATTTATCTGTATATCCTTGCCGTCCTAGTATTGAGCTTGCCGTTGAATTCGTATGGATCATGTCCATTGATTACAAGCCTGGTCGTCCCAGGAGGGATGGCTTACCGCTTGGTCTATCGGGCAATAGTATAGAAGTGAGGTAAAATTTCGCTCAGAGAAGTAGGTCAAAGAAAACAAACGATCCATATTCCAGGACCAAGAGTCTAGAGGAGCGCCACAGCGCCAAAGAGACAGGCCAGCAAGGCGGCCCTGGGCGCTCTGCGGGCGTCGGCGGCTGCGGTCGGCACCACCACCGGCACTTGGCTTGAGACCGTAGCCGGAGGAAGGGTCACGGCGCTCGTGGTGGGGACGACCAAGGTGCTGGCGGGCCGGGTCTGCGTGGCGTACGCGGTTCCCGAGACGGTGACGTAGACCCACGACTTCTGCGTCACGGCGCTCTCGCTGCCGGTGGTCACGGCCTGGGTGACCTCGACGTGCGCCGTCTTGGTCTCGACAATCACCTCGGTGAGGGTTGTGAGCTGGACGTCGGTAGCTGTCACTACCGCTGTCGGGCCTGGAATGGTCTCGATGACCTTGGTCGGCTTCTTCTCAATGACGGTGCTGAGTGTAGTGTACAAAATGGTCCTCGTCGTTCCTTCTCCGACGACCGTCTCCGTCTGTACGGGCTGTCAGTCCCTACAGGATGCTCTATGCTCGGAGGGGCTACTTACAATCGGGCAGTAGGTGGTGTAGGTGGTGTAGTCTGTGTCGATTTCCGTCACAACTTTGGTGGCTCCAGGGAGGGTCTCGTAAATGGTCGTGGGGTGTTTCTCCACGACGGTTGAGGTGGTGGTGAGGGTCTTGTACTGGGTGGTGTGTTCGCCGGGCTTGGTGATCGTCTAGACAAGATTGTCAGCTCCGATACATCAAGAAGAGGGCCCAAGAATACTCACAATAGGGCACACGGCCGTGTACGTGGTCAATATTTCTGTGACGATGGTCTTGGTCTTGTCCTTGCCCCAGTCGTGATCCTCGGTTGCGAGGGCAGCGACGGCCAGGGCCAATAGAGAAGAGGTGAACTTCATGGCTGCGGATGGAGACTAGTGGTTGGGAGATCAATCAAACGAGAGATAATCTTGAAACGATGGGCGGAGAAAACGAGGGTTTTGACTTGAGCGAGAGTCTCTTGAGTAACCTTAACGAACGAGTCACTTTACGACACAAGGGCGCGATAAGGTGGTTGGCTGGGAGATGGAAAGAGGCTGACGAGGGCTGCAACAGGATGGGGAAACGAGGAGGAAAGTGCCAAACATAGACGAGACGAGTTGGTAAGATTATATCTTGCGTCCATGACCAGGTTGCCAGCCTCCCTGGTCTGCCTGCAGATGAACGGGTGAGGAGACGAGGAACCAGACCGCGGAGGATGAGATGACATCTTTGCTTGTTGACCAACGGAAATTGACGATCTCCACTGCGGCTTGCAGTAGTCTCTGGCCATGTGGACAGCAGACCGGCCACGGCCTGGTTCGAGGACGAGGACGCCAAGTCTGTGATACACGAGGAAAGGCGATTTTGGAGGTGCAGAACAGCAGGTGGGAAGAACCTGGAGCTTAAGTTATGGCTGAAAGAGAGCTCGATGGGATAGGCAAGGACGCTGGTGTAGGACGGGTCATGTGGTGTGTATAGATGAAAGACGTAGTCTCGGCCGAATGGTGACACGGCAGCCAAGGGCGCAACCTGACTCGAAATCGGAAGACGAGACATACGCCACCCGGTGTGCGTAGTTTCACTGCAGTCAAGAGACTAGGTTGGACGACGGCGGCGAGGCTGCTAATATAACTCGAACCTCTCATATGGTGAGCTTGGAAAATCCCTTGGCCCAGTGACAGCCGGATGGACATGACACAAGCTGTGAGCAAGGCATGAAGCCAACGTTTCCAGGGCTTTCCGTTAGTCTTGTCTGACGAGATGCTTGCGAAGGCGGGTAAGACAGCACTGCAGGCCGCGAGGGGACGGATGAGTTGGCTGGCGATCGAAAGAAACCCCCTCACTTTCGTCTGTCCGTGCCTCGGTGGCTTCAAACAACCGCGTCTCATCTTGATCGATCAAGTACATCCGAGTCGCAAACAAAGATGAGTGGCAGTCGGACGCGGCGAATTCGTATCTCTGATAGTCGTTGGACCTTGAGCTGTCAGTTCTTCTCCAGCCGCATCTTTTTTTGATCAAATTTCCGCCGTCGAGAGCTGGACTTGGGGCGGACTCGACCGCTGCATAATTCTCAATGTCGGACAAACATAGCGTGATGCCTGTTGTGCCATCGAGGAGGGCTCGTGTCCATGTCGTGGCACCAAGGCCAAGAGCTGCAGCTCGCGGGAGACAACTCATTAACAGACGCACCAGAGCTGCCGTCCAAGTCGTTGCTGTACAGGAACGCGTCCAACCAGACACAGGGGCCGGCTCCGAACGAGAAAAAACCTTGTTTTAGTATGGCCGCCAACGTCGAGAAAGTCTAGGGAAGAGGGCATTGGATGAAGCGCAAAGAGAAAGAGACGAGGGAAGGTTGGGTCTAGATGATGGCTGCCCTCCCAACCGTCCTTCCTTATGCAGTGGGCTTGTTCCCCACACCGTTGCCACACTGCAGACAGCAGATCCAGTTTACAGTTCCGGCCCCCAAACCTAATGACAACGGATGCTGCAAGGCGGGAGCGTAGTGAGTCGTCTGGACTCTCGGCATTGTATGCAGCCACCTGCGAGTCGACTCAAAAGTAAGCAGTCTCCTAGCCACGCGCATTGCATATAGCGGATGTCCAAATTGCGTATACGAGGAAGGGAGAGAAGACTACGAGTCCGATGAGCAGCTAGGCGAGTGGAACGGTGATGGACGCCGGGAAAGATTTACAAAGCATAGGGCCGCAGTGGGACGAATGGCGGCCCCAATGCAAGGTTCTCTTCCCCATCGCTCTTCCCGGCACATTTTCCAGCAGGTACCGCCTGCCATGCGCTCCAAGTTTACTACTACCTTAGCCTTGCCACTTGCCAGGGAGTTCCTGCGTCCACGCTACCGAGGTAGGTATCATGGTGGCAGCAACACGAGGTGTGGCAGGCGCGGGGCAGATGTCCCTGGAGAAGGAAGACACGGCGACGGGACTTAAAAAGTACACAGTACCTACCATGTATGGAAGGAGCATTGAAGTGTGGCTGGAGAACGGGAGCGGGTGGGGCCTAGCCTATGGACCGGAAGCACAGACCTCACTTTAAACCCATGTCCGTGCACAGCTACGTATCTCCCCCCACCTCCGGGACCAACCCATTTTTTCAACCTTCATCCTCAATCCATCTCTCTCCCCCCGCCAACTCCTACCGACCATCCGCTTCAGCAAACACGCACTCAACCTTGACTCTTGTTGGCAACTATATATATACATACATAAATATCAGTTCAAGCATGGGAACTATTAAACTGTCCTCGTGTTTACTATTATAAGACGACCAGATGCCCGTTTTGCCATGCGCGCTTAAGAACCAGCAGCCTCTATTTTCTACAGAGCACGCCCGCATCTTTTATCCCACCAAATTGTACCTCTACGTGTGCACATCGGCAAATTCGAATGACTGCTTCCAAGATTCCTCGGTATCCGTGACTGGTTGATTGAAAGAAAACTGGTCCGAAAAGGTCAAATCACTCGCTGAATCCCACTCTCCGTCTTCCCACGTCCACCCCTTCCAGCCATCGTCGAAACCAGCCTCAAATGGTAACAAACTGTCCACCATCTGATCTAGAAAAGGCGTTGTCGACTGCTGAACTGACGGAGATTTGAGAAGTTGAGACGTCGGGGCCCCCGATTGAGCTCTTGGTGGCTGACAGTTGCTCATGGCCTGTGACGACACCCGCTGGGTGTGCAAATGGTCCGTTTCATGAGTTGGCCACTCAAGCTCGCTGCGAACTACTTTGGTTTCCCAATTCGTCGCCATTTCTGGTCCTGTGCTTGGTTGTCGCACTCTAGACTCAATGCCCTGTTGAGGTTCTTCGTCGTATAACTTCTTTCCACCGGTGGAACCTGCGGCAGCTGGGTCTGACTGAACCAGTGTCCTGTCGGAGGCTGAATAAGACGAGCTTGGATGCGGTGGACTTTCGCCGCAAGAAGTGACGAAAGCAGCCGTCAGCTCTGATGGTTGTGGAGATTGCCACTCTCGCACATCTGCAGAGATGCGAGAAAGGCCGGGCTCCTCGCCGACAGATATGTCGGGCAGCGATATCCGGTGACCACTAATCATGCCCGTAGTGGGCAACAAGAAGAGATCTCGAAACTGATCTGCAATCTTCGGCTTGTAGTCGGCAACAATTGCAAAGAGTTGCTGCATGATCTCACTGAACTCTGTGCGGTTTGCACGGTATTCTGTCGGGTTGGAGATCTCGCCGCGCTCGAAAGCTTGTTGCGATCGAGAGTCGAAAATGGAATCGGAAAGCAATCCAATCTCCTCAATTATGAAGTCCTCACAGACTTGAAGGGTGTTAGATTCCTGGAAATCGTCTCTGGACAGAGCCTCAGGGTGCTTGCACAAGGACTTACAAGGGGACTTTGGCCCAGCGCCGGCCGCCGGGAACAGAATGCGCCAGACTGCCTGGAACATTCCTAGTTGCTTTTCAAAAGCAGCTTTGGTTCCTTTCTTGTGTTTCTTCTTGTTGGCTCCATCGGATACTGCTTCAATTGCTTCCCAGTGCTGATCAGACATGTACAGCTCGGGACGGCTTGGACCGCCACCCTCCCGGGAGCCCGTACAATGCCTCCTTCGTAGATGGTTCCTGATGAAGTCAGATCACCTATTATTCTTTGGATGTGCAAGGATTTAAAACTCACTTTAGATCGCTAAACGATCTGAATGTGGTCGGCGTTCGGCAAGCTCCAATCACCAAGCTTTGATGCCGCACGAAGTAGGGACAGAGCCAGTGTCTCTCCGACAAGTTGTGACAAGGCTTTTTGCTCGGCGGTTTCTTCTGGGCGTCATCTTCATCTTCGTCCTTGTCTCTCTCGTGTTTCACAGGCGATGGTGACTGGGTCGTAATGGATGAGCCCGCAAATGTTGCTGAACTTTCAGTTCCTGCCCTAGTATCGCCAGTAGGTCGCTTTCCCTCCGAGGAGCTTCCTTCATCGACGGCCTCGTATTCCGCCTGATTATGCAAGGTACGGAGGATTATCGTGCGCAACTCCGATATAATCAAAGAATCCTGGCTTTGCGTTGTGAAATATCGAAGTCGACATTGGAGGGCGGCAATTATGGCATCGGCGTATTCTGGACTGGCAGATAGCACTCTTCGAATAGAAATATCCATAGCATGGTATTCCTTCCCCGCATCCCATCCCTCGTCTGTCCGAAAGTTCTCTTCAGAAGACACATCACTGTCGCCATCTGTACTGCAGGGCTTTGGGAAAAATCCATGTTGCAACGGGCCTATCGGAGGATTGTCGGAGACCGAGCTCGCAGTTGTGCTTGGTGTAGACAGCTGTCCCATTTGGCCGTCGAAAACCGATCCTGCTTGAAACGTTGAGGTTTCCACCGATGATTCAACTTCTGCTAGCATTTCTGGTCTTCCTGATTTTGCCAGCGTCTGCTCATGTCTTGTTGCCGATTGTCTGGACGTCGGAGTCAGCATAGTGTTCCGCAATTGTAGTAAAAGTATGTAAAAGAAGCTGAAAGCGTAGGAACAAACTGTTGTTGGTGTTTTGGGCTTCTTTTCGGGAAGAGTTGGTCCCAACTTGTCCGTTCCCAGGAGGCTTCTCTAAAAGCAGTGTCGAAGTATGCGATCTTTTCCGCCATGCATCCAAGATACCATTCTTCAGTATGGGCGTTTCCACCGTTGACCAAGAAATCTTGCCAGCGGTCGTAATCATTTAAGAAAACTGTCAACCTGTCCAGGACTGAGATCTGGTGCGAAGACATCTCGAGTTCAGTAAATGGGCCCTCTTCCGATGCTAGAAGCCACTAGGGAATTAATAATAACATACCACAGGTTCTTCTGTTCCCCCGGTCCCAGCCGTGAAAGGTTTCGGCGGCAAAGCTTGAGTCTCTTTGCTGTCGTATGTGTGGAGTCCCGCTGTCGTCGGCATTGTTGGAGTTGTTGATTTATCGCCAACATCGCCGCCACGATGGCCGGACGAACTCATATAATCACTCATCCTTGGTAACGCTTTCGACCGAGATACTGTGGAATCGGGCAAATGCCTCAGTGCTATGAATCCGGACGTCAGCGACTTTGAGACGAACACAAGGCTAAGCGCGGTCCAGTAGCTTTTTGTGCTGGCAGGAGACAGGGGGGAGGATTTTGGCTTGTCCAGAATCGCGTACAAGACTGCTGATTGGTGTACACATGCTGCACCAACTTCTGAGTACTGACACCGTAGGCATTTGAGCCGCTCGTCGGGCGCCCTCATTGGCTAGACGTGTTCAAATTTGTGCTTACCGTATGTGGCTTGAGTCGCGGCTCGTCCAGATGTACGCGATTGTGGGAAATGTCATCATTAGCACCCATTTGACGCGTCTGTACTCACAGTCTAGGCGGCGACAAGACCTGATACCCCTATTGAGGCACACCACCGTACTTGTACTCTTTCTCGATGAATTTTTCCTCGAAGTTCAGTGTCATCAAACAACTTTTCATTCTTATACTGCCTCCATATACGTCTCGGTCTGGCAGGATGCGCATTTTTTCCTCCCATGGCGACTCCCGATTCATCGTTGTCATCTACTCGGGTCATGCGAAGGGGGCTCTCTGGCTGTGTATACTTTGAGTACAGAATGATACACTCAACGATACGTCAAGACGTTTCATCTAATCGAGGAAAGGAAAGGTAGGTTATCGGCATGAACCCCAGAAGTCCACAATCGTGGAGGAGACATGCAGATATCTGGAGCCCCAACTCATGCAGCCCTAGGACACTCAACAGAGGCCACCTTGAAGCCACCCGAGCACACTACAAATGCACTCCGTGAATGAGTAGCAAAGCGGAAGATGCAGTCCTATTCATGGGCCCATATTCTACGAAAATGGGCAAAAAACGTGGTGAGCCAGGCTCCCAACGTATTCCGAGCAGACTTGAAAAGCCTCCCTCGACCATTCGCGAACCAACAAGGAGAGGAGTTTTGTAGACATTGGGACAGGAAAGTAACCACGCCGGAAGCGTCCAACGCATTGAACACAACGATGGTCCTGTCATGCTTTCTTCTCCTCGAAACCTCTCCAAGAGCCCGTCTCACTGCAGATATCATCCCTGTTCCGCCGGGCTCGAACGCGCAAGCGCACATTGAGACTATACGTACCAAGATCTTGGAGAACACCAGCAAGAGAAGGCGCTTCTTCAACAAATACGTCTTATTTCAGAAACCCTCGGTATGGATTGCCAGGCTGCGACCGGTAAGTTTTTGTCTGCTACACGTACCGGCCCTGAGTGTCATCCTGATAGTTTCCTCAACCAGGTCACAGTACATGATCTCTCGTTGCTTCCTCCTCTGAAAGCGTTGGTACAGAATACCGCTCTTGATGAGACTCTGTCCGAGGCCATCAACGATCCAGACTCTCCAGAACATACCTTCTACAACCACATGTACGCTCTCTATGACAACGTCTTTACCGAATTAGATGAGCAGAATGATACCATCGTCCTCCCGCAGCAGGCCTTGCTGGTCCGATACGAAACATCTCCAAGAGTAAAACGTGTCTTCGCGGGCGTCGGGTCGGTGATTGGAGGGTTGGCTATCATGGCTGTCAAGCTCGGAGAGGGCCCTTGAAGTCTAATGTCTATAACCAACCCGATGGGACTATCTTAGTACGGATAGAAGTGTAGCAGATTTATTGTTCAGTGGTGGTTAATTCAGCGAATGGAATGTGGCGCAGACTATTCTATGACAAGAAGAAAAGGGAGGAGGCAGTGATCAGAAGAAGGTTCAAATAGAAAACATTCATTCGTCGAACCCAGCTTTGATAGCGTCCCGAATTGTTAGAACTTTTTTTTCTATAAGTTGCGTCTAGTATTTAGTGCAATATGTCCACAGAACCCATGAAGGTCTATCATGACTCTCCTCGGTGAACTCTTTCACTAACGCTTGATCAACCTCGCTGCCCTCTTCTACAAGACTTGATACTGTGGGAGACGCAGAAGGCACTCACTACCAAATCTCTCAGGTCTCTCTCGCGCGTAAGGCGATGGACTTTGTCCTGGAAGAGGTTGTGCCGTCGAGCATGGCAATGGCTCACAATGACGATCGAAGACTGACTTCTGGGCGGAGAATAGGACGAATGATGCCTGTATTCCCGGAAGGTCAATCTGACCTTCCTCGTGAGCTGCTTCACTGCGACGATATCTCTCTATTCTCCAAAGCGAAGGGTACAGTCAAATGCAGAGTACCAAATACAGGTCTTACGAAGGAGGGCTTCTGAGACGACATTTACGTGGAAGTTCTTAAATGCATCCAATCTTTTGAAGCGTCAAGTCCACTATTACTTGAATGTTTCGTCCGTCGAGGATATTGCGTATGATCCTCGTTTCTCGAGCATTAATCAGTTACGAATCAGTGTCTGAATCGATATGCTCAGTAGTTGAAACTGACTGATTAAACTTGTTATTTATCATTACGCATACCACTATGGGATCCTCTTTTGAGAACGTCGTCAATGACCTTGGGAAGGCAATGCGATTCGGGGCCGGAATGGCGACCTAATGGGAGTTCCCTGGTTACCAGCTTGAGTATCTGCTGGAATGCTATGACTGGTCTGCCTTCTGACCGTTAAAGGTTATTAATATCAGTGGCTCTAAGGAGCGGATCTCCTTGCACCTGCAGAGCGTTTCCCTAACCTTACTATACTCGTGTAGGATATAGGCATGAATAAAAAAGAGGCACAAACCCCGGTGCCTCTGAGCTTACGAACAGGGTCAACTTCATGGCCCGCGATGTCTTTGGGACGCAAACCGAGAGCGCCGATATTTATTTTACCCGTCAGGTCCTCTACGATTAGCCGGACAAGTATGGGATCAAGCTCTTGAGATCTTAGATTCCTAAGCTTAAGAAGTGCGCTCTTGAACAAGTCAATAATTCCAGGGACTCCCGGAAGATCGCTCCCGCTTTGGAAGGAAAGGGACTTGAGGTTTGTCTGTTTCCAATCATTAATCAAGGGCACCGACGAGATTTTTCGCTAATCTGAGAACTATGAAGGACTATGGAAATAGGCTTGCTGGCTACTATGAACGGTCGTGAGAGGACTTTGAGGGAGTGAAAGGCTATCATCGCTAAGGCTGATCCAAGGTTCATGCTGCAAACCGTCGTGCAGCGGAAGGATTTTATGCTGCCTGTGATAGAGATCGTCTGGAACCCCGAATGAAAGAATGCATGATATACACCAATATGATACATGGAACTGGGCCCCCCATCACTCATTTGACGATATTGACTGGACGTAGTCATAGATAAATACTTTCAATCACTTTGGTATCAAACACGTATAATCTACTTAACGCTCGAAGGTTAGCGTTTACTCTAGATGATGGGTAGCAATTATTTAACTAAATTGAAATTAAGATGCAGTGTATATCCTATAAGAATCCTCTTGAATAGCTTTGCCTTGATTATCTAAGAATATATAATAAAACAGACCGTCGCCTCCGTTCGCATCAAGCTGGCAATATTATTTACGAATCGAGTGGCTAATTAGACTTATTTATTTCGGTTTATGAATAGGTTAAAGACTTTGAGTAGACCGGTGTTTGAATACACGTTAGGCAAATCAAGATCTCTATTCAAGAATACTTACATTGAATGGTTTTGGACTTAAACACTAGGACTGAAAGTAAAAAAAGGTGCAGTCGTGTTAGTCAAGCGAAGCGCTCACTTCCGTCTGAAGAATAAACCTAGAGCGAAACTAATTTCCACGGATCTCATTGTCCAATTGACCGTCTTCGCACAAATACTGGTCGGCATTCTCGATGTCAACTGAGATGGGTTTAGTTATCGGGTGCGGGGCGAAGCGCCGAGCGATAGCCCCACTCTTCGGGGCGGACACGGCTTCGGGCCGATCCGCCTTGCCGACCGCTCGGCCGCAGACTTACCCGAGAGACATGAGGTCGTCCCCTGTTGCTGTGGGCGTTAAAGCAGCTAAATCGAGCACCTCAAATGAATGAGTTTGATACTCCCCGACGACCCCAAGAAAGTACAGAATAGTCCCTACAGCCAGGCAACATTGGGCCCCCGCGTAGAACTTGGTCAACTTGAGAATGACCTTGGTAGAGCTTACCACCACCTTAGCAGGAGTGAGTTGTAATTCTATTACCGAGTATGTACCTCAAGTAGTCAAGTGATTGGTAAAACATGAGACCCTGTTGTTGTCTCTACTCGAGATAGTTCTCGGTATTCTATACTGACGCTTGGATTAAACGTCGTTGATCGAGGCTCGGTGACACGCACCTGTCGCATTGAAGGCTTCGTCGGATTGAATTTAGAGTCCAATGCCAGAGTCCGAGTTGCCGATCCAAATAGATACTGTAAGGCATGTGTGGTAATACAAATGTGACAGATCAAATCAGAACTAGCCTCACATGGACATGCTCCCCGCCGCAATGCAACCGCCATAGCCGGCGGCCGGCGATACCGATATGGTGAGCTCAGGGCTTGACTCTTATTCCAACAGGATAACTTGATTGGACCCATTTTGACGGACAAACCATAATTGAGGCAAGGGGATCTTGAGAGGCTTATGCAAGTTCGGGACAATGCCAAATGCGGGTTGTCAGAATCAGGCTGAAGAAGCGAGCATTCACAATTCTACGTCTGATAGGCCCCCATACGACCCAGGTCTCAGCCGACTTCTCAGCTGAATTTTGCCAAGGTGCGAATCTTACGACAAACATATCTTTTCCGCACCCGATTCGTACTTGGAAGTCTTGGTAGCGTCAGCCAGCCTTCTGACTGCAGCACACACAGGAATCAAGTCACTTTATAGCCACATGCTAACACCTTGGACAGCTAAAAAAACAGTTTTGTCATGATATAGATGCCTATGACTTCTACTTACCCCTAGGGAATCCTCAGACCGTTATTTCCTTCACGCTACAAGGATAGCTCACAATTCTCCTCCAGATGCATGTGGTGCTTCCCATCTCGATTCTCGAACAGCGGTATGTCGCCCAAACAGCCAATCCCGAAAAGGGATCTCGAACAGGGGCTATACATTGTGGAAATTCCAAAGCAGACGCCAGCAAAGGAGGAGCCAACAAAGAAGAAGCCAACAAAGGAAGAGCCAAATGTGGAGTAAGTGCGCTTCCTAGCACTTGCATCTCTAAAACTTGAGTCCATGATATCAAATAGTCTCTTAGCATCATTGTCGTCCCAGGCTTTGGCGCAGACCCCCTGAACTGTTGGGCTTGGAAGAAAGACGGAGAATATGGTTTCAACTGGATCACAAGCGGTTCTGGACTGTTAGACAGTTTCAAAGGGGCGCGCATTCTGCGCTATTCTTTCGCTTCAGCGTGGTATGGCACTTATTAGATCGAAAACTTCTTCGACAGTATCGTCCATGGGCTTCTCCTTTCGCTTCGTGAGAAAAGAAGAGTAAGTTGGCCACCCTTCCATAGCAAATCAAAGTAGGATGACTGGTAACTAAATGCTCTGCGTCTAGGAATACAATGAAAAAGGCCGACCCATCATTTTCATTGGCCATAGCATGGGGGGGCTAGTCGTTGCCAAAGTAAGTACATAGTCTTGAGTTTGGCATTTTTCAGTCAAATGACGCCATCTTCTAACAGACCTCTCCAGGCATTGACCGAGATGGATAGACTTCGTGATGATTTCGGAGAACTGCTTCCTTGCGTCACGAGCTGCGTTTTCTTCGGGACGCCCTTTCTTGGCACTGGTATGGCGTCATACTTCTCTTGCGTGATTGAGGAGATGAAAAAGAAGGAGCTTGAAGTGTGTGATGCTTTCTGGACCATGATGAGACCGGAAAGCGATTCTCTTCGGACACTACGCCATGAAGTCACACAACTGGCCCAGCGAATCAGTCCGCCAATTGTGCTGAGCTATGTCTTCGAAACGCTAGAAGTCGCCAAGAAGGATTATTTCCCACAGAGAGACTCCGGAAACAACGATTCCAGACCGGCCGGCGAATCGGATGGGTCATATCTATCTTTTATGCGTGGGCTCGACGAGGATACCACAACACGTCTGGACAACTGTTTCGAATCCAGCCTCAAGGTACGATTTTACTGAATAGCCGCTTCTTCTTATTACCAAACTAAGGGTGTACTAGAGTAGCAAAGGTTTATTCGTTACCTGCGCGTCTGCAACCAAGGGCTCTGAGAAAGGTCTGGGGCTCCAGTGCAACCACCGTGATCTGGTGACCTTCCCAGATGTCAAGAATGAAAAATATAAATCTGTTCTGGGCGAGCTGGGTAGTCTGGTCGATAGGGCGGAAACCACTTGTCGGAAAAGACTGTTTGCTTCAAGCCAGCATAGCATGTCACCTCACGCTGCGGATGCTTTGAGAAACATGCTTGACTCTGGTATCAAACGCGATCATGAGGCCCTTGTGGGAGCAAAGAAAGAGGAGTCGTGGGTCCTTCAAGATGAACACTACCAAAATTGGAAACTTCTTCGATCAAGCAAATCGTTCTTCTGGATCAAGGGGCGGCCTGGCGTAGGAAAGACATCAGCCACCTTGTCCGCCATCACGAATATACGCCACAAGATTGACGAGAGCCTTGGTCCGGGAAGATCTCGTCTCTTTCCTCTTGTTGCGTTTTTCTCTGCGACTCGTCTAGAAACGGCTCGTCGGCGATCGAGTTACTCAAGTCACTTGTGCTTCAACTTATCAACCAAAACCCGCTTCTGGCTGACCACGCCAAGCATCTTTTGAAGAGTCAATATCGAAGAGGTAGCCATTCAGCCATCGATAGCCAAAATGACGATACTACGGCCACCTTGAGCTTGTCTAATCTATGGAGTTGTTTCAAAGATATCCTGGCCGACGATTCTACTGGTGACATTTATGTCGTCATCAACAACATCCATTTGCTTGAAGATGATCAGTATTCCGACGAACTCATCGAGGAAATCTCCAAAGAAGTAATGGCAACTCACAAGACCCAGCATCAGAGCGGTATTCGGGGCGCTCGTCGATGGCTTATCACGCTCACGGATGGCGGGGATAGTCGTCGTTTTGAGAAGCTGATCGATCGTCAAACCTCGTACGTTGCCGATCTATCCACCAGCGAATTCGCTGAGAAGGTCAAAAATTCTCTCAAAGATTATGTGCAGAGAAAGGTCGTCGACTTACATCAGACCAAGCGCTATGCACCTGATCAAAGGTACATGATAGAGGACCTGATGGTCGACCATGCGGACAACACACATTGGATCGATATCCAATGCATTCGGCTGGGAGAACTGGAGCTCGACAGCAGCACAGAGTCCATAACAAGAACCTTGGGGCTTACGAATGCATCGAGTTTGGAAAATCTCGTGCGCCACTGCTGGTTGACGGTAAGCATTCGCTGCGAAATTTTGGACCCGAAGTTCGGAATCCAGCTGACGCGAGGAAAAAGGTCCTCGAGCGGGACCCGCAACTCAAGCCCTCCCTCGTGGAACTTCTCAGAGCACTAGTCTTGGCTTTCCGAAGCCCGTCCGTCAAAGAGCTCTACATCTTGTCCGGCATTAAGGACGAGGGGAAGGTGATTCATCTGATCGACCAGTGCGCGCCAATGATACGTCTAGTTCCTCAAGATAAGGGCATGACCACTGTTGAGTTTGGAAATGCCACCCTCAAGCATCAGCTTCTCTTGAAATCAGACAAGCTTCTCGGTTTGTCAGGCGGCTCTCCTAACGCCGAGTCGAAAAAGCCAGAAACAGAACGTTACCATGGTGTACTCGCTTGGAGGTGTTTTTCTTACTTGGAAAGGGCTTTGAAGCCCGCCATGGCGGGGATGGATCGGTCAACGTTTATCAAGTCCTTGTATCCCTTGGACTTTTGGATGAACCATGCCATCCAGGGCAAGAGAGAGCTTTCGGACGATCTCGCTCGCCATCTCCATGGTTTCTGGAAGAATCCGTCACCCCTGAGGGATGCTTGGTTGGCCTTATGTCTGCCAAACGCGCAATCTTTCGAGCACAGCATTTCCATTACGGGTATGACAGCGTTGCATACAGCTGCAGCCTTTGGATTTGACAAGCTTGTGATGAGCTTGATCACGAACGGACACCAACATGAAGTGGATTGTGGAAACCTAGAAGGATACACCCCAGTATGTGATGCGAAACCTTTGTGTTGTTGTATTATATCTACTTACTTACTGTCATACAAGCTTCATATCGCCGCTGTTTTCAATCACACCGAGACGATCAAAGTCCTCCTCAGAAGCAGCGGGAAAGACGCCGTCAACAAAAGCATGAAACTTCTTGGGGCTCCACTCCATCTGTCCGCGATTCAGGGCCATCTTGCTAGTCTGAGGCTGTTGTTGGAGAAAGGAGCAAACCCGAATGCTCTGAGTGAGATGTACGGTCCCGTCATCAATGCTGCAATCAAATCGGGGCACAGCGAAGCAGTACAAGCACTGCTTGGACATGACAATATCGATCTCGATGCGGCCAATCCCAACGGCTCACCGCCTCTTGCACTCGCCGCGGGCATGTCTCCAGAAGATGTGTTCAAACACATTTTACTTGGAGGCAAGGCGAAATGGACAGCACAACATCACAGGCGGGCCTTGGAAGAAGCATGTCGCAACAACAAGCCGGGTAACATCCAAGCTCTTCTCGAACACGCGGGGGCCTCGTTCGATGATGCTACTCTCACATCTGCAGTGCTGACTGCCGCCATTGAGAACAATTGGGATTGCGTTTTGGCAATCTCACGACCGGAGTTGGGTGGCAGCAACGTTTTCTATCTTGCGGCGGTGACCTTGCGTGACGGATCGTCAGCCAGTACCGTGCTCCAAAAGACTTGGAGTGCTTCGCACGCTACGATTGAAAAGGAAGTACGCAACGCCGCTTTATACCAGGCTACCGATAACCAGAAGGCGGAAACAGTAGCATGGCTTCTGGACACATGCAAAGCTGATGCCAACGCTACGGACCATCGTCCGGGAAGTTTGGATCCAAGTTATTTCACGAACATTCTGAGCACCTTTGGGAATGCTTTAGCCGCCGCGGCTTGGGATGGCACCATCGACATTGTGAAGAATCTGGTGGAGCACGGTGCTCAAATCGACAGTCCGAATGGATGTCCATTACAGCTAGCGGCAAGAGAGGGCCATGCCGAGGTCGTTAGTTATCTCCTCGGCCAGAAAGCCAAGGTCAACAGGATTCCTGGAGAGGAGCACGACTACCAGGGATCAAGCTTTTCGGAAGGGACTGCCTTGCAAGCTGCTTGCCAATATGGTAAAACCAACGTTGTAAAAATACTCCTCGAATGGAAGGCAAATCCCAATCTTGGACGAGGCCTGTACACCAATCCCATCATCGCCGCCACAACGAGGAATCGGCCCGAGATTTTGAAACTCCTGCTCGCTGCGCCAGGAGTCGATGTCAATGTGAGAGGGGTCAATGATTTGTCGACGCCATTGATGAATGCAGCTTTCCTCATGTCCTACGCAGACACAGAGCTTATACTCAACGCTGGCGCCGACGTCAATCAGTCAGGCCCCGATGACGAAACCGCCGTCATTCGTGCAGCACGGAAAGGAGACGCCGAAATCTTGCGGCTCCTCATATCACGTGGGGCTGACATCTTGCACGAGGGAAAAGACGAGCGAACTGCTCTTGATATTGCTGCAAATCAAGGGCACCTTCAATGCTTGAAAGTACTTGCAGAGAGTGTGTCTCCGCTATTTCGCGGACTCAAGAGAGCGATTGCGAACGGGAGCACATTTGCACGAGATCTCGTAGCTCGACCGGGGGATGACCATGATATTGTGGACATGGTAGCCGTCAATCAATTACGGGATCAAGTTGTGAACCTGACAAGAGAGGTGGAAGACCTCCATTCCATTCAATTAGGTTGGAACGACATGATGTCAAAGGTGCAAGCAGCGGAGACGAACACGGCAGGTTATAAGGAACGAATGGACCAGATGAGACGTGAGAGAGGTGAAGAGAGCGCGACGATTGAAAGAGAGCGTGGTGAATACAAGGCCGCGAGATACGGATTCACCAAGCTGCATGAGGAGCGCGATTCTCTCAAGCAAGAAGTTGCGGCTTGCAAACTTGGTCTGGAAGTCCAGAAAAGAGACTCCGATAGTAAGATACAGAGGCTGCAGAAAGAGCTCGAGGGAGTTCATGCTTTGTGGACAGAAGCCGAAGCGCAGCGGAAGAATATGGCAGAGGAAGCAGCAAAGACGCAACGGCAACTTGAAACCGTCCATGAGAAAGCGAAGAAGATGGAGCAAGACATGTCGACTGAGATTTCTTCTTTGCGGCAGAAATTAGACCCCTCCGAACAGCAAGTCGACGGGCAGGCAACTCCTTCAGGTGGCAGGGATGACGAAAGCTACACTGAAGGAGACGACGTCCTGAGCCAGAATGCTGGCAGCTCCTTCAGTGTCAGCAGCGCTCATGACACCACGGGTGACATGAGCACAGGCAAAACTGCAGCCAAGAGTTGGAAAGATATCAGGCACAACTCTTCACAGTTTATGGCCGATTTAGTTTCAAAACAAAGGGGGAGTCCCAAGCCTGATGGCCAGAGGTAGAGGTTTTCACTTATACGAGGAATGGAGAAAATGTATTTTGTCACCGATTCATATTGGCGGATCTGTTGCCTGTATTGTTTGTCGTTCGATCGTGCGGTTTGATGGTCAGGGGTATCTGGACAGCAATTTTCTCAATTCAGTTGTACGCCGATGAGTAAAGCAGGATGAACAATTCTGTCAGTGAATGCCTTGAATTTCATTTTAAAAATGTATTGCAAACTTGAGAGATAGTAGATGAATTGATTCTACCAAGTTTGCCCTCCATCATCTCCCTCAGAAGGATTATAGATCTTTTTCAAAATCTTTTTTCCCTCGTGCTTTGTGACGATCCAGTTCCAGACGTACAAGTAGACAAATGTGACTATGAGCAGGCCCGCAGCGACTAGGGGGCCAAGAATAGAGAAGATGGTAAAGTTGTAAGAAACCGATTTGAACATGGCATTATTCTGGAGATCGGTCGCAAGGCCGACCTGCATAGCCGTAAGGACGATGGCGATAAAGACGGTAGAGCTGGCCAATATGGTGAAATTGTCGCTCAAGAAGGTGCCGTACTGGTTCCATCGGGGCACATACCCGTGCAGAGGGGTCTTCCAGAAGAAGTAGATCTTGTTGAGTCGGCTGAGACGAAGCTCTCCGTAGTAGAAGCGCCTATCTATACATCGATAGACTTCTCCTTTGTCCAGCAGCTCTTGAACGAGCACTTTCCATGCCTTCCATTGCATCTCTTGCGGAAGCAGGCTGCTCGCCTTTGCAAAGTTGAAGTCGCTTTCGTGCGCAACGAGAGCCACGTACGAGAAGAGAAAGCCAAGGGCGCGTTGACGGATGACGCTGCAGACGCATGGAGGCCTATGCATGGAAGTGACGTGATGAAGTGGGTGAGGCAAATACTCTTCCCAAAAACGCGGCTCGAGCAGATAGCGCGGTAGGGGCTTGATGAAAATCCGGTCTCCCCCCCACACGAGATGTAGGTCCATCTGCTCAGTCACCGTGATTTCGCGAGCAAGGACGCGTTGGAGATGAAGAGGGCGCGGTGGCATGGGACGTCCCGCGAACCACAAAGAGTCAAAGACGTTTGTGAGTCGGTCGAGGTTCAGTTCCCGACCGAGCCACTCGGACACATTTTGAGCAGGATCACTCAAACGTCCGACTGAGTCTCGCTCTGATGCAGGTAGTAATTCTCTAAGAACTTGCTCCGGGTTATGCGAAGATGAGCTTTCAGCTTGCAACTCCGGCTGCAGAACTCGTTGCGAGAAGGGAGCTAACTGTGCAAAGTTGGTCAACGAAGGTGCGTTTATAGATAAGACGACTCTGGCGGTAACTCACATGGCTCATGAGCAAAGACATTATCCGCGGGGCTGCTCGGTACCCAGTGTTTCGAATAATTCAAAGGTTAGGAAATCATTGCAAATTATGCTCATGCTCACCCGTGTAAACTGAGGCACAGCTGGCGAAAGCAGGCTGGGTTCAAAAGTGATTTGCTGACAGAGCTGCATTTGACCTAGCCCCTTGTTGCCTCAGCTGAGGTTTATCGCGGCGTAGTGAAGGCTTTGCCAAGGCAGCCTGCTGAGACATGGCGGCACTTATGCACCCTCTTACAAGCGACTCGCCCCAGATACGATAAAGCGGTGGTCGCCCCGGAGTTGGCGCGGCCGTGCTACAACAAGCATGCAGCCAGGCGGCTAAGGTAGGTAGCAACCTTCCCTGTATTGCCTCGGGATGTACAAGACGTCCCTTGGTTTTTTTCCTTGTTTTTTTTTTTTTTTTTTTTTTTTTTGGGGCGGGGGATAAGATCAAATGTGTCTCGTAGCGAGCGACTTTCCTTGCCAGCTATCTTGGAAGCAGAGGTTGACTCAAGTGTTGGCTCGACCCTTTCGAGATTCGGTCGGTTTTTTCTGCGCAGCACCAGCTAAGGCCCCCTCATCACTTGGTTAGTTCCAGCTTGACGAGGTCAGCTTTGCGCCAGAGCCTAGTGAAAACGCCTGCTTCCCGTCGCCCCGTCAGTGAATGGCTCACTCGGGATTAGCGCATTCAGGGTAGGTAGTCTTAGCTGCACCTATGCCGTGACTCCATACTCACTGTAGGCTGCACCTAGAAAAGACTTTGCGACGCTGCCCTCCCCCACCGCCGCCGCCCTACGCCCACTTACTGCCCCTATTCCTATCATTGCCTACTAGGTAGGTAAACTGCCACTACTGCCCGCCCATACTGCCTAGATTTCGGTTATTGACACTATTGATACGGAGGTATGGGGGCTTAGTGGGGGCTTAGTGTACGCACTTCTTTCCGACTGGCCACATGAGCAATCCAACGTTGAGTAGACGCACTCCAGCTCCAAATGATTGTGCGTCTAAAAGGTTGTCGGGGTTCCTGGCGATAAATTTCAAGTTCGTTGGAGAAAGACGGGGGTGAAGGTGCTTTATAGTTCCTCTGCCAATACCCCAGAGGCAAGGAAAATACCAACTTCGTGGTGCATAGTGGAAGCCGTCTTGCTGGGATATAGGATACTGTGGTGATCTACGAACCTCGCAACACTATGGATGCCGCACCCTCTTTAAATACTAGATAATTCATATCCGTCGAAAAGCAGAGATCTTCCACGTGGCCTATGTAATCCATGGAACATCATATGACCACGATGGTGGATTAAGTTACAGTAGATAATTCCCGAGGGTTTTTTTTTTTTTTTTGGCTGGTATCCGCGCTTGGAAATTTGGAATCGAAGTACTAGTAAGGTAGAGTCTGTGGCGCGATTTAATTCTGAAGCCGTGGGGATTGACGAATCATGAGCTATGGCTTCCGCTTGTCGAGTTTTGTTTTAGTCTCCAAGTTAGGCATAGGTGTCACTCCTCATTCGTCATGCATTGGTAGTGTTCTTTTGGAGGTCACCGGTTGGGGAAACGGCACCGCCGTCCCTCACTTCCGGAAAAGTGGGTCTTTCGCCCGTCCGTCTCCGGCCTCCTGGATCCGGGCTCACGGAATGTTGAAGAAGGAAATTGAAACTGCAATTAGAATACACCACATGAGCAATTTATCCAATTCCGTTCCTCTGAGGCTGTTTCTTGAAGTTTTATAATCTGGATTTGCTACCTTTTGGAGTGTGTCGGGTTCTGTCATTGAGCTTGGAACATTACGTTGGGCAAATTCAGTAAGTAACACGCTTTCTGACTTAGGGACTGCCCCCTCAATAGCCTTCAAATTTCAAGGCTGAGACTATCTGATACGTGTCTGCATTCTGCACCGTCAGATTGACCGTTGGCCAAGTCGTCCGCGGACACAAGCACGTGACAAGCCATCCATCGACTTCCAGATCACTGTCTCACCGGACCCGTGCAGGAATGCAACAAGATGATTTCATTCCAAAGAGCACTTCCGATACCGAAAGCCACAGCCACAAGGAACACCGGAATGAAGAGACATAAAGCCTCGTGCTGCCCCGGCCCGTGAACCTGCTTGGCATTGGAAAACCCAGCAGCCTAATTGCCCAAGCTGATCCCAATCGCTTGAACACCTGGACACGAGGCGCCTTCATTCAACTCCGTCTAGACATTCATAGACCCCTGGTAAAGCTCCTGCTGCATACAACACCCCCCATCTCTTTCTGCTGAGTTTTGTAGCAGCCTTGCCAAGATGCCGACCTTTATCTTTCCTACAACGACGACTTCTTCAACGACTTCTTCTTCCACGTCGTCTTCTTCCACGTCGTCTTCTTCTTCATCATCGTCTTCAACTGATTCTTCTACTTCTACGTCCACCGACTCTTCTACTTCTTCTACTTCCACTGATTCATCCACTTCCTCTACATCCACTGGTTCTTCCACTTCCTCTGCGTCCACCGATTCATCCACTTCCTCTAAGTCCACCGATTCTTCTACTTCTTCCACTTCGACTGATGCCTCCACTTCCTCAACACTGACAACATCCTCTTCGGCTTCATCCTCGTCTACCAACGCACCAACAACCACAACCTCCTCGTCCTCAAGCACCGACACGGCTTCATCAAGCACCAACAGCCTTACTTCGTCAACTTCAAGCACTTCGAGCTCTAGCGCAGGAACCACCACTTCGCCCACCACATCCAGCTCGAGCTCCTCCTCCACGGCAACCAGCAGCAGCACGACATCTAGCCATAGCACCAGCACCAGCACCAGCACCAGCACTACCTCGACCGCATCGTCGTTGTCGAGTTCCACTACCACGACACCAAGCCCCACGTCTACGAGCAACACCAGCTCGTCGACCAGTAGCCTGGGAAGCTCTTCAACGACCAGCTTGGGTAGTTCCTCCACCAGCACGCCTGGAAGCTCATCAACCGTGAGCTCCTCAACCAGCGGCTTGACAACCTCATCTTCGAGCACCACATCCCTGAGTAGTCTGGCCACAAGCCTGCTCAACATCAGCAGCACTCTCAGCGGTACTCTCAGCAGCAGTCACAGCAGCAGCAGCAGCAGCATCACTTCCTTGCTGTCGCTCTCCTCCACTAGTGTACCCACAATCTCGTCCTCCATCCTGCCAAGCAATTCCTCGACTGTCCCCATCTCAACATCCAGCTCTCTGACCAGCCTGCTCACCTCTCTATCCTCGTCTTCATCTTCATCCTCATCTTCATCCCCCTCTTCCACCTCCTCCATTATCATCTCGATCTCGTCCTCCACGAGTTCCGCTACAACGACTTCGGGAACCTCTAGTGCTTCGACGACCCCGTCCTCCACATCGTCCTTCGCCCCTTCGACCTCGGCGAACTCCACAACTACTATCCCCGTATCTGCCGGGGTTCCTTTCTATCTGCAAGTCCTCACGGTTGCCGTCCCAACCACCTCCGTCTAGACATGCATTCATTGCTGTCTTGTAGATCATACAGGGCTTTCGAACGGGTCTTGGTCGTTTCCTGTCACCTTACAATCTCGTTCTTGACATATTTTGGTTAGTTTCACGAGGCAATCGCCAAATTGAACCAAAGAGCACTCGAAACCTTTTCGTCGGGATTCAGGCTACAAGAGTGCCTCGTCCAATCCCACCATCTCCGGCCTTGTCTTATCATAGCGTTTATACACACCACGTCTTTAATGATTGACATAACCCCCTGGGCAAGCTCAAGAAGCATCCAGTGTCCTGTTTGCATCAATCTGCATCATCCTCCAGGGGTTCCTTGGGCACTGCTACATTCCCAAAACTACGTGACACGCGCCTATTTCCTCCTAGGTCATCGGTCGAGCTTCGTCCACCGCCATCAGCGGCAGCATACCAAGCTTTCTGAACTCGATGTACGTCGCAAAAATGCCCTCCGCCGTATCGAAGAATCCGTTCCAGCCCATTGAGCGGGTTTTCTTCGGACTGAGGCGGCCGTAGGCGTCAGGCCGCACAGCGTAGCCCGTGGACATGAATTGGCCCTCAGGGTCCTCAAAGGGTTCATTCAGAAGGTTATGCTTCTTTATGACCTCCCACCAGACTTCGTGGTTGCCTGGCTCCCTGGCCCCACGCGACCAAGGACCACGAGAACTTTAATAAGCTTCCGCGGGGACCGAACCTAGAAGTCAGGCTACACAACACGTTCCCGACTGGCGGCTCGCCGGGCAGGGGAACCCGTCCGCATCTTTGACTCGTCCAATTCCGACCTACCAATTTTCGAAAGGCCGAACCACCGAGCAAGCTCAGGCCGGAACACCACGTTGCTGAATGGTCCTGGTCGCTCGAGCGGACGGCCTGATCCCCGCAGCGCTCCTTCAGGACGGCCGACTCGGACAAGTAGCCGGTAAGTTGAGCGTACGAGTTCGCGTGGTCCGGTCCCTGAGCCAGGCGGCCAGCGTGCCCCGGAACTCGAGCGGTCTCCCGAAGGTGGACCTGCACGGCGCAGCGGCGTAGACGGCGGGGCTGATGTGGCTGACGATGCGTTTGGGGCGGATGGGGGGCCTCTTTGAGGACCCCCTTTGGGAGTTTCGGAGCAGGGCGGCTGGAAAAACGTCAGGACGGGACCTTCACAGCAAATCAGGCGTGTATGAACGTACAGTTGACTTTGACGAGAACCTCAGCGTTGGATCAAGCCCTGTTTCCGGGTTCGGGCTTGGGTTGGAAGTGAGTAGGAAAAGACGTCGTCGGCCGTAACCTGACGCTCCTTGAACCCCTGGGCAATGATGACCGGTTGCGCCAGGAAGTCCGGCGAGATAAATTCGATGCGCTGCTGCTACTTGGTAGAGAAGAAGCTCAACATCTTCTCCGACAGGAGGCTTCTTGACACTATTCTGACCTTCTTCCATTGCTGCGGTGCATCGAAGAGGACCTTGAGAGTGTGAAACCCGCTGATGCCATTGGCTCCGGTCATGATAACCGTCAGACCAGTTACATTCGATGGAAAAGTTGACAGGTTGAGGTAGATGCCTTTGTTCTGGAAGGGTGGGGGAGGGTGGTCTGGGACATTGTATCGATGTATCAGTGGTTCGTGTGATGAAGTATTCAAGAGTGATGATCTGCCTAGCGAGAATTGGAATTGGTGACTATCCCGTAAACTCAACCTTTACAGAACATTGAACGATTTCCTACCGAGGCTGTAGAATGGGAGGAGTTCCATTGCAAAAGCGTTTGCTTGCCAATTGGTCATGTCTATTCCACAATCCCATCAGCTGCTAGGGGGGCTACGATGCGTCGACGCATACCTATGCACCAATGGGTTTCCTGCCAATTCGAAATGTACAGCGGCAATCGTTTTGCGGTGGTTACACAGCTTCCCAGTAGTTTTGCGGTATGGAGACCAAACCGTCAGAGTTCCATACGAGTCAGAGAGCAATCAATGTTTGTCAATTATTCCCATCCAGCAGCTCTCTCAATGCTGGACAAAACCGTGGTCTTGCTCGAATGGTTTACACACTAGACTAGCGTTGACTTTTCTATATCTTTACAAAAGGCGGGGTCTCCGGTCTAACCATCCATCCGGTGGCCCAGTCCACGATCCGGGGACGAGATTGTCAAACCAGGTCTCGCAGGCTGCTGCTGAACGACCGCGTTTTCGTACCAAAATTTCCACCGGCAGTCCGAGGGCCCGGGGCAAGAGTGTTGGGGTTACCCAAAATGGAAAGCGAATTTGCCTTGAAAGTATGATAAGCGGAGCGCAGACGCCGCCTCGGCCCCCGCAACCGGCACCGACGGACAAGAAATGGTTGAGGATTTATTGCCCCGACGGAGGACGCTTGACCGCTGCTTGCACGTCTCCGGCGGGATGCGTTTGCCGTTGGGACATAAAAGCCGCCGAGAGCCCCCTTCCCCCCGTACGGATACATGGCTAGCCGTTCAGATCACTGCCTTATACGTCGAGCAACAACTGTCCTAGAAAGCACCGCGAGACTCCGCCGCCCACTCACTCCAGAAAAGATGCAAGTTTGTTTCCGGACGGTCGACGTTGTGCATTCAGAAGACTGGAAGCTGAATCCTTCGGGGCGCGATATTCGCCGTGTACAAAGTGATATCCGTACGAAATCAGAACCCGGCTGTGACGACAAGTCATCAAAATCATCCAGGGTATGTTTCCTCCCCGACACGTCACGCTTGATCACCTCGTCCCCTCCCTCCGATGCCAAAACAGAGTCTCTTCTCGTCACTACTACTCTCCCCACCGCATCCGTACCCATTGCTCAATTTGACACCCACAATCTCTTTCTAGGGCCGTGTACCAACAGACAACCAAGCCTGGGAGCGCGAGGTCCTCGTCCAAGTGTCCTCCCTGCAACAGACAAACTTTCACTCCGTGAAGCTACTGCCGCAGCAGTGCGATCTATCCGACTGGCTCATCTCCGTGCGATCCGGCGATCAAGGCCGGGGTGAGGAGGAGACCATCATGGTGGACGACTCGATGCGGAACAAGCTCAACCTCACGCACAACGCGCTGGTGTACGATCACGAGCACGAAGACTTGATCTCCATGTTGAACGTGTCTCCGACGACGGCGGCCTGTCTGGTCAAAATGGTATAGCTAGGGGCCTTCGGGGGGTCATTGTACGTTACGAAGGAAGAGAGAGGAGACGGATGCGAAAAAAAGAAAGAAAAAAAGGTTCCACGACTGTGTGCGGTACGGCGTGGGAAAGATGTGACACAAACGGGACAATGTTACAAAGGACTGTCCTCTGGTTTTCTCCATGTCTACCTGTGGCACCCGTTCGTGCCTTCGACGACCATCGGTACCGCACCATGACGTTGATCGAGTTCCTCGAATGGAACCCCCGTGACTAGCCTCGATGAGACATGTTGCAGGGTCAACATCGACTGTCATCCATCATCGGTCTGAACCATGGCCGATCCCCAACCTTTGACTAGCAACCGTTATGGTGGTAGAGTACATCTCCCATCTGACAAGATCGAACCATTCAGAGTCAGAGGCTAGAACCCGTCAACACGGGACGGATGCGAGGAAGCACCAGAATCTAGGCCAAGGTAACGACGATGGAGTCCCCAGGGTATAAGTAAAGCCTTCTTCCAACACTCACATGGCGTCTCTGGCCGCAGATCATCCAGCAGCATATCACTTTCATAGCCCAACAACAAGCAAAATGGCCTCCATATTCCTCCACCACCTAGCCATCTTCACCATAGCAGCAGCAGCAGCAGCACGGCCAGTCCTCGCAACGAGAGTGCCCCCCGGCACACAACAAGGAACCTACATCGTAACCCTCTCCCCAGAAGGCCAAGAAATCCACGCCAGACTCCCCGACATCAACCATGACAACGCACACGTGCTACCACTACCACCACCACCACCACCACCACCACCACAATCCCCCCGTGGCGCAACAGCCTGGCCCTCTCACACCGCCCCCCTCTGCTCAGACAGCCCCTGGATCGGTACCTACGACCTCTACCACGACAACGGCGCCCGCAACGCCTTTTCGTCCCAGTGCGCCGCCCTCGCCGGCGCCCGCCTCGGCAACGGCGACAAGATCTACAGCCACTGGGGCGACGCCGTGGCCTACATGTGCTCGTACGCGGGGAGCGGCGGCGGCGGCGGCGGCGGCGGGGGAAACCCGTGCGTTGTCCAGGAGTGGGTTGATGCCGTGGACTGGGCTGCTGCGTCGTGTGCCGGGAGGAATGGGGGGTATATGGAGTGTGGTGAGTTTTGTCTTCTCCTTTTTTTTTCCCTTTCTCTTTCTTGGTTGAAGGTGTATATCGGTTCCACTGGTGACATGTGAGTATACTCATGTCTTGGTTTATGTGTAGCCTACCTCTCGATTCCGGGATGGAAAAAGGTAAAAAGAAACCCAGAGTCCGTGGCGGGCGGTTTGATGGTTTTGTGACAAGGCAGACGCCGGCTGACCTTCTACTCTAGGCGTACGGCTATACGCACATCAATACTTCCTTCTGCTGAGAGCTTTTAAAAAGAGTTTTGTTTCTAAAGCGAGCTTGGGACTGGGGGAAAAGATGGGGGCCACTGCATCTCACCGCGAACAAGACAGAGATTGTATGGGATAAGTGAATCTGGTGAAGAATATTAGCTCGGACGCGGAGCTTCTATGGAGACACCCGAGTTATTCGCAGTGACATCGAACTTTCGCATACTGGAACACAAGTCAAGAAACATCTGAATGTCCTCATGTAACAAGAATTCATTCAGCCAAGCCCCCCGTCTCTCGTTGTAGTACAAACTCGCACTATACCCCTAGGTAGCGAGCCATGATCATGCCTTTTTTTCTTCTCTTCTCGATTTGAACTTTTTGTTTATCCAACATTTGGATCCCCGTTACGTCGCGAAATTCAAAATCCCCCACCGTCTCATTCTCATGCCTTGAGAATCTTGGCCAGCTCCGCGACAATAGCATCGCCAGTCTCCTTGGTGCCGGCGCTGCCGCCGAGGTCCTTTGTCCGCACGCCGCTGTCGATGACGGCCTTGACGGCGTCCTCGACGGCCTGGGCCTCCTTGGGCAGGTTGAGTGAGTAGCGCAGCATCATGGCGACGGAGAGGATCGTGCCAATGGGGTTGACGACGCCCTTGCCCGAGATATCGGGGGCGGAGCCTGTCGTTTCTGATATTAGCATACTACCACTAGGAAGAAACAAATTCCAAACAGAAAGAAAAAAAGCGGATCGAAGTCCGCTGACGTCGAATTCCCCTGGAGGGAGGGGGGGGCACATACCGTGAATCGGCTCGTAGATACCGTTACACTTGCCCTTGCCATCAGGGATACCGCTCAAACTAGCACTGGGCAAAAGACCAATGCTGCCAGGAATAACGCTCGCCTCGTCGGAAATGATGTCGCCAAACAAGTTACTCGTAACCACGACACCATTCAACGCGCGCGGGCTCTTGACGAGCAACATGGCAGCCGAGTCGATGAGCTGGTGCTCAATCTTGAGCTGCGGGAACTCCCTCTCAAACAGCTCCGTAATCACCTTGCGCCACAACCGGCTCGTCGCCAGCACATTCGCCTTATCCAGACTCCACACCGTCTTCTCCCCGCGCGCAATCGCCAAAAAGCCCGCCAGCCGTCCGATGCGCTCAACCTCCTCGCGCGAGTAGGGCTCCGAGTCCCACGCCTTGCCGTCGCCCGTATCCTCCTTGCGCTCGCCAAAGTAGATGCCGCCCGTCAGCTCGCGGACAATAACCATGTCGGTGCCGCGGCAGACGTCCGCCTTGAGCGGGGAGAAGTCGACCAGCGCCTCGGAGGCGAAGCTGCAGGGGCGGAGGTTGCCGTAGGTGCCCATCTCCTTACGGAGACGGAGGAGACCTTGCTCCGGGCGGACGGCGCCGGTGCCCCATTTCGGACCGCCGATGGCGCCGAGGAGGACTGCGTCAGCACTGTTGGCGGCGGCGAGGGCCTCGTCGGTCAGGGGGGAGCCTGTTGCGTCAATGGAGGCCTGTGTTACGGTGGGAAGCATATTTGTCAATTTGAGGTTCTTCAATTGACTCCGAAGCCGAGGGGAACCATCGGAAAGGAGACGGGACGTGGGGAGGGAGGGGGGGGGGGACTTACACCACCGAGGAGGTGCTCCTGAAGGTTGAACTTGCCAGCCGAGGGGCTGCTGGTCTCAATTGTCTTGAGGACCTAGATAAACGAGCACGAAAACGAATCAGCCTCGTGATTTGCATAAAGCGGGCGAGCATGATCCATCGCGATGGGATCCAATTCATTCCGGTCGGCAGCATACCTTGATAGCCTCGGCGACGACCTAGAAACAAAAAGGTTACATTAGCTCAGCTCCGTTCCGTTCCGTTTCTCTCTCAACTCGACAATCTGTCCAAGGCAAGAAAGCTTGCTGCATCCCGCCGTCATTCGAAGCTCACCTCAGGACCGCAGTGGTCACCGCCAAACACAACAATGTTATGAGTCGCCATTGTGCGTATGATTGTTGGGGATTGATGAGAAGAGGCGGGGAGTTGCGTTCAAAGGGAAAACGAAGGGAGATGTGCGGGGGGGTATCTGTTGCAACTGAAAGCTGGAGAGAAGGGATGATGAGGAGAGAAAGTAAATACAGAGTATATCACCTCCGATAGACAGGCCCAGGTGACAGCAAGAGAGCTTCCACTGCCCCGCATCCCGCACAAGATTAAAAAAAGTCGCGGTGCTGGCAATGGCACGGCCTCAACCCCGCCTTCCGAGGTCGGAGCTGTCGAGAGTGCAGAGTGCAGCAGCAATGCTGTAATGTCAGCTCATCCCAACCCAAGCTGCCAAGTTACCCAACACCCCACAAACGCTTAGCGGGCGTCGCTCGGCTTGTATCGGCGCCGCTTCGTCCCGGTTTCCACAAAACTTGCCCTCTTCCGATTGCTGCGTCCGACGACGAGCCTCACATCGGGTGGAATCAGACCGAGCGAATTATCGTACTGACACGCTCTATCCAATCTGCCGGTCCTGCTGCCGTGGCGTACATCCAATGTCTAGGCCTTGCACCGGGATACCCGGACATGGGCAAATCCACCGTCAACTCGCAATCGTCACGTTTGATAACGTACTCTGTGAATCAGGGCACCTCACGATATAGTCACAATACTCTTTCTCAGCATCTTCTCGTTTGTTATTCATCATTAAGCCGCAAGGTATGTACTCGGGAATTATATAGACTCTCATCAGTATCCAAGATTACTTGATGGTGGATTGCCCCGTTTCTCTTTCTAATCCTTTTTCTTTTTCTTTTCCTTCGATCGTGACTTCGACTTTTCGGGGTCGGTCATTATCGTGGGTGGACCAATGCCCTCACGCACTAACTGAATGATTTACGGGCTAGCGGGCTCGCCCCGGGCGGTCCCAGCGATGGGCCGTTCCCTCGAAGCCGGCCGCCTCGCACATTTGGTGTGTTTGAACAAAAGGCACAAATGTATACTGATGGAAGTGTCCGCCTGGATATGTTGATGCACGAACCATGAAGCCACATTTCGCAGGACTCACTAGTGCAACGTTAGCACTGATGAACCATCATAGGTGCAAGCCGACAATCTCGTGGGAGCAGCCAGGGCGGGAGCATACCATTGGACCATGTACTCTCCTTGTCTATCCGCAGTATTCCTGCACACGCATCGAACATTGTAGGTCGCTTTCGTCGGCGAGGGTAGGCTGGCTTCAGTGAAGCCTGTGGGCGACATCATACCCCCGGGGTGATCCTGAAAACTGCCCGACGCGAATCGCCGTGATCGTTGGCTGCCAGGTGCCTGAGGTCCGCGCTTTTGCCGACTCTCGACAAGCTTGCGCAATTCGCTTGCTGCATCGCCCCCCTTCCCCTGCGCCTCGTTCATCACAGTTTCCGCTTCACTCTCAGCCTCGTGCTGCGAGACCGAGGCTCCCAAGCTGCTCGAGCTGTGCTCACTGACGCTCCTTCGAGATGAGTGGAACATGGAAGCTGACGACGGTCGACGGGGATCTGGTAATGCGAATGAGGTATTTCGGCTGGGAATGATGATTGGCTCGTCATCTGTCGAGGAGTCGTCGTCCTCGGATTCCCAACTCTTCTCCCTGCGCGGCATTTCCCGTGTCACTGGTAGTCTCCTTGCCTCATCATGTCTCGGCTCGTCCATCACCATGGTGGTCTCGGCCCGCGCCCTGCCTCTAGAGTCGATGGTGAACTTCACAGCCGTGCGGGGTCGCGGAGGTGCCGTCTCGGGTATCGACGTCAAGCTCGAGAGGCGAGAGTGCTGCTGTTTCAGAGGCGACACTCTGCCAGAGGGGCGGCTCGGTGGCCTGCTTGGGCCAGTTACGGGACCATTGGCCATCTGAGGCCTCGGCTGTATGGCTGGAGCGAGTTTGGGCAATGCTGGCTTTGCGAGTCCGCGCCTACCCCGATTTTCACTGGCGCTTCGTTGCAGTGCGTTGAGACGCCCGTTCGATTTAACAGGAGAGCTAATAGAAACATGGCCGGAATGTCTGCCCTGACCCAGCTCCTTGGTACTGAGGGAACGGCGAATATCGCCGTGCATTGGCGCTCTCGATTGTGATTCTGCAGCCGCGGCAAGGGCAAACTGTGCCGAGCCTTGTGCGACGGGGATGTTCGTACCCATGTTTGAAGATAATGGTCGACCGAACAGGACACCGGGGTCGACCCCACCAGGACTCATGATACCGAAGGGATCCTCCATTGACGTTGAAAACGAGGTTGACACCATGGAGATATCTGCCGAGCTGGACTGGGCATTGTTCATGACAGGTTTGGGAGCAAGGGGTCGCGTCCGCTTGATGGGCTGGGCAGTCTCTTGGCTACCTGACGGTGGCAGGGCGGCAGACTCTTGAAACATTTGCGAGGCGTCAAAGGAAGGCATGTGGCGATGTCCCGAGGTTTGGAAGACATTAGGGCCAAAGGAAAAGTCGATGTCCATGCCCGACATGTCGGCAGTCGGGTCCCAGAAGCTTGCGGAAGCGTTTGCCGGAGCCGACATCGGGTAGCCGAACATGTCGGTGGTAGTCACGTAGGCCGCCATATTGGGATGTTGGGGGTTTCCAGAAAAGTCAGGCTGGCCGTAGCCGTGATCATTCTGCATGTTGTCGCCCTGGAGCTTAGGAGCAAGCTTCCGGCCACCCTTGTGGGAAGATGGGGGAGGGGTTGCCGTTTGCCCGTTCAGATCCGCCACGCTCTCCCTGCCCAGTGAACTTTTTGCTATGTTGTCTTGTGACGCCACCTCTGGACTTGGCGAGCCGCCTGCTTGGCTGGAAAACTCTGATTGCTCGATTGGGGGCTTGGGAGAAGAGGGCAGCCGTCGAGCTGCGGCAACCGGTGGTAATGGTAGGTTCGTGTTGGGAGAGAAGTGGTTGGCATGTGTTGCTATCTGAGCAGCGAGGCTCTCGGCGGACAGAGGCCTCTTGAGGCTTGCCGAAGCAGGGTATGTAGCAGCTGTGGCAAAGTCGGGGAAGGGACCCTGAGACCCTCGAAGATTGCCCGGGGTTGTGTTAAAGACGGAGTATTCCTCTGCAAAGCCAGGTGTCCAACCGCCGGCGTCGTCAAAGTGACCCTGGGACTGCTTGGGAGTTTCGAAAACGGGGCTCGGGAAAACGGCGGAGGTGGGAGTCTGTTTGGGGGTGGGCGGCTGAGCGTTTGGGTTTCCAAAGCTGTAGTGAGAGTTTCGGGTTAGCAAAGGAAGTTCTGATAGATTGTCCGGCCTGTCAATCTTGCGGCCTGTCGGGAGGCAGAAAGACCAACGTGAACGGGGCGGGTTTGGTAGAATTCTTGCCTGGACGCCGGCTGATCCCCACTCATAGCAATTCTACTGTACTTCACACAACCCTAACTCGAACATGACATGAACCACCCTCACAATTTGAATTGTCCGAGTTTGAGGGTGCCGAGGGGTTCAGAGTACAGCCAAAGAAGGACCAGGGGTGCAATCGGCGGTTTGGGGGTCGGGGGAAGCGAGGAGCGAAGGCTGTCGATTGGTCGGTTCGTGAAGGTTAGGTAGATGTATATCAGGCGGGGGCGACGTCAGATGCGTATATCATTGATCATTACAGAAGCTTGGAGACGGCAATGTTATGGAGAAAAAAGTACACCAAATGACGAAGAGCTGGCGTGAGGAAGAGGAGCGTATCCGAGGAATTCGACCCTGAAGGGGAGGTTGGGAGTCGAGGGGAAGTTTGCGAGAAGGGAGGTCCGTGAGGTGCGGCGCAAAAGCGAGTATGGCGGCTGAAGCGTGATTACAAAAGCAGATGAAATATCTAGTCGTCAGAGTCGAAGGACGGCAGATGCAAAGCCTGGTCTGCAGCAAACGGCGCTTCCAGGAGAGCGCAGGATCGAGGAGAGGCAGCACTAGAAGGGGGAAGGGGATAGTGAAGAAGTGACAAGGAGCTTCCAGGAACCAATCGTTCACTTGTTTGGGAGGGAGAGTAGAGAGTGTGAAGACCAACACCAGGAAGTCAAGACGGTACTCAGTAGCAGCCGCAGCCGAAGCAGTAATTACTGGTGGGTTGCTGCAAAGACAGGCGAGAGAAGGTAACCTCAGGGCGACGCACAATCAAGGTACGTAGATATGGCAGGCAGATGGCAGATTGCAAGCTAGGCAGAGACGGCCTGCTCTCGTGGAAGACTCGTTGTAGACTCGTTGCAGTTGGCTAAATTTTTTGGGATGCAGAGATGGAGATGGGATGCCCATATCCTTGGAAGTACCTCGAGTTAAGGCCGTGAAGGGTACGTATCGAGGAATGCAGCGCATCTCATTGGATAAGACCAGCCAAGACGGCGGGATGGCAGCGCTGTCGAGCACAGCGCACTTGGTGAGACTGCGCTGCCCGCCTACAATTAACCATGAAAACTCAGATGCAATAGACACAGGCTGTCAGAGAAGGTGCGTGCTCTGGTTGCTGGGAGCTTCCCGGTGGTGCTCTACTGTGTAATTAGATTAGGCTGCAGATTCAGTCAGTTAAACGAAACAATTTCTAGGTAGATGGGCACTTCGTTTCTTCCTCTCTTGCTTCCCTCCCACTGTGACAAAGGTTAAAAGTAAAGCCACATGTGTCGAGTCCAGATCGCCATGACGCCCCCTAACGGCGTTGGCTTCGAGACTAGAAGCAGGCCGATGAGGGGAAACTCGACCAACGCCATGGATGACAGGCTAACGCTGCTCGACAGGGAGGTTGGAAGGATGCCCTGAGCCACGTTGAGAGAGGAGGTTGTGACAGGCTCTGGTCGCCGAGCCAGCTCGAGCTCGATCGCACCCAAACCAACTGATACCAACCGCAACACCAACTGCTAAAGTTTCTTTTTCCCTTCTTTTCCATTGTCTTTGGTGTGCGGATGCATCGTCAGGATATCAAGATACTCTTCTCCTCCGGGATACGCCAGCGCGTATCTAGGGTTTCAACGTGGGCAAAAACAGGATGATGGCGGGACGCAAGCTTGGCCTGGCGCCGCTGCTGGCGT